AATTTTATCAAATTAATTTTATATTTAAAGTTGAACAATGATTTTATTCTTAAAAATTATATTAATAGAGAAAAAAATGAATATAAATTATTTTTATTTTATTGATGGGTAAAAAATTAATGAATAAAGGAACGTATACAAATATTTTATTTGATTATAAGAAAGAAATATACGTAGTTAGTTCTAAATATTAAATCACTTTTATCTTAAAAAAAGTGGACTCAATTTCCATGCAATAATTTTTTTAAAATAAATAACTTTGATAAAAAAAATATAATATTTAGTAAATAATTTAAAAGATGATTCCATCAATTGATCATACCCTCTTAAACGTAATTTTTTAAGTGGAGTAACCATTAGCACTAGGCAATAAAATGGAAAGAAATTGCAAATGATTGGTTTTATTAAAAGATAAATGTTTGGATCATCAAAATATGATGTTGGGACATTGCTTAAATCGAAATTTAGTTAGAGTAATTTCTTTAAACTTATCTTGTATTTAGATTAAAAATTTTAAAATTTTTTAAAAATTTAAATTCATAGAAGTTAAGCTACTCTTATTTTAAGTTATTAATTTTTTTTAATAAATTTTATTTAAATGTTGATTTTTTTTATAAAGTATTTAATTACAACAAATACAAAATGTTAAAATAAATATTATCATTATATAACACTAGTGACATTGATTAATAAATAATATTTGTAAGCCTCACCAAAAATAATGACTATAGATTTCACTTCAAAAAAATTTGGTTGATATTTATTGTAAAATATTTTCATCAACATTAGTTGCAAAATTTTGATAAACGTCAATTGAAAAATAGTTTTATCTTACATCAGTACATAAATAATCTTGACAACATCTACTAGAAAATAAACTTTATCAACATTTAAAAGTCTTAACTTCCAAACAAAAATATGAATGATATCTGCCAAAAAATAGTTCTGTAAAAAAAAATCTTATTAATGTCGATAAAAAGTAATCCTGATAAACATCAACAAAAAAAAAGTTTGAGATTGATAAAGAAATTCTTCAATAACGTCAATAGAAAAATCACATTAGTTTATATATAAAAAAATAACTTTGACAAGATTGAAAAAAATAATCATGTTGAACTTTAATATGAAAGAAATTTTCAATAATATTACTTGAAAAACCTACATCGAACAAATGGGACTATAGTTTGTCGTATGAGCCGAGGTTATTACGACAAAAAAATTGAATAAATTTAAATTCTTAATTTTTAAGATGAAATTTGAAATTATCTAATTTTAAATAATTTGATTAAATTTATAAATTACTAAAATTTTATTTTTTTTTAATTTGTTTAACAGATAATATATTTTATGGTAAAGAATTTCAAACTCCATAAAATTTCCATCTAAAATAAATAATGAAATGAAAATATTTGTGGGACCAAATTAATTCATTCTCAACCTTTCTAAAATAACACCTCCACGTCGTGAAGGCTAAAATTATCAAAATTAACTTTGTACAAAATTATATTGGATTAATAGATCAGAATGAGTCATGAATATCCTTTCCACACAGGAAGATATTTCTTAATTTGTACAGCTACGATTATCTCCTACACCAATTACTATATTTAAATCTATTATAATTAATGTCACTAATTAATCACAGAAGAAGCAAGGAAGGTTCACAATAAAAGAAATGTTTTAAGATTCATTTAGTTTATTAATTTAATCAAACTCACGTAGAGTAATGTATTTTAGAATAAACTAAATTACCATAATCCAACACTGAATCCACATCTCGTAAATACACGAGCCATGACGCATACAAATGACAGAGCATGGCTTGAACATGTGACCACACCAGACTGTGCTGAAACGTGTAGACGCGACAAGAGCTAAAAAAAAAAAGAGCAAACTCACTGGTGGTAACCAAATCTACGTTAATTAATTAATATTAGAAGAACAATTGTCCATTATACGAGAAAAATAATTATTCTCTACACTCGGAGGAAACAAAGACGCCAACATCGATTGTATGTTCTGTTCGTATTTTCTAAGTTCTTCAACTTCTCACATCTGAAACCAAGGTTTTAAGCAAATATACTCATAGGACCTGTCTTATTTGAAGTAGCATCCAATCCATGTTCAGCATTCCGAGTTCCTGTGATCCAAACCCTGCAAGTAAAACACACTTTCAAGTCTCATCTAAGGAACCATATTCTACATATGTTTCATTAATTTTATTCTCTCGAACCTTCTACTATCTTTGCTGCTTGAATCAGTCAGAATTGTCAATCTTTTAGCTGTCTTCATGAACTCACTGCAGAAAACCAAACCCCTCAATAAAGCATGAAGACTCCCAGAAATTACACATGAACAAGAAATGGAAAGATACCTGAATGGTTCTTCTCCAGTTTGTTTAAGGGCACCGGTTGAATCGCGGTAGAGAACATGGCTCAACATCTCAGACCGTTCTATTCCAAACATTTTGGCCAGTCTCATGTACAACTCATCATAAGAACCAAGACAGGACAAGTCAAGGGTCCGTCCAACATCTTCTGACTCCATGAAAACCTTGCAGTGACTGGTATCAGAACCGAGTTGCCAAGAGAACTCAGCGGTAGAAGACGACTTTCCTGGGGAAACTGAGGACTGGGAATCACTAAGGAATCCCTTCTCAATCTTCTCCTTATTCTCATCATCTGTTGCGGTGCAATTGTGAGACAACACATCACTAGAAGATCTAGAAATTTGTTGCTCGGTGAGTATCGGTTGACCAAAAAGCAAAAATTGGTGTCTCTTCACTTGATCAGATTTCTCCAAACTCTTAGGTGAATTTCCAATGGTGAGCAAGCATGATAGACTCTCTTTACTCTTACCATGGTTGGTGATGTTGCCATTAGAAATCCCAGTGTGCAAATCAAGCTGGCGAACGTTAGTTGGTAGCAACCCCAACTGCAGCTTATTTTTGTTAAGGTGGAGATCTGACAAAGATATTCCAATTTGAGCATGCCTGGCTCCCTGTATGCCTGCAGGAGCATTATCAGATAGACAACACAAGGGGCTGCTAGTGCTAGACCCAAAGGGGTTGCCTGAAAACGTTGGTATCGGAAATTGAACTTCAAGGGGAAACTCTGGGTGTTGTGGAAACCTAAGCTTCTTCCTCGGTGGTGAGAATGGTGCCAGATGGATGATTGGCACGTTAGATACCAACTCAACCAACCATGGACTTACGCGCTTCACATTATGTAACAAATCTGGCTCATCCCATGTAACCTGTACCAATATCACCAAGATAAGTCACGGTTGCCTAATAAGCTTGCTTGTCCAAAAGATTGAACTCATCTGAACTATGGTTTGAATTCAATCAAGAACATCACCCCAATAAAAAAAGGACAAAACTTTAATACAGTTCTATGGGTGTTTCTCGTGCTGTTCTATTATCCCAATTAGACATTTACCTCCGTAGTCAAACCTTTATTTCTCAAATAAACTAAACTTCTGTTGAAAATTAGTATCAAAAGCACTTATTGAACTGCGTCTAAGTTTAATCCCCAAAAGATGGCATTTCAAACTTCAGAATAGAAGTATATGCATACAAATTGCAAAGATAACCATAAAATTCGTCAATTAACTGCTGTAACTGAACATTATAGAACTTATTACAACCACCCCCAGCCAATCCCAAAAGGAAAAAAAATAAGAAAAGGTTCCAGGATTGGAAAACTTCGTTACAGATCAATTTAATACAAGAATCTTGTTTTGCACATGTTAAACAGATTCAAGAACCAAAGCACAACCAAAGCAAGACCCATAACATACACAGTTAAGCCCCTTATGTCCGAATATGAAGAAAAAAAAAGGTGGGTACCTGAAGAAGCCTCCAAGGTGAATTAGGCCAGCGGATAGGATCAAGAACCTGAACAGAAGCAATGGTGCCCATGAACCAGCTTATCCTGGAAGAATCCTCAGTCTCAAAGGGCATCTTAAACCGCATCCCGGAGCACCACTGAATCCTCATAGCACCTCTCACAGCCGAAGTCCTAATACAGAACTCAGGAGTATTGGCTCGAGGGTAATAAACAATCTCAAAGGGTTGGTTGTTAGCAGCCAAAGCAACAGCCTCCCTCACAGACTCACCAGTCACCTTCGGTCTCCCACACCCATTCCTCACCACCTTGCTCTCCTCCCTCAAGAAAGCCGAAAAGGCCCCATAAGGCCCAAGCCCCCCACCACCACCACCACCACCAGAACTCCACCCACACGGCGCCTCGGGCCCACCAACACCCCCTCTCTTGGCCCTACGAATCCCCACGCAAAGATCCCCATTCTCCGCCCGCAGAAACACGATGGAATCCCCTGCAACCAGTTTCTTCTGGTTCACGAAACTGCTCCACCCGGTGGTAAGTAAGTGCCGACGAGGAGTCCCTCGGTAAATGTGCCGAAACTTCCAGACCTCGCCGTGCACATCCTTCGCGATCACCGTCTGCACCGGTGGCTCCGCCGAGTAATCCAGCCGCGGGAAAATCGTCTCCGCGCAGTATCTAGGCACGGAGAATCCCCCACCATTGTTGGCGTCCGATTGAGTTAACGTCTTCGCGAAAGACGCTGGCTTTTCAGAACCCTCGGCGCCATTACCGTCACTGCTATCGTTGTCTTCGTGGTCAAGCTCGCTGTTTCTTAGAGGAACCAACCTCAACCTGGCGAAGACCTCGTCGGTTTCGGGGTCGGCGAGAAATTTGACAGCCGCCACGCGACAGAGAACAAGCGGCGGAATCGGAATCCTGGAGACTCCGAAATCCAGGTTGAACTGCGCGTGTTCCGCGTGGCCCTGAGGAAAGTAGAACACCTTGGAGTTCACCGGCGGCATCTGAACCATCCCGCCGGCGCACGCATGCCACAGCTGCGGATCCAAACTCTTCTCTGTTTCCTTCATTGCACACACCAAAACTGATTCAATTCAACACTCCCTGTAAGAGCTGCTGATGTTTTATGTTTCTTTCTCTCTCAGCAAATGCAAAATGAAAAGGTTTAACTTTTTTGCTCACATACCTGCACACAGCACTTTTTTTTTTTTTTTGTGCTTCTTATTATTACGTATTGTTTTGGCTCAGATCTCAGAGAAAGAAGGAAAAGAAAGGGACAACTTTTTCTCTAAACAATTGAATAGAAGCAAACAAGCCTATGCCTATTCCTCAGCCAGCCAAAGCAAACCTTTCATCTATTTATGTAATTATAATAATAAAATGAAAAGGTATTATTTAATTTGAAGAAGGGGAATGGAATTGTTTAATTGTAGGACTATAAATTCTGGTGATATGACATGATGCAATAAAGATAGTAGGAGGAGTAATAGTTTTCAAAAAGAACAGAAATAGATAGTGGTAATTAGCACCAGCATAGCATTAACACCATTGTATTATTTATTAATATTGTTATGTGAGAGTATGGTGTCAGAAAATATGGCGAGTTAAAGGAGAAAAAGGATGTGTGGTGAAGTTAAAATTACCTGGAGCGGTGGCAGTGGTAATTGTCGATTCATTATATTATTGTGGCAGTCTTAACTGCCAACTCAACTCAACATCCCTACTTCTGACTATGCCTGTGCCTGCAATAAGTCATAACCTGACAAAATAACACATTTTTTTACATTTACTTTCTCTATTCTAATAATAATAATAATACACAGAATAAATGCTATGTTAACTTGTCTCTTCTTTACTCTCCCTGCATCTGCCTTAACTAGATAATATCATCACCTTGCTAAGTAGCAAAAAACAGAAAAAGTGAACTCAAAGAGACTCGGCCACTGCGGGTAACGCGTACATACCACGCGTCATAAGGGCCGTGAGAATCGTTCCCACGGAAATGAGGCCCCCGATTTTTTTGTCGGATCAGGTTAATGGCAACACAGATACAATTTTTTTTTAACACCTTTGTTAATACCGTTTATTCGTTTATTTATTTATCAAGTTAGATCATATAATACATGTTATTATGCTTACATTTCTTCCTTTTTTTGCTTCGTGTCAAATAAGTAAAGTGTCTATTAATTATATTTGTTTGATCTATGTGTCTAATCTACACTTGCACTGCACACACAAGTAATAAAAAAGGTAAAATTTTGATGAAAGAAGAAACTAGAAATTGAGAAATGTGGTGGGCCTCTTGCTCATGCGCATGGGCTCCTTGGTTCACCTGTCTGTTGTAGTTGTACGAGTCACCGAGTACAGTATTCTTTATTTTTATTTTTTTACTACTAAAAGCATGCACAACACAAGCGTTTTGTGAACTTTCTCCATGCTCAAGTGCTTTTGTTAGTCATGTTTTTTCACATCTAAAATTAATCAAATTAACAAATATGAAATTGTCAACAAACAAAGATATTGGTAAATAAGGAGAGAAGGAGTCGCATTGAAAAGGACATTGATCACAGCAAGGAAGATGGAGATGTCCACATGGTGAAGGGTAGGTTATGTCCATTGAGGTGTGATTGTGCAGATAAAAGGCCACCCTCATGCCAAGATATATATGACTCTCGAAAACCTCGTTTGGTTATGAGTTATGACAAGGAAGGAGGACAAGGAAAGTTTCTCTTGTTCTTTTCTTGCCGACTGAAGGACACCCATTTCTTTATGTCCTATTGACTTTATGCAGAAAATTAATTAACAAACAAATCTTAATAATAGTACCTATAACCTACATATGCAATAGCCCTACAAATTAAATTCTTCCATATGTGTATACACACATAATAGAAAATACATACTCCATTTCCAATCTGAACTGAAAAAATGTCTCTTGCACGTACATGCACGTCGATATTAACATTAATATTTGATGGTGATGACATATCAAATCAATAAAAGTTGAATTGAAGGGAAAAAATTATAAGGAAAAAGAAAATGGTTGAAAGAGAGAAAAATCAGTTATAACAAGGCAGAAGGCGACAAAAGCAATAGGTACAACCACAAGGAAAACCACCAACATGTACGATACATAGCCGATTTCAGGAAGCATTGTCAGGGCATATGCATATAGTGATAGTCAAATAGAGTAGAGTATCCTGTAAGAGTTAAAAGGAATAAATTTTCATGCTGATGAGGCAAAAGCTTAGGAATCAATCAGACTAACTTGGCCTTACTACAAACAAGTCTTTTAGGTAAACCAACAACGACGTTAGTACCCGCCTGGATGTAACATCAATGACCCATTAATCTATTCTGCTCAATCAGGCTCAGTTGTTGTAATATATTAGTGTTAAATGTCATTTAAACTAGTTTAATATCCTCTTTTGTAGCTATGTAACGAGAAAGAACAATAACAACAAGATGGGGATAATCATGAGGAAAAGGTAAATAAAAAAGGTTGATAAATCAGCCAAAAAGATGTGGTTCGGAAAAGAATAGGATTGGTTGGTTAAGAATCAACATTGATACCGACACACAACGTCGAGACAATTAAGACAAGAAGATGAAACGATGGACGCATGGAAGAAACAATCAATGTACAGAGAAATGTTGGGATAATAATTTTAAGAATTGAATTTTATAGTTAGCCCCCTGGTCCCTCAATCAATATCTCATTCTTATCTTGCGCTCAAAGGCCATAACTTGAACAATTGTCCCATTTTTCCCTTCCCATACCACTCCATTCATCTACATCTATTATATTATACTATTATCTATATAGCATGTACCAAAGAAACCCATTTGTTAATATTCACCCATTCTTATCAGTAATTTAACCCTGCCCTTTTTTTTTTTCTCTTTTATCAGAAAAATGATCTGACATATGCCCTTAGTTTTCTTGATAAACTTGTCTCATCCTCCTAATCCAATCTAATGTTTTTTTATTGAGGAGGGGTGTTGGGTTAGGTTGTGTGTGAGTGAGGTGGTCATCCACCAAAACTGAAATTGATCACATGCATCAATCTCAACTGAACAGGTAAAAGAATCCAGCGTCCATAGCTGAAATAGTTAGTGAATAGTGAATGTGTGTGGATATCCAAACAAGAGAGAATGGGACCCAGTGGGTGGGGCAGAAGCAGGTACAGGGTCCCAAGAAATTGACAAATGAACATAAATTTGGGCCTAGCATTGTTTGTGAGTGTCGAAAAGAATATGGCACGATGAAAAACTCAAAAGAAAGTAAAGCAAGGCAGAGACAAAAAAGGGTGTCGCTGTCCTCTCCTCTGATGTGTTCTCAGTCTGACAATGATAATTGAAGATTAAAGGCATTCTTTGAGTGCATCCAGTTATCTCCCTATGCCAATGCCAATACCCATCTCCACGTTTATGTCCATTGTCAACTCCACATTATTTACGATGGACCAGTCCTCCAACACCCCCATTCTCACACTCAACTTGATCCATAAAGGAAATCATTCAACAACTGTTATTACTGCACTGGTTTTCCTCACTCAATTCTGATCCTAAACTCAAATTTAAAATTTGATAGTGAAAGTTACTTAAGCTTTTAACATTATATTTAATTGTGTTAGTAGTTTATCTACAGGCAAAATACTTCTATATTTATTATATTGAAAATGAAAGAAAAATCAGGTTGGGGAGTGGAGCATTGAGGGTGGAGACGTGTCGGAATCAGAGATGGGTTATAGCTGTTCCTCGTTGGCAGCGACATTGATGAAGGGACGTAACGTAGGGGAGTGGGACCCACGAGCATGGTGATGAATGATGATGTGGATGCAGTCTCTCTCAGGAATCTCTGTCGTTGTGTTCTCTCTGTCACGGGGAGAGAGAGTGTGAAGATCCCATTTTTTTTGACTCTGCAAGCAAATGCATCATCATCGCATTCCACAACTCTCTCCCTTTTGTCAAGTCAAGACAACCTAACTTTAAACATGCCGGGTTTGCATTCACCTTTTTTTTATATTTCAAAATCGTGTATATATATATATATAAAAACTTTTTTAAAATTAATTATATCAGAATAACAAATCTGTTAAGTTTTATAAATTAATATTCTTACTTAAGAAATTTAAAAAGAAAATATTTTTATTAAGATGTGTAACATTAGGGATGGTAGCCAAACTGGATATATTCCTTAATTTGATAAATCTAACCTACACAGATTTGTTTGGTTGGTTTGAATGAATTGGATCAAGGAAGAATAAATATAAGTATGATTTAATTTGACTTGAATTATTTCGAAACAATTAATTTATTTTATTTTCTAGACAGCCTTAAAATGATTTTTGTTCCATTATTTTGGTGTAGAGAGAATTATTAAAGAAAGTTTTAGATTTCTAAGAACAAAGAAAAATATCTTACTATTCCCTCCCTCTCACCCATTTGTTCATACTTACAGTATGTTTACATTTACTATCAAAAATTTCATTCTTATTGTTTTCCATGACCCAATTTAAACTAATTTTCACCATAATGAGATTCATACATGGTTCATATGGGATCCAAACTATTTTATATTAAATCAGTTAAAATCGAATAGAAAATATATACCACAATCCTAATCAATGTCCAAATCTATATAATGTAATTAGATACTCTCCCAAGCAATAAAAAGTTTCTCCATTTAATTATTGTCCCAAGACACACTTCCTATTCAAAGGTCATTTAAAAAACAGTGTCATGTTATTAATAGATATAAGCAGAGAAATCAAATTCATTATCTTATCAATGAAACAGGGGTTAGTTTTTGGAATATGAACCATGATTTTGAGTGAGAGAAGTTATTGTTTATCCGCATCTCAAATAGGATTATGTTTGAAAGAAGAAAAATGTGAAAACCAACAAACAAACTCTTTTTCTTTTAACACATTAATACAAAACTGTGGTGTGGATTGGAAATTTGAGGTGATAAGTGTTTTGATTTGTTGTTGTCCGTTTGTGTTTGAATGATGTGAGATTTTGTATAAACTCGGTCGGTGGTTGGAGGATTTGATGAGTTGCAAGTGAAGGAAAGATGGTACAAACAAATAAACAAATAAACAAAGAAGGTGTTGTTGGGAGTATGATATGAATGAAGGAACCAACGATGATGCTTCATCTCAAAATCTCATCATTCATCGTCATCAAGTGGAGGAGAAAAGAAGAAGAAGAAGAAGCTACATGCATGATTGATTGCAACTCTTCTTTGCCCTAAAATGCCACAACTACTCTATTCTTATTCCTACACCAAACAGTGCCTTAGCGTTAAATTTAATCAATCGATGCCTGTGTTACTCTCACTGACACTGCCTTTTGCCACACCACTTGGCACGTGTACTTTGTCTCGTACAAGAGACAGACACACACATGTTCAAACACAAACTTTCTTTCGCTTTCTTAAGACTAAACCATGGTTATTTTTTTATGTCACTCGTGCATATCAAAATAGTAGCTAACAAATCTCACTCAACCATATTTTTTTTTTTTTTTTAGTTTTGTAACTTTTGTTATTATGTCTTTGGCATTGGGAAAGAGAAGAATTAATGAAGGAAGGAAGAGGAGTAGTAGTAATGGCCACTTTAATTTTATTAATTGTTATCAACCAAACAAGAAAACGACATCATCAATACAAAATTAATGTTATGAATCCCATGGAATGGATGAACCAAATTAAGTATAGTAGTAGTACATTACAACCTAAACACTATTCATTGGTTTGAATTGAATAGAATTACCACCAGAAAAAAGCGAGACACCAAATAACAAAAATTTAATGTTCACCATCACTTGCTTCTTGATTATTCCCATATGAGAGAGCAAGATGTGATGCAAATTGAAAAGTAATTGGTGGAATGTTGGTGTCCAAAAAGAAAGTGTAATGGTTCAAAGTTATGGAGTAAATGGTTGCCCCTACATTGGGTTGATTAATGCATGTGCTTTCATTTCATTTGGAAAAACTGTTGTTAGATATAGGTCGTTAGGGCACACACAACATATTATTAGGTCTATTAAACTGTAGAGGTAGATTGGTACTTGGTTGGTAATTAGGGTTTAGGTATTAGGGAGTTGGTAATTACTCTCTCTTACACCTTAATTAAGACAACGTAGGACCACTGTTATTCATGGCCATTGACTATTTAAAATGGAGCATGTCCCAACACGGCAGCATCAGCAGGAGCAACAGATTCAACATATTAATTCTTGTCCTGCTATTGTTTTCTTTTTCTTTTTCTTTTTATACTCCCTTTTCATTGTATCGTTTTCTCATATTTGAATTACTCTTCCCTCCCGCAAAAATTAATACAAAGTGAAATAATTATGAATGTGTCTTCAATTGGTTTATATATTTTCTTTATAGGTCCAACTAACCTTGAAATGTGTAATGAAATTTTAGATATCTCTATTAATTATTACCTTTGAAATTTTGCCTAAATAGATAATCAGAAACATTTTTTAACAAGTCGAGCATCATCGAGAGATTTAAAAAAACAGAAAAAAAATCTACATTAAAGAATATACTCAAATGCAATACATATTAATTTTTCAAGAAAGGAATGCGTATTTTAAAACAAAAAGAGATTATGAGAGTGTGTGATATAAGTAATCGCTGAAGGAGGAGAGAAATATATTATACTTAATAAAAAATGATACACAACACTTAGTGATAATCACAAGCTAGATTGAATTTTTATATATAGTTGTCAGTGAAAAGGAACAACATACCAACTCTCGATTTACAACAATTTTGGGAAAATAGAAGAAAAATCATTCTGAAGCTGATTCCTTTTCGACCTGATTAAGTCTTTCATACTCATGGGGTGTTAGATTAATCCTTCGTTAAATCATTAAAATAAAAATAAAAATGGGTTAATTCATAAAGAGGTCTGCATCTATTTAAACTTCACTTACAACGGAACAAAAAATAACACTAAGATGCTATGTTTGAGTTTGGTTGCAGTCATAGGGTTGAAGAATCAAACACGTGTTATTATATGGGCTTTCTCTGAAACATTAAAGCCCTTGTGATCCATGAGACCATGACATTCTTGGGCCACTAAAAGAATTAGGGCCTCTTTTGCAATTAATACTATCCAAAAGAGGAATAAAACACTTCGAAGTTTACACCTATTAAGCTAAGTGAGGATTTGGAGAAAATCAGTCCGAATATCCCAAATTAATTTTTGTTTTAGTATGAAATAATTTAGATTATCAAGTTAAGAAAAATTCATCCGAATATGGTTTCTTCCCCTAAGAAAGGTTAAAAGGCATGATGATAGGCGAAACTATGCTTCATTCAAATGTGTGGTTTAAGATTTCGATGGCAAGCAGGGAAAAGAGGTTCAATGAAAAAATAGAGGCGGAAATGTAATGGATCAACATAATTCAAATATAAATTTGAAAATGCACACTAAAATTATAATTATGAACAAAGTATAAAACAATTAAGAAGGCATGATGACCCTTTAAAAAAATTTAGGCGAACCCACACCCACCATTGGACTTTTTAGTATGGGCCATCCCTTTAAACATTGTTGCTAGAAACAAATTCCACTTGCATGTTATGAAGGGAAAGTGACCAAGCCATTTTGAATCTGACTAGAAAAGCATTAATCTAGCTTGCAAGTCTTCTAACATAAAAAAAAGCCACACATGTGCTTTCTTTAAAATGTTGTTCCATGTTATGGGGCATGTGATATTATTGTCCTTGCCTCAATTTAATCCTTGACTTTATGTTCTGGTAGCACATGCATCAGCAATGGCAAAGATTCTTGCACCCACTCTATAACTCTTCAGCCCCACAGCCATGCATGCGATCCAGTTAAAAAATTGCTGGCTGCTTCACCAACCACCACAATGAAAACAACATTACACCATATTCAACCTCTCGAGCTTTCAACACCATGTTCCCCGAATTCTTCCTCGCAAAGCACTAACCTGCTACTACCTTTTATTTTCACCAATCAATTTACATTAATTAAACAAATGATGCTAAGCAATATAACATTAGACTATAATAAAAACAACAAACAAGGAGGATCCTGTTTAGGACTACCGTTTCTTACTCAATATAATCAATCCAACATAAAAATTATCCTACAGAATTTCCATGGAGATTTGATGAAGCCAACATAGAACCCCTAACACCCTCCTGGACTCTGCTTCTCATCTCCACGACCTTCTTGTGACAGTTTGAGTGCAATGATGCAACAAAAGTTGGGCTAGCTGCTGGCCGGTACTCCGGAAAGAGGCGGCCAGACCTATATCGAACACCGCAAGCATTGCAGAGTGTTTTGGGACCCATAGGTCCCTCTCTCCATTGTGGAGTCTTTGTCACCTCACAATGCATGCATTTTCTGGGGGGATCTGACTCCAGATGTGAGGATCTTATCATCTCAACATCTTCTGACAGCAGGGACAAATCCTTTTTCCTGTGGCTTTTTACTTTGTTTGATATATTCCCAGCAGCATTTGTTCCGAAATCTGATTCAGAGGCAGATGTCCTTAGCTGTTTCTGCAAAGCCTGTGAATTAAGGATGAAAGGATTGGAAAATAGAGGACTGAAGCTTGAAACACGCTGCCGTTTACTTCGAGCCCGCTTTACTGGAATGACAGGTTGATCAAAGTTGGAATTCTCAACAGAGGAAGAACTGCTGCTTTCAAAAACTGAAACTGGGCTGTAGGTTCGGAATTGATACAAATCTTTTCCATTGAAATTGACATTCTTGATGGGAATGGATTTTCCATATGTTGGTCCAGGAGCCTTTGCCAGCTGTTTTATTGGGGAAATCACGTTACACTGCAATGCCAAACAGTCATCAAACCAACAAAAATAAAAATAACAAGAATCAGATGCAACATCAGTGGATATGACTATTTGAATAAACAAAGTGAGAGGATTCTATGTCATTTCTTCCAACATTTACATATATACTCCACAAATCTAATCACGTGAAAGCCCTGCGATTGTTCTAAAATTGATACTCATAATCAATTATCAGATGCTTAAAGCATCCTACCAGGGTCCAAAACAACAAAAGACACGGTAACTCAAACTACTTGAGTCTTTTAGCAATTTCAATTTGCAGACATATACGAGAACTCAATAATGAGTCTCAGCCAATTAGTATCAGCCACCCAACCATGTCCAAGGAGTTTCTTTAATTAAGCCAAGGATGGAAATAGCTTTGCGCAAGGGATCTGATAGTTAGAACTGTACCCCACAATTTACCAGATACAAGCACCCAAACATGCATTCTTTTAATCATCCACTTCTTGGCAAAGCAATTTTTTACATCTTTCTGCGGATGCATGCCATCCATTCACCATCAAAATAACTAAGCAATTAAAAAATTCCAAGCTTTGTCACCAGAACTTAATCACTTTCCGAGAGCAACACCCGAAACAATATACATCATGAGTTGCAAGGTGTTACTGAGATTTAAGATTTATCCACCGATAAATTTCAAAAATATCAACTTAGCTTTCAAAATTCAACATTTTAACACAAATTTAACTGAATAAAATTGATGATATATATATAACACAAACAATAATAGTAATTGTTAGAATATCTAATATCTTAGATTATCTCATAGGATCAGTTTTCGTATCTCCTCCTTATCTCTTAAGTTAGTAGGATTCTGCTTATATACACAAGGATTAGTACTCTAGGTTTCAAAAACACATCTTTGTTAATATCAATTTAGTGTCTTCAACTCTGTTATTTCTCTTCTTCACTCTATGCTTAAAACACCATAATTTCAACAGTAGTAAATTTTTTTAATTTTAGAACCTGATAGTTATGATTGATGAATCTTTATAATTACATAACTAAAATTAAACAGATGACTCATTTTCCAGCCAATTTTTTCTCACTTTCTTCCTCTTTTGTCTTTCTTTAAACCTTTTAATGCCAGCCAAAAATGTTTACTGAGATAGGGAGTTTATGTAACTTGAATGGGAGAGGAGAGATTATCATCAAGATTCCAACCTTCCTCCTCCCATTGTCACACAACCCTGAAGCTCCAACTTCAGGTGCATAAGCACTGAGCACTACAAATAGAATAATAGCAGCAGCATCTCCAGGACATTTTGGGTCAGTAGTAGATGAAATGTAGCAATTTTTCAACAAATTTGTTAACAACTACGTATTTTATTAGATATCCTGTCACTGCAATGACTGAGTAAATGACATTGGCAGCATACTTTCAAGGGAATTCAAACTGTGGCTTCCTCTACCATTAACTCATGGAAACAGATCTGTAGAAGACAATAAAGCATGTGGTATGCAATTAAAGTTGCTCAATAATCCTTCCTATTAAGGAAATGCACCTAACCCCTGTATCTTCCATGTTTTTACACTAATTGTCGAAATCTCCTAACTAATGTACCCTGACACTACAAGGCTCCTTGACACATGAAGGTATGGGGGATGGCCCCTTGCATATGCAAAGAGGCTGTTTTCAGATTTGAGCCCATGACCAACCTGTCATCAAGGCACAACTTTACAATAGTGCCAGGGCACGCTCTGTTTGTCAATTCTCCTAGATCATAACAAATTCGTCAACAAATCTCTTCTCTTACCCAATAAGTATTTTAATGGCCAACATTTTTGTTTGGCAATCTGACAAATTCCTAAGCAACATTTTAGAATAACTACTATAGAAACTCATAGTTCTCTGGGTAACAAGACATTGCCCCCGTGATATTGCAACTATAAAAATATCGTAGTCGTCAAATTAACAGAATTAACATCTCCTATCAAAGGTTTCTGGTGAAAGTTCAGCAAAAACATTTCGTTCAGAAAGCATAGATTACATGAAACAAACCGGCCATTCCCAACAACCGAACTAAAGGACCTAGATCAACAAAATTTCTCCTTTAGCTGCACTCACGTAATTTCAGTTTCACATAACAAAAACATGCACATAATTAATTCGTCAATATAAGTGCACTGCATTGACTGTTCATCATGACTTCCCATGTGCATAACTAATAGAATAGGGACAATCATGGACTCTAAAAACAGTATGTAACCGAAATTTAGGCCACATCATCAAGGTCTTTTGACTCGGCTGAATTTTCCCATAACGTCAGCAACAAAACTAAAGCCACGACCACATTTTAAACCCATGGGGAGCAATATGCAAGAGAAGAATTTAAGTAGGAAAAAATATCACACTCTACAGTCCTACACACCATAACCGTGGGCAGAATACTCACAGAAGCAGAGAACTCCGTTCCGAGTTGGGGGTTTTCAGTTTGAGTTTTGCCACATAGCCCATTTGATGATGCTGAAAGAACCTCAGAATGTTGGTCTTCAAGGCATTTCAATTGAGAATCCCAATCTTCTTCCACATCTTCCAGAGGGAAATCAAAAAAGCCAACGACATCATCAAAAATCTCATCTGACAGACCATTGAAGTTATTGTCGAAAAACCAGGAGTCCTTCATGTTAGTAATATCCTGTTCCAACACACTACAGTACATAAGAAACAGCAAACACACACATTGTCATTCCTTGCTTGCACACAACAGAAGAAGTTTGGAAAACAGACAACAGAAACCACCCATCATTGGTTAAAAATCACCAAAAATCAGAATTTATGTCATGTTTTCTGGTCTAATTTGGATAACAAGGCAATTAACTGAGCCACAATGAGGATGTACCTTGTAAATATTCACAAAGAAAGAGAAAAACCCAGCAAAAAACAGTAAAACACCAGTCTTTCACAATGTCTTCCAAGTTGAAAAGAAAAACAAAATCACAAACAAAGAAAGGAAAATGCGTGCAATATCTTATGTTAAAAGAAAAAAGGAGACACACAAGCAGACAAAATTGAGGAAAAGGGTAGAGCTTGAAAGACCTCAGACATGGGTTTGGTGGAGTGAGGAAATGGAGCACATTGTAGTGATTCGGAAACAGGTAGAGAAAGAAGAAATTTTGAGGATTATTTGGAGACAACACATACGAAGATCTTGAGCAATGAGAATCTCTGTGTCTGAATTTGGTAAATTAGGTTTTATTTTCCTTCAGCGCCACTAGCGCTACTACCATGCGGAAACCCTCATCCTCCTCTCGTGACTTCAATAAATATTTCTCTTTCCATAATAGTATTCCATCTATTTCATACCAAATTTTAATTATTATATTCATTTGCTTCTCTTCTATTAAAACCCTTTCTCCTTGTTTATTATGGTTTTGTTGGTATTAAACACTTTCAAAAGTACTATGATAAAGTTAGAGTTACAAAAGCAAAATCTAACGTGTATTATTCTCTGGTAATTTATAAGATTTCAGCTTTTGTTTTGCAATTTTAACGTTAAAACGTGTGACGGTCATGCTATCTATACCTTTAGGAACATAGTACGAGAATAACGGAACTAAGTTTTTTAAAAATAAAAATACATAATTAGAAATAAATAATAATTTGGAAATTCCTTGTCTTAATTATGTTATGTTTTAAATAAATCATGAAGATAGAAAAAGTTTGATATAATTTTTTTCTTAATGAATGAATGGTGGTTAATAAAATTGTAGGCGAAGAAAACCGTGGGAAGTAGAAAAATCATAAAGAAGGGTTGGTCAAATGCGGTGGTAAGGTTGATGAAGGAACATGAGATATGGATCTCAAACCAATTGTTTATAGCTAAAATAGGTGGATCCCAAAAATATTATTATTTTTTTAAAATAATTGTGTCATTCCAAATTTTATATAGTGATTTTTTTTAAATAAATATATAAAAAATTAATGGAGCGATCACCGACAAGAGCAGCGAAATGTTTACACACATGTTTTTTATTTTATTTTATTTTCAAGAATTGAGTAAAACATGTTTAACTTTAAGTATTTTTACGTATTGTAAGAAATGTATTCTATAAAAAAATTTATTCAAACGTAATATTATACAGTCATACGTACTATGTCACAATAATTATTTTCAAAGCATATTTAAATTATTTAATAATATAAAAAGTTTGCAATTATAATATATTAATTTTTATGATATAAACAATTCTCTCTTTTATATCATATTGATAAGTTGATAGATTGATTAGGAAACTAAGTTAAAATTCAGTATATTTTTATAATTAAGTATTTCCTTCAAATAATGACGCAGTAATAAATGTTTTATTAAATAGATGTTATAAAGAATTGAAATATTTTTGTACGTGTCAAGATTTAAATAAACAAAAGTTATCATGTCTGTGCCACTTATTAACCATTTAATTCTTTGCATTTCTTATTTTAAAAGATATCACACAAATTTAAAAGATAATATCTTCTTTTAAATTTATCTTAATTTTATTTTACTCTCATTATAAATAAGCTTGTGAATATTAAAAATATATAAAATTCATATTTTGGATATCATATTTAATCTTGTTTCAAAATTTTAAACTGAAAAATACATACAAATATTTTTTTCTCTTGAAAGGAAACACATAAAAATTACTTATGCAAAATAAAAATAATAAGCTGAAAGATAAAAGACAGATATCATTAACTTATATTTTAAATATTAAATATTTCTACATGTAATAAATTCCGAAACGAGTATAATTTTAAATATTAAAAATTTATTACTAAAAAAATCATTTTAAGTATCTTCAATAAGATTTAGAGAAGCTATATTCATAAAAGTAAAATACAAAAGGAGTATTTCTTTTATTATTATTATTATTATTATTATTATTATTATTATTATTATTATTATTTATTTGATGGTTGAAAATAGGAGTCAATTATTATTACCACGTTTATTTATCTTATCTTGATTTTCGTTGCAAAAAGAAATAGATATGGGCCCTCCAATTAAATAATATGATGGTACTAGTTTTCAACGTGGGACCCACGCGTGTTGGTGCATCGAGTTTAGAAAAATCAAAATGAAGATGCAACGCTCTTTACGTCCTTCGCACAAATATTAACTTTTGGGCGAAAAAAATATCTTAAGTAGAGTTTGGTAAGGTTTAATTTTTACTTTTTTCCCTAAAACTTGAGTCAAACACTCATACATAAAAGCTTTTAAAATAATAAGTGTTTTCACAAAAGCTCATTTTACCTAACTTCAAATCTAGTTGACATTATGTTATTTTTTTATAACTTCATGCATTTTTTATATTTCTATTTTATATTATTGGATTTTTATTATTGAGTCTATATATCTTCAATATCTTCAATGTATTTTAATGTTTCATTGTAATAATTTTATATTTAAAAAAATATTAATAAAAAATATAATTACTATATATATATATTCAAATATATAAAATAATTTAAAATATAAACTCTCATAAAAAAATATATAAATACTTATACAATATCACAAAATGTAAAATTAATAAAAATATATAAATCTTATTTATTCTAGTTCTATTATTCCTATTTTATATTTAATATGTATACTATTTATTCTCGTGTAAATATATCATTATCATAATTTAAAATAATACACAAAAATATACAATATATCAATAATTTAAAATAAACATCTCAAAATTAAATTTTTTATAAAAAAATAAAACATGCATCTTTACATTTATTATTATTATACAAAACTATTCTAAAGTTAATAATAAATATATAAATTTACCTCATAAGAACCATGATCAGAAATTCACGTAACTTTCGCTAAAATATTCTAGATAGTATACAGATGCTCTGGTATAGTCATGGTAAATTTATATGGTAGATTAAGTCACAAAAACTCATTTTATTCTAGTAATTAATAAAATATGATACCAAATAATAATATACACGTTTTCTTCCTATATAATTCATAATAGGTACCCGTATAATTTAGTATTTGACTTAATATTTAAAATATGAAGATGTATACAAATTAATTTTATTAAAAAAAAACACATATTTAAGTTTTTTTTCTAATCTTCATTTTCTATTTGATTAAGCAAAATTTAAACAAAATTAAACATTCGTCGTTATCCCAAATTTACTTACACGTATTTAAAAATATTGAGTAAAATTTAAATAGATCATCATTCTCTTAAATCCACTTTAAAAAATAAAAAATTGTTAGACAAATTTATGACAATTTTAAAGCTATATAATCTATCAAATACCCTATTTTCATATAAGTAAAATCAAATTGAATTCACTCACTGTCTTTCAAATTATAAACTAACTCACAAAATACAATCTATATATAATACAACAATACAAAACATTATTATTTTTAATATAACAATACAAAACATTATTATTTTTAATATGACCAAGTTGTATTCAATGTTCAATTATAATTGTTATAGTCATCTATGGAATCAATTAACTCAATTTCTTATAATTTAAATGTGATAGAAAAAAATAACTTAACCATCTAAAATACTAAAATATTCAGTGAAAATAATTTTTTTAAATTTGTAAGAACATGTGAGAAACAAATAATAGCGAGAAAATGACAAAAATAATGATAACAGAGTATTAGACTCAACATTATCTAGATTATGAATAGGCAACCACATCAGATTACCATCACTGAGATTATTATATTTTTCTGTTTTCTCCATCTTATTAACATCTTCAATGGTTTGGTCTTCCATGAACTACAATTACGACTTTTAACTAGTTTTTTTTCAATAGGATCATATAACCTGTAGTTAAATTTATCCTGACCATAACCAATAAAGATACAATATTTTGTCTTTGCATCTAATTTGGATCTTTCATCTTTTGGAACATAAACAAATGTCTGCAACCAAAGACACACAAATGATCATAGTTAACATTCTTGCAAAACCAGATTTTGTCTAGTACAACAATATTCAAAGCAACTGTAGGACTAAGATTAATAACATGCACGATTGCAAGCAATGTCTCTTCCCAAAAAATGCTTAGACAACTTTACTTCAGAAAGTATATATCTAACTCTTTTAACCAAAGTCTTGTCCATCATCTCTGCTAGATCATTCAACTGAGGAGTTTGTTTTAGGAGGAGTTTTTTCATGTCTGATGCCCTACTGCTTGTAATAAATATCAAATTATTCACGATACTCATCACCATTATCAGTATGAATGCATTTTAGCTTCCTACCTGATTGTCTCTCAACCAAAACATAAAATTATTTGAACGTTTCAAGTACTTGATATTTTCTTTGCAGTAGATATACTCATAGCTTATTGAAACAATCATCAATAAAAGTAATAAAGTAAAGTGCACCATTAAACGATTTTACATTCAATGGGTCACAAACATCAGAATACATCAATTCAAGCAACCTTACTTTTTTTAGGGAAGATGCTTCTTAAAGGATACTCTTTGTTTACCAGTCATGCAATGATAACATTTCTCCAACTCTATACTCTTTAATCCAAAAAAAAAATCTTTTTTAGCTAAGTAATTAAACTATTTTTTACTTATATGACCAAACCTTCGGTGTCATAAAAATACCTCCATATACATAATATTCACATTGTCCTTAGTAATCAAAACTTTAGTCCAATATAATTTAGAATTTTACTCCCCTCTAGTCATGACCAAGTTACCTTTAGTAAGTTTTCATTTATCAGAACCAAAGTGATTGTCATAATCACAATCATCAAACAAATGTTCAGGTATCATATTAAAATGTACATCTGAAGCATGTTTGACTTTTCTGAGTAATAATTGTACTCCTATATTGGTTTGCAAGCAAACATCACCAACGCTTACAACATTTGATACACCATCAGTACTCATCTTCAACATTCTAAAATTACCACAAGTGTAAGATGTGAAGAACTTATTCCTCAATGTAACATGCAGTGTAGTAGCACTATCAATTATCCACATACTCTTATCAGATACAAGATTAATAAATTCATAATCACGAAAAAGAACAAGGTCACCACATGTAATAATAACACAATCATCATTATCATAAAAAAACGAAACTATTTTCTTTTCTTTTTCTCTTCTAAAGGACTACAAAATTTTCTTTCTATTCTGACTTAGGTTAAATAAGATTAAATAGACTTTAATTAATTTGAACTTTTTACATACTTAATTGAAAATCCAACCTAACAAAAACAATACAATTAAGTTCATCTATAATTTTTCTAATACACAGTGCTAAAAAATTAAAAAATAACAAACTTAACTTCATTTACAATAATAACATTGCCTTCGTATCAAAATCCTATAAGATATAAACATTTCTAAATTAATCAATATTCATTTCTCTAAAAAAAACACATAATTCCACAAATTAGATGATACCTAAATTGTTTATAGGAAAAATGATCTCTTTCTTTGTGAACATCAAGACATATTTGAATTCAAAAAATATATAAAAGAAAAATAAATAGAGTGAACAAAATTTATTGAAAATAAAATTAAAATGATTAAATATTTTTATTTATAAATTATTTTAATTTACTCGATAAAACTCTAAAATTTATTTTTATTAATCCATTTTTACTCTTAAACAAGCTAAACTATATTCAAAAAATAACATCAAATAAGATTTAAATAAAACTTGTAACAATAAATACAAAATTGCTTAAATTTTGAATTGGTACGAAGATCTTTCTAATGACTGATAGTTTTCTTTTAAATTAATATCAGTAAATTTCTAAAATAATAAATACGAATATTAAAAAAAATGTATGATGGGTTTAGAGAAATAAAAATAATAATAAAAAACAGTACAGATTTTAAATTATTACGTTTTTTAAATGTAAATAATTATTTTAAACGTAGAATTTTTAGATAAAGAAAAATTCATACATGTAAAAAATGAAGTAACTAATTTGAAAAGTTTAATATTTGAAGAATAAAAAAATAACATAAAAATTCGAAAATAGTAATAATATAAAATTAAAAAGGTAAATAATCAATATAATATAAAAATGAAGCCACTTACAAAATAAAACAAAAACCGTTCACGATAACTTAACTTTATATGATTTAAATTGAATAACTCTTTTATTATCACCCCGGAATTTGAAAATGACTTTGCATCCATAAATTAAAAATGAATTACCCGTACAAACTTATATTATATTTAGTTTTTTCATTTATTAGTATATAAAGTTTATAAAAGATTACCTAAGATAAATCAACTATATAAATATAATTAGTGAATAACAATTAATAGGAGAAGATGTTTAAAAAAAAACTAATTGGTACATTTTTATCGACGAAGATGTAATTATTATACTTGTGGCAACATAAATTTCTACGGAAAAATAAAGTTAATTAACGATAGAAAACAAATAATTGTAAGGGAAAGAGAACTTTGAACAACTAGGATGACACAGAAAAATTGGTAGATCTGAAAACAGAGAAACTTGCTTCTCTGATCTACCTTTTATTAATAATGAAGATCTTAGCAAAATTATTAGATAGCATAACAAAACATGAAAGAAAAGAAAAAATTATCATAGAAGAACATAAAAAAAAAGTATAAAATAATAAACAAGTAGAGAATTTCTGACATAGCATGTTAAGCTTTTTCTTATTCCATTTTGTCTTTATAGTTCCAAAGGACGTGGTTATAATATTTATGAAATTGATTAAAGACCTTGAGGCAAAAACCAAGTGAAAAAAATAATTACTTAAAATTTTTTAGTCGTTTTCTTATTTGATTAATCTCTATTACGAATATTTCAGGACACAATTTAAAAAAAAATATTTATCTAAAAATGTACATAGTTTACCTGTACACTTACTTATATCTGATTTTTCATTCTTAAATGAGATTTAAAAAAAAAAACTTAAATTACGTTATTTCCATGTATAAAGAATTTAAATTCGTATTTTAATTTTAACACGTGATTCACTACATCAAGTTAGATATTTCTCTGCTTTACATAGTCTAAATATTGAAATTAGTGTAATCTTAATTCAAATATTGAAGTATCAGACAAATAATATGATAGTTATTGATTCAAATTATTTTTTCCTAATTTTCATAGTGTTTTATATATATTTTTTAATTTAGTTCTACTTATGGTTTTTCTAATAAACTAACAAAAAAACTGTTTAATCTCGGTAGTATACATAATTTATAAAAATGAAAAATATTTTTTATATGCAAATTTCCACGTTTTGTAATAATATTAACACAAAGTTCATTTGAAAACAAAAAATCCAAATATGTTTTTTATTTTTTGAAAACTTAAAACATTAGACAAGGATTAGGTAATTTTTATTTTATAAATAAAAAATTAACTACGTTTATTTTAATTTAAATATTTTTTTATATATTTTAACTTTATTTAAATTTAAGTACATTTACGTAAAGCGTCGGCATATGTTACGTAAATTAATTTTTTTGAAAGATCTAGGTCCAAGATATGCTTGAGGCAAGTTGTCCTTTGATTTTTTTTTTTTATCTATTGGTTATAAAGAAATAATATATTTTAATTAATTTTAAGTTTTTAAGATAATATTAATTATTATTTACTTTCTCTCTTTACAAATATAGAGAAAAAGAATAACATTAGAAATATAAAAATAATAAATAAAAAGATAGATAATATTTTAAAAATTATAAACAATCCTAATATATATGAAGATTTAAAAATAATTGACAATTATATTCTAACTGTTTTAATAAATGTAATTATGTAAAACAAGACATGTGATGATAATTGTTTTAAAAATGGGTACATGATCTTAAATATACTAGATACAGTGTTGCTGATGAGAAGATGTAATCCCACAAATTATTAGGGTGATGAATACAACTTAAAGTTGAATAATGGAATGGTTGTATTTAGAAGAAAAAGCGAAAGACAGAGAGGAAAGTGGTTAAGACACGGAAGGGCCTCACAAGTGACGGAGGATAATGGAATTGCGAAGGAACACGGTAAAGATTATTAAAATGCAAGACAGTGACAGAGAAGAGGTCAGTGAATGCCACAAACACTAGGGGAAATTGGGAAACAAACCAGGTCTGTGGTTGTCCTCAGATTTGTTCCTTCAGAAGCAAAATCCTCCATAAAAATTCATCGCAATCTTAGTTAGTTAGTTAGTTAGGAATCATGTCAAGTGAAGAGTGGGCCAACTGCTAACAAACTCTTTGGTAATGTTCGCATCCAAACATGGTGTGGGGGAAAACCTTCCTCTTGTCTCCTCCCTATTATTTTTCACAAATGGAGAAGGGCAAACGGGGTCACACTGCACTTAAAAATGGATATGGACATCTGAACTGCTCTGCTGCTGCTGCTTTTCATTTTTGCTTTCAATTTCAAATTGGATTGCGAATGAAGCCTAGTTGGACTTGTGATTCAATCCAACTGCTCTTACATCCAAGCTTTATGATTAGAAAACCATTGCTTCACCAAATTTAGTTTGATGGTCTAAGAATAATTAAACTAAAGTCTAACGTTGGGTTAAATATTTTTGCTTATTTTTATTTTAATCAATTAAAAATTATCAGTGATACATGCATGCACCTGTCGTATTTCTTTTGAGGTGGCTGTCTAGTCCAAGTCATCACTATTTAGAAAGTACAACTAAAAACAACTTTATTTTCATTGATAAAATAGTGGGCTATATTATTTTTGTAGACATCTTCTCATAAATCTTTCGTACTTTTTTATTTATTTTCCTTTCTCACTTCATCAGACCGCTCACGATACTGTTCTCTTCTTAGTTCTTATATTTCTTGCTAGCATGAAAAACTATAAGAATAAAATTTCTCAATTACTACAGGAGACTTGGGGAAACATAAGAATAAAAAAAAATTAGACCTTGTCCATATCTTTATTAAGTTAATAATAACATGGTTAGTGTAAAATTATGTAATTTTGGATTGAATGGTGTCGTTATTTGTAGAAATATACAGAGAAAAATGAAAATGATTATTTTTTTCTCCCAAACACCACGCCATTATTCCAAGTCAATAAATGTCAATATTTCATTGCCTGAATTCGTGACACCAAAATTGGACACAAGCAAAAGGAATGAGTGACGTATTTAAATAAAAAAAATAAAAAAATAAAAAATCAGTTGTAAAGAAAAAAAAATGCAACTTTCATTTTACAAATTCCCCCACACCATCCATCCTAACAGCGCTCACAGCACACCATAAACTGCTTCAAGATTCAAATTGATTGAACAAATTCTGAAAGTGGGTTTGTGGAGACAAGAATCTAAAATTTCAATTATCTACATTTGCAACTTGGGAATTCTCTCCTTCACAACGTTCTTGTCATTGTCAGGAAGTTTCATCGAAAATCACGGTTTCAGACAAACCGCTTTAGAAGCATCCAGATGGTTAAGCCGGCAAGTTCCAAGAAGAAATTCAGGGAGCTCTTCACGTGTGTTTCCCTGAACAAGATCACACGCAGAAATTATTATTATGTGTCCAGAATAGCAAAATCGTTCATTAGGAAAAATGGCAATTGATTTTATAAGAGAATCTTGCACAAGATTATTGATATATAATTTCACCATCCTTTTAGCCTGACAACTAATTAAATGGAAACAAAAAATAACAAGATCACTTTACCTGTATTAAAAAAGCCATCTCAATAACCAGATGGTTGAGGTACCCAAGGACAAGACTCACAACACCTCTTGCAACTGTAGATGATCCGATATCAACCCCAAGCTGAAATGAATGCCACGATTTCTTGATAAGAATGAAATGAAAGATGGTTGGCAGTTAAATTTTTTATGCATCATGCATATCTATTAAGCCCAATTCCGAACTTTCCTGATTAATTGTCCTACGCTTATTATATATTCCGCAGACTAGAGATATTTATATTTCATAGGCGTCAACTCAAACTGGTAAACACAACGTATTTATTCTAATTATCTTCTTAATTTTCCTAACAAGTTGCTATTGTACTGATAGCCATGAAAATTTACCTCCAAATAGTTCCTTCCCTGGAAATAATTGATTTCCAAAGCTTGCCCAACTAGGCACGCCTTCTTTCCCACACTCTGCTTTACTATCCATGAACCCTGAAACAGGAATGTCAAGACTTACAATCCAAAGGCTAAACAGATGACAAATAATAGACACTTTTCCCTCTTAACATGGACTATGCATAGTTATTGAGGATGAAAAATTCTAGAACAGATAGTTCCTTTGAATTCAGTGATTAAGTGAAATCGAATCAATCACTGACCCCGGGATAAAAAAAACACGTTCCCTATAAAGACGTTACTAGAAAATCTAAATGAGTTCAAGGAATTGGTAAGAGGTAAATGCAAGGAAAGGAGAGGGAGATGTAATTAATTGGATCGCTTGAGATTCAGTCTATATACATTCCTACAACTGGGAAAGAGGGTTGATATATCATTTGTTTGTTTTATGTATTTACCAATGATGAAACCAAATTACGGGAAAAAATTTCTCAGTCACAACATGAGAGCGCTATTAGCCTGCAATTTAGGCGCACATTGACTCACCTTAGATATGTACGGTATAAGTTTAAATCTTGAATTTCTGAAGGCATCATCACCCTTAATAAAACTCTCTAGCAAAGGAGCATCTTCCACGGGAGTATTCATCACATAGTATAGTGCTAGGCTATATGTAGTAGAACCTGGAACCTGGTTCATAGAAACACATAATCAGTGCAGTGCTGAATTTTGGGTAACAACCTAAGCACAAGACTATTAATTACCTGAATGTTTACAATGAAAAAGAACTCGGGCCCTCCCTGCGCTGCATATTTCTGCAACAAATAAAACTTCAGCAAATGGATTTTTCTTATAATAGAAGTCGCAAGTTGGTATACAATGTCTGAATATAATTGAAATCAAGAATAATATAATTAAAGTCCAGAATAACATAATCATAGGCAATGCCAACCTGCACAATGCTCCCAGGACGTCCACCAAGGTCATCTTCCCTTTTGTCAGATCTCACCCAATCTGCAGCAACCATTTGCATCAAGGTTCCCTTCGCTTTATACTAGTAATTAATACCAGACATTTGTGATTAGTGATAATGTCCATGGTTAAACCAAATAAGAACAAAAGGATGATTGCTTATAACGTGGTTAATCTGTAGTCAGCACTTTCATCATAGCATCGAAACTGTGTAATATACAAAGAAAACATAATCTAGTGTTTGATCATTAAAAGATCATTTAAGTAACAAAATGGATAAAGAATTGCATGCACAAGCCGGAACAACCAAAAGCAATCTTCACACAGAAAGTGATAATCTGTTGTAGCTGTTATACCTTTAGGTGGTCTTCGAGATAATTTTCTCCTCGAATCAAGAAAGTAGAAGGATCTGCTTCAGTCAAACTGCAAGGTAATGTACAAGTAGGATCTTGCGGAAGAGTGGATCCATATGAGCATGTGATACTACTGTCTTCCCTGACCATCTCTTGCAAGTCAACGTAACCCCTCTTCTGAACTGCAACAGAATCTCTAGACATTGTTAATCAACGAAAGCAATAAAATCATGGTTAATCATAATATGCAATTAAAGAGTACAAGTCACCTGCAAGATCATGCAACCTTTTAACAAAATTAGCAGCAGTTGATAACTTTTGATGACGAATGTCCTGAAATTCTCATATTCACAGCAGGACATGGAAAGGCCCAAGTCAAACAAAAAATAAAGTTTGACTAAATTTCCAGTGCAAAACAATATAAGCATAATATGAGATGAGAAGTCCAGCATCATAAAATTATTATAAGTAAATATGCCCACATGCAGCCCCACCTTTGAAGGCACCATCTTGGAATGCCTTGGGCAGTGATGAAAATGATTGCACTAAATATCCAAGGGGCTTCACAGGATAAAATGCTAAATTGTAGGGCTATATGTAAACTGCATAAAATTAAAATATGGCTAAATATAGCCTGCCTTCAATTGAAGCTCTTGGAAGTTGGAATGTCATCAGCAGTGGGTAAACATGCTTGCACTGAGCATCCAAATAATTTAGACAAGATAAAAAAAATGCCAAACTATGTGAAAAATATATAAAACTATGTATAAACTATCTAGGGAGAAGCACACCAAATGGAGCATACAGAAAAAGGGAATGGAACATATTGTGCAGTTGAACAACCTTAAAAGGTAAAAACATTTGATTGGAAGACCTACAATTGTGAATAACTTCTTACTAAATTAATAAACACAATTCAATATCTAAAGGATCATGAATTGAAGATTATGCCTAAATGTTGAAACTTTTGGTCCATGACAATATCCGGAAAGATGTTAGGCTTTGGCTCTGATACCATGTTAAGGTTCCAACATAAAATCAATTGGCAATATGTGGATTAGCCTAACATGTATTTAAATCATACCAAATGACATGAGGTAGGCGATGTGGGACTTTCAACAAATAGTATTTCCAAATTACACATATAGTTTGTCTGATGTAATGTTTATTCCATTAATGTGGCTAAGGCATGTGTGGGTGTTTTCTAAGAAGATGGAATGGAATGGCAAGGCTAGAAATGATATATAACACAACACTCTGATTGATTGTTAAAAAAGTTTAATTGAGGGATTCATAGTATTAGAAAATGGATATGGGCCTATCTCAACCCCACATACAAAATCGGTTTATACATCACTTATATACTATAATTTGACCATAATTCTAGTTGATGTGTAATGTCCAATACAACCCCCCACGACGTGGACCGAACATCTCAAGTGTGGGATTGGATAGTTGTGGGATTTTCAATATACATAAAGGATACGAGTGATTTCCAACACATTCTCTTATATCAAGGATATGGATGGTTCAATAGTGGTTGATACAAAGGTCCCAACAAACATTGCTAGAGTAGGGTTGGTAGTTCTGGTTTATCAACCTATTTTGGCCTACATTATCTAGTCCATCAACTTAATGGGTCAAGAGTGGGACAGACTGGTTTATTGGCCAATTTAAAAAAAAACTTATATATTCAAATTGAAATAAAAAGAGTCCTAATTTAAAATATTATATTTTTTTGTGTTATGTTATTAGAATATGAAAATATACTATAATATTGTAATTTAAATAATAAATACTAACAAATAAAGCTTAAACTATTGATTATAATTATTTTAACACATATATGTAGTAAGTTTATCAATTTATCCAATAAAATATATTAATTAATGAGTAGAGATTTAAAAAATGTTCATATAATTAAACGTGTATTTTTTGAAAAAATATATAAAAAAATTGTTGGATGGGGCAAGGTTTGTAATCTGATTTGACTATGGCGGGTCAATTCACCCCATCCCATTTTTAGCATGCCAAAAGTGGGACGGGTCAAAATGGGACAAGTTGACATGTTTTGCCACCTTGGTTGCGAGGAGGTCAACCATGTACGGTCCAACACTTGTCAATTGTGTGTCTCGATTTGTGCAATGATTGCAACAAGGACATCCTTTGTCACCCTTAGGTGGGGAGGTTTATTATTATTGTAAGAGACCAAAGCATGAGTGCCAATTGGGCCAAGAGAAAGCACGGACTTAGAAGAGGCTTTGGCAGGAAAACGAAAGAGAGCCGACTAAGTATTGTGCATTGTAGCTTTTGTGGGAGCACTTAGGGCACTTGGGATCTGATCACAAACATGAGAGTGATATGTGGATAAACCATATAATGCCAAGGACATAAAGAACTTGTGGCAATTTTCAAGTTTCGTCCCAAGAGTGCAACAAGAGGAAGCAATTCATTAAAGTCACAAAGGAGTCTAGAGACCAAGCCTAGATAAGTTGCCATATAATCCTTAACCTCACAAGCACCAAAGATGGTTAGGTGATCTTCGCATACCTAGTAGAGTCGTCAAGAGTTGTTTGTAAACAGTTGTTTGGTCTATGTTCAAACCACATGATAGGTTTTGTGACCCAGAAGTGAATGGTGTCACGAATGATAACATAATTGAACATCAACCCTTTTCCACATAAGGCGGTCGCCATTGGAACCGCAACATCTGTGATATGTCTTGTAACATTATCCAACAAGCCAATGTTGAATGTGAGAAGCCCAATTCTTACCATCCAACAAACTAAAAGAGAGTGGTGTAGTAACGTGGCAAGTAAAAATATGAATGTCAGATTTGGAGGTAGACAGTGGACAACGAGAGGGGAGAGAAATTCCCTAAAAAAACAAATCTTGCGTGAATAGTACCTTTGACTAGAGCAATAACTTCAATGTGAATACATTAGAAAATGATCTTCAACATTCCTTCACACTTAGGACTAGATATCTCAAGCATGAGATTAGATAATTGTGGGATTTCCAATATATTGCATTCCCTCCTCACCTCATTCAGAGCGACAAGTCAAATCGTGGTATATTCCAATCCTTTCCTTAATTACTCCCGAACAATCTTTGTTTAAGCTATCATTTCATTCCTGTCCACTTCCACCCTTGCCATACTCCCAAACATAGTCGTAGAAAATGCTGTCCGTTAGAGGTTTTCTACTTTATTCATTCAGAAGTTGAAATTCCAAACATAATTTACATTATTTTACAAAATTTCAAGCAAAAAAGTTTATGAAAGACCCATAAACATATAGTTAGGTGTCTTGAGACTTACTGATTATGGAGCAAACAGCACCTTGACTGTTTATATAAATTTAGGTCTTTCAAAAGGTTAGGATCTAAGGCAGTGTCTATTAAATAATGGTGAAAGTAATTTATCCCTAATAAAAAACAGATATAATAAACTGAGAGCAATAAATGACATTTGAAAGCCCATGTAGTGATTGATTGTTCGTTACCAAACATATTTTAAAAGAAATATCTTAAGAGCAACCCTACTGCAAGTCAAACACAAACTGCTTAAAAACTTCGGCCTGTTCACTTCATTTCTGTGCAAAGAAAACAAATAGTCAAATGATAATTTTACCTGAGACTTCTGGTGACTACATTCAGTCATCCAACCATTTTCTGACTCGTCACAGTCTGATGGCTCTGGAACATCATAGAACTCATCATCAGCATCATTTAGAGTAACAAGGCCAGCATGCTCTGGTTGGGTTTGATCTACTTCTCCAACTGAATTATCATTATTGTTCTCATCTGCCTGAATTTCAGTATGAGAACTAGTGATGCCTCCTTCCTTTCCATTAAGCCCGCTGTTTGTCGTCAACTCACCAGATGAATAATCAGAAGAAGAACAATTCCCTAGTCTAGCTTTAAATAACTCCCGTAATGCTGCAGGTGCAAAAGAAAGTTGTAGATAAAATACAAACCAGAATATTAAACCTTTTAATTAAATATGTTAATATCCGGCTATATAAAATAAATGGGCCCAGCGGGGAAATAATTATGTCCAATAATATAAACTTATCAGCAAAATAAACTACCAGCAACTCTCCCGAGCATTTGAATGGTTATGGAATGTGCTGATGAAGATTTAAGATAAGATCTCCAGCATTTCCAATCAATAGCAAGCATATGCTTTACAACTGATTGTTTTCCTTTGTTCACTGGTGATATAACGTACCCTCCACCTACAAAAGAATACGGTTTGTCATCCTTCAACTATTCTAACCTACAACTTCTACTGAACTGTCTACCTAACAATTTTCATCGACATTAGAAATTCTGAAAGAACAAGATTCTTCTAGTTTCGTAAATTGGATATTGCAATGACAATGATGATGAAGTGAAGGAGGATGATTAAAGAATCAGTGACAGTTGAACTATTAGTTTAATTTCAGATCAGAATAATTATGATTCAAAGCAGAGAACATCATGATTCCAAATTACCATCTTTAAGTTAGCCAGTATTCGATTTATTTTGAGGTAAATTACAAGACAAATAGAATAATGGAATTGAAATATTTACTATTTGTACAGTTTAAGCATACATTACTTTTAAGGCAAGCACGCACATAGCGTTTCTGGGGAGGGCACTTTTTGTGAAACACAGAATGGTAAAGAATAACTGTGACAAGAAAACCAAAGTCATTTTCATTCAGAATGTGGCTGGGTAGGTGTGTGTGAATTTTCTTTCATAATTCAATACTACCATATGTTCCATCATCTTCTCTCCTCCAATAACGCCGCAACAAGAGATCTCTTCGTTGCATTCCCCTGTAATACATCATATGCAAAAATGAAACTTTTATTCTAAATAGGTTAGTAGGACCTTAAAACAAGTAGTGGTACAATGATGAGCACTGTCTTTACCAAGGTAACCAATCACTAAATAGCTGTTTGTGAATGATGTCTGTGTGACCATCTAAGTGCTCCACTACATTCCCCTTGTAGAAACAGAAATCCCACCTGCATGTCGACAGTTAATGTGTTTAATGATAATATTGACAACCTCCATACTATAATAAATTACTAAAGCAAACTACGGTTGGTTTATAAAATTGTGCTATAGTTAAACTGCTCAATAGTACATTGCTATAACGAAACATCTGCTATTAAACTTCTTTTATTTGCAGTTCATTTAATTTTTAAACTTAATTATACATGGCCTAGATAACATAATATTTTTCAATCGAAGCATCCCATTTAACCTTAGCCTATTGCCATGATCAACAAGATTATGTGCTCAATGTCCAGATAAAAAGTCTATGGATCTTGTTACAAGATTTACTAAATGATAAACTTGTTGATAGAATTGGGAACCCTTTTTCATGGCATTCACATGTTTTGTGGGACAGTAAAGTGGGAAAGGCAATCTGGCAATATGCAATTATGCTGTTATTTATTTTGTATTTATATGACTGGTATCACGAGTTTGATGAATTTTTTAATAAAGCAGTCTTTAGTTTAATTATGATGATTGGTTAATGCTTGCCTATCCTAATAATTTGGATACTGTGTAACATAAAGATGGTTAGTGCTTTACAAGGGGGAGAAGTAAGCTTTATTTGAATTATATTCTTTTCTTCTTTGCTTTGGTTTTTATTTGTTTGGCTCTTATCCATTTTCCATTCTCTTGTAGTCTTGTACCTTAATAATTCCTTCTTCATCCAATCACCCAATCATAATAATTACAATGACGATATAGTAAAATTTAATAGAAGTAACATGCCAATGATGCTGTGATGATGAAATGCTACTTACTATTATTTAAAAACCACGTCAATGAGGAAAAAAAGCTCCCCAAGACAAACGAAAGATAAGAAATGTCTTGCTAATAAAAGAATGCTACTGCTGGAAGATAATTATGCAATTCATGAACTTACTCTGATCTTGAAGGCCCAAGAGACATAAGAGTCTGGAAAATGGCTTCCGAAGTTCCATCAACCACACCAACAGCCATTATTGCAGGGTGATCATCCCATTTCTGGAGAAAGGACCATGTTAAAAAAATCAAATTTCTATTCAAAATATAAAAAAAAGTTACTGAAAACAAATTCTGCGAACCTTCCCACCAGAATCCCTGTCTTTCGCTTCCTTGAATAGTCGTAAACCTTCATCGCACCCATAAAAACATTCATTGCTCCAGTACTCACGTGAAATCTTATAACAGCTTTACAAAAAATGACAACTCAAACAGAAGAAATAGAAGTAAACTTTTACCATTTTGGCAGCCAAATATTGTCCATGGTGAAGGGGCAATAACATCAGCAGAAGAAAGAGTCCAGTCTACAGAATTAGGGTGACTTCTACTGGAACATCCACTGAGTCTGTAAGCATGGTACCATAAAAATAATCAAAGATCACGCCGTGATGTCAGAGATATATCAACAAAACAACTCAAACAATTGAGAATTCAGACAACTTGAATTATTTGTTGCTGTATAAATTATTCATAGATCAGTTAAAAAAATTAGATCACTCTACCTAAAGGATTGCCATCTCCTCTTAGAACAACCTACAGCATCGTCTCCTCCATCAGGCGCACCCTATACACGTTCACACAAATAGTCTCATCCTTCATTCAAAACAGTTCCACCTCAGGCTTAAAACATTTCAGATCGCATACCTTTAACGATGCTTCATGAAAGGACTGAATCCACCTCGCCGCTTCTTCAGGACGGCTTGCTCCTAACTACAAAGCAATCGCACTTTAAAATTCAACGGCATAATTTCAAATAGAAAAAATGGGTATCCTAAACATATCAGCGACCTCACCTTTAACTGATCATTGTGATTTGAAGTGTTATAGAGAGTAAAAATGAAAAACACCTACAATCAGCACAAAGATGAGCATCATGCACCAGCAGCATCGGTATTAACACAGAATCAAAGACATTAAAAAAACGGAAAGAGTGCAATACTTTTCTGTTAACGCTCTCCCTCCCGTTATCCATGACTCGAATGCAGGAATCTACAATCGCACTTCTAACAGGATCCTGCTAAGAAAGTTCAAGAGAAAGAGTTTCGCATGTCACACTCGAACAAGCAGAACAAAACGATCAATCCAGCAACTTCTCTTCCTCCAATTACAATTTGAAAATAAAAAAATTAAAATAGAGAATCGACTAAATAAAATAAAGAAGAACCTGATTACTAGAAAGAGGAACGGATTTGAAGCTGCGAAGAAGGTTACCGTCGAGGACGAAGTAACGCTTCCGCGAGAACTGAAGTCCTATACGGTTGAAGCGTATGAGGTACAACCAGCCTTCCATTCTGGTAGTTGCATCGGTTTGCAACGCCGATGCAGCGCCACTACTTCCCATTCTCTTCCCTCTCCAATTCACTTTCAACCGTTCACCATTCCAATCTTACTAATGACACACACAAGCACGAGCACAATCACAAGCACGATTCGAGAAATGGAAGGAGAATAGAGGAGGTTTTGAAGTGATGGTGCGAGTGCGAGTGCGAGTGCGAGTGCGAGTGCGATCCGAGGCGCAGAGAGAATGGCTGTGTGAGGGAACTGTAGCGAGTGGCAGAATGTGGTTGCAACCACTAAATGCAATTGAAATTGTAATGCAAATGTCTGTGTTTCTCTCTCTCTTGGTGATGGCTGTGCCGTGTGGTGTGTGCTGTGCTGTGTTTGCCTTGGGTGTAAACTCTATTGGGTTGCATATGAGACAAAGATTGCCTGTCAAGTTTATTTCAGAACCCCTCAAATTACGCTTTTGCCCTCCGCCCTCTCATTGCGCCTTCCTTCTCGCCTACTCTTCCCTTTAAATTATTCTTTTCTTCCCACCACAATCACAATGTTTCCATTGGTTTAATAAAAAATACTATGCCACACAAATGCAAGAACCTGTTTTAATTAATTTTAGTTTTTATCAAGCGTTTCTGGTGGAGGTGAGGTGTGGACTTGGAGCTAACTGAAATCTCGTCTGCTCAATCAAGCGTATCGTGTTTGAACATTTTTCTTACACTCAAAAACATTGTTTCTTTTCGTGTTTTAAAGGTTTACACAAATTATAACAAAATATCAGCTTTTCTTTTCCTTTTTCTTATTTTCTGTTTAAATCTTTACATCAAATTTCGATTTGTGTTCTCCTCTTTATGTTTTATTTGTGAATCTTGTTTTCTTTTTCTTTTCAGGATTTTTACTTCACATTTTGAAAAGTCTCCAATTTAGTTTAATCCACTTATTTTAATCTAAATATATCCTTTTTTATTATATTTTTGTAATGCTTTATAACTTTGGTGTATAATCATAATGTATATAATTAATTATTAATCTATTTAATTTTTACACTTAACACTAAATCGTTTTTGAGTAAATATTTAGGATTTATATTTTTGTTTCGATGCTTCAATAAACAAACATGTGGGTTCATTGTCCAGTAGTTATTGTAGTAAAGAGAAAAACATGATCACAGATGAGATATAAGACTTAATCACATAAAATAAACACATGACACTACCTTAAAAAAAATAAGGATGATAAATTTATGTTTTCTCTTATTTATATGTTATTTAATTATATTTTAATTTAAAGTAAAGTTTTAACCTCCACTTAACTTATAACATCCACTCAGTGGATTCCACTGTAGGAAGAATAACATCAGATTTAATTAAGGAAGCAATAAATATATTTTAGTATCATTTTGTATTCTTGATAATTATCCTCCTTTAAAATGACAAGACAATGTGATATGAGTTATATAAGTTGTAACCGTATGAAAAAAAAAATCAGAATACCATTAAAAATATTTATTTTCTTAATAAAAAAACATGAAATCAATTATGTTGATATTCAAATTATTATGAAATATATATATATATATATATATATATATATATATATATATATATATATATAATAATTTCTTGACTGTTAACTCCGATAACTCCGGAATATGTATGTTATACATGCTAATTATTTGTTTTGATACAAAATTTACTATTTTTATTTTAAAAATATAATTTTAAAATTAGAAGAGGAAAACAAAATATTGTTTAAAAAAATAAAGTCAAATGTAGTAAAATTTAAAGAAATTAAAAAATATATTTTATTCTTATATACGGCCTATCACTTAAAAGTTGATATTAAAAATATTTTATAAACTTCAATTCTCAATTCATTAAAATATCTTTTAAAAAAATTTATTATCAATTAGAGTCTAAGTGGATAATAACTAAAATGAAATTATCACCTCATTTAGAAATTAAGACCTGCTTAATAAATTTACAATCCATATATCTTCTAGTAGATTATATAAATGAATTTATTTTATTATACGCTATTTAGATTATTTTAAAAGGCTTTGTTGACTCAGAAAAGTTGTTGCTAAATATTTCTTTTCAACCTTCAATTTATACCTTTTTTTTTTTACTTTAATAAGGAATATAATCAATTATTGTATTTTAAACGAAAGAAAATAGTAACCAGGTTAATCTGCTCACGAAGGGTCCGTTTATTTTAAAGTTAGATAATTTTAGTAAAAGAAAAGTTGAACCATTAAATATAATTAAAATATACATTTAAATACTTAATTGACTTGGTCGATGCAAAAGTTTCATCATTCTTTTTATTTGGAAATGTTGATGGGATTATTATTTTCAATATTTTTTTTACAGATGTAACCTGTAACATATGATAGAATTGGTTTTTGTAATTAATTACATATAAGATAAATTGAAAGGAATATTCCAAGTGACAACAATATTGCATCATATATTTGAATAAGTACTTACACAAACAAACTTCATTTAATGAAAACACATGTACTTCTTAATTAAACCCTTTGTCACTGGATTCACTCTAGTTATTACAAAGTTGCATTACATAATTTAACATATATAATAATCATATTTAATGTATTTTTTTAATTTTATCCGCAATAAACATTCAACAAGCGAAAAAAAATATATATCAAACTTGTTAAATGGGACCTAGAAAAACCAAATACGAAAGCGGAGTGGCATTGGTAAATGAAAACTGAAAAGGTGTTCATGTTTTATACGTTAGCAAGTGATTGTGATTTTCTTTTGTAGTGCGTGATTGTGATTGTATAGTGCCATAATGTATTAGATCGATAAGAAGTATGTTTTAAAATTTTCAAATACTAATAAATGTCAAGTATAAAATGACATGTGTTGAAATTATTTGTTTGTGTAAAATTTTAAGAACAAATATAATGATAAACGAAACAATTAATACTTCTCAATTGAATTATTAGACTTGTTAATTCTTAGTTTTAGAATCAATAATTATGTTCTCACGTGTATAAAAAAGAGTGGTAAAAAACTATACTTATAGCTCAGTTTATTTAACCTATCTAGAAAAAAGGTATTTACTTTATTTTATTTTCATTTTTTTTTTCTTATTTTAAGTGCATGAAGATGTTTCTAACCAGTGACTGTTAAAGAGATGAGTTTTAAGTAATTTGTTAAAAGTCATACGTCGTTTATGTCTTGTAACTCATGTTATCAATTAGTTTTATATTAAAACATTAATATAATTAAATATGAAACTAATGTGAGTTATGATCATAACTTTATAATATTAACATAAAAATGTAAAAAAAAATTACACCTAAAATAAATATTTAAGTTCACATAATTTTAAATCTTTATCAAGTTAAAACTACTTTAAATAATTTCCATTTTTTATATTTTTTAAATTTAAGGTTGCAAATATCAAACCAAACGTACTTAAAAAAAATTGAGTGTGATTTCATTTTTTCTCTTTCTAATATTCTTTTTCTATCTAATTATATCGTTTATTTATCATTCTTTTATATATTTTCCTCCGTATATATTTTTTATTGTTTCTACTCAAATTTAGAACGGATATTTACTTATTCCTTATATCTATCGAGTAAAAAAATTTTTTTTTCTTTTTTTAAGAATGACTCAAATATAGAAGCTAATATATCGATAAGGTGTCGACAATTAATTATTGAATTTAATTATCCTAAAATCATAAAAAATATCGAATAATTATGATTAATTGTGAAAATTACGGTTCAAACGTATTGTAAAAAAATTATATTTATAGTAAAAAATCGAAGGATCTTGGACATTGCAAGAAATTTTCAAATAATTAAATAAATATCTATAAATTTTTAAATTAATTTCATTTTTGACTTAGTCCTACTCAACTTTTTATTGAATCAACGCAAATTTTTTAATGGGATACACTTTATTAATATTCTAAGTTATTTTGTTAATTTAATTTACTTTCTTTTCGGGTTTTAAATATTAAAAACATATATTGCAATATTATTGAGTATTGTTTGAATATTAATATATATTTGCAATTAATTTTTTTTTTTCATATGCAAAAGGTTAAAAGTTAAAAATATAAAAAGTGTCAGTGGATTGTATTGAATCATTTGACACATAACTCTCAGGACCATACTAGTTTAAAATTTTTGTAAATTGTAATATAATTTATGTGGCCTAAAATTTTATTACTTCAACTTAGTGTGAGTGTTGAAAGAAAATTGTATAACATTTAATTTTGAAGACTTAGTTTTGATCTTAGGTTAAGGTCAGTGATTCTCTTGGTTATTATTGGTAAGAAACATTTTTTATTTAAATTAATATTTTGTAAAAGAAAAAAGTATTTACGTAATCTCACCAAACACGTTGACTTTTTCATTCACAGTTTAAATCCGCGGGGCTAGCATGGGCAACTGCAACATATGATTATAGGTGAGGAAATGTTTTTGGACCGTTGGATATATTTTATTTTATTGACTATAATGATGATATTAGAAGAAGTATGGCGAGGTTAAAATTATAATATATTGTAAGACTCATTAAAAACAAGGTAAGAATTTTAATTAATTTTTAGCATTGAAAAAATACATATAAATTCACCCTTTAAAACAATAAAATTCTAATATTTAAACTTTGATTGAGGATATCTTGTGTTTACAAATTATATCTACAAACCTACAATGTTATTTGAAATGACATATAAAAAATAATTATTAAGTTACAGTAATAAAACTCAACTAATAAAAAAAATAGTATTAATATTTTTAGTTTATGATGTTGAGGATAAGTCTGGTTTTGGTTTCTTAAATTAAAAATTTACTTTAAAATTTAAAAAATACAATCTTAATTTCTAACGATAAAATTGATAGGCCAAAATACTTTTTTAATCATTTAAATTTAATCACTATAAATTTAAATTATGTACTTTTTAAATTTAGGAAATAAAATAAAATACTTAATTTTTAAATAATATTTAATTAAAAAATATTTTTTTCAATTTTTTCACGAAACAAACAATGTAAAGATTTAATTAAAAAATAAAATACAAGTTTTTCATATATATTTTTATAATTAACGCTCCATCGTCTTTTTAATATCAGCATCGGTTGGAGGTTGGGAGCTTGTGAGTATGATGAGCATTAAATTTGGTAAAATGATTTGGATGCAACCCCGCCAGAAGTAAATAACCCGCCAATTATTAATATAATATGTATAAAATTTTAAAATTTTATATTTATTATTATATTATTAAATAGAAATTGTACAATGGATATTCGAGAATTTGGAATTGTTTAATATTAAATTTGTACTGCTTCGTGTTTGAAGTTCTTTTTTAATGTCTTGCCATAAAAGTATATTTTTTTAAATAAAAGATTTAATGTTGTGATAAAAAAAGAATTATATTTTTTCTTATATTCCTATTAAAATATTTACGTTTTCATCAATTATTTTATTGCATATTTTATTTTTATTATTATAAAATTATCAAAGTCATATTTTTACTAATTTTTCATTTAAATTAATTTTAAAAATATTAAATATTTTTTATAATTTACTCTTAAAAATAATCATTAAAATTAATTTAACAATTTAAAACTAAAATAAAACAAATTATTCTTGTACTTGTTTGTTTTGCTTAAACGTTTTTTATTTTATGAGGAACTAAGAGATTATCGGTTACATATATTAGAGTTTGTTCATGAAAAATGTTTTTAATTATTTCAATAATAACAATATTATATAAAAAATACTTCTTCAAACTAGTTATTGATATCTAAAATAATAAAATTTAGTTACTAATTTAATTAAAAATTATTTTACATATTATTTTTCAATAACTAATCAAAACCTTAATAATTAATTTGGGAGACCAATTTATGTTTTAGTTTTAAAATTATCTTGATTAAAATAAATTATAATTAATTAATATAACGACTAATTTTAAAAATAATTGATATTTTAAAAATTCATCATAAAAAATTATATTTTGGTAATTTTGTTTATGATAGTTTTGTTGAAATTTTGTAAAAGAATAACATTAAAATCATAGTTCATCTTAACATGACAAACTTTATCAATAGATATTCCTTATTTGACATAGATATCTATTTGGCATGTAACATGAATCTTACCATAAATATGAACATACTTTGTTAAGAGATGATTATTGAGTTTTAGTGAGGGATTAATACTAAGATATTTGTATCAATGAAATAAAGGTAATAGTCACAAAACTATACTAAAGTTTTTTGGATTGAATGTAATATAAAATTCTCGTGATTAGTTTGTTATATTAGTGAAAATCTTTTAATATTAGTCTTCAAAAATTCAATAATATCAAAAGTTGGTGCAATTATCAACTTTTTTTAAAATACGAAATAAAAGTTACCACTTGATTAAAATATATCATGTTGAGATATAAACAAATATCACTATTAAGATATTTGTGATTAAATTTTTTTTTTAAGGAAAAAAATATTATATAAGGATTAGTCTTAAAAATGAAATATTGAAACTCATACGAATCAAAGGTCTCATGACAAAATAGGTGAAATTAAATAATATATAAATGAAAAAAAAACTCACCAATCTAAATATTATTATATTGTCTTATATTTAAAAATCTAATTATATAAATTTAAATATAAATAAAAAATATAATGTAATGTAAAATGAGTATATACACATTTTAACTAACTTAGTACTATTAATATTATTATTTTTAAAATATACTCAAAATCAAAATGTAAATATCATCTTCAATAAATATAATCACAAATAACTTTATAAGTTTTTTCACGAAATAAAATATTAAAAGACCTTAATTAACTTTTTAATATATATATATATATATATATATATATATATATATATATATATATATAATCAGAAAAATGATTATTTGAGTTTTGAGGATTTATAACGAGATTGTGAACGGTCGTAAACATAGTATTTAAGTTCCGCTTGTTTATTGAAAATTATTGTTTGAGAGTTTTGGAATTAAGAAATCAGATCAGATTCAATATATTTTAAAAAATATATCTGATTTAAAATTTAAAATTATTATGTATTAATAATACCATATTTTAATTTAGTAAAAATTATTTTGTATCTGATATAATATTTTTACCTTTACACTATTTCAACTAAAAATACATAATGTTAAACGCACGTGTGTGTATATATATATATATATATATATATATATATATATATATATATATATATAAATTTTTTTTTAATTTATTTTGTGTATGAATCTCAAACTAAAGTGAGTATATATTGCACTCTTCATAACTTCGTTCTACAGGAAACAAAGCTTTAAGCATTGAATTTATAATAAAAAAATGTTTTTTTTTTTAATTTTATTTTGCTATATAAGAAGGTAGTACGAGTAATTGTATTGAAAAAAAATGTAAATAATCTTATCAGTCACAAATAATATTATTTTCTGCAGAGAGTACATGTAATTTATAAAATTATTATTAGTCACAAATAAGATAAAATTGTTACTATATTTTCTTTATCCTAGATTTCGTCATTTTAGTATTTTATTATTTCTTTTAATATTATTGAAATATTAATTTTTTAAAAATCATTTTAATTTAAGACATTTAATTATTTTAAAGATAATAGTCCTAGTAGACGTTATGTTAACTTAGTGTAAAGATAATAATTGATTCATTTTACTTATATCCTGACCTAATTCTATTAATCTAAATTGAAACTTTAGGACAAAATAATGAAGAAGAAAAAAGCACATTAACTTGGTTGAATATTCATCAGAGATTTGAGATTAATAAACAATGAAAATAATAAAATAGAAAGCAACATCTTTCTTGTATGATTGCTCTTGAGAAGAAGATAGCTTTTATGAATCACAAAAATAATTGAAGTCTACCTTTTGATAAACGCAAAAAGGGATTACAAATTTATGAAATCTGAATTTCCTGTAGTTGAAGGAATATGTGGTTGGTAAAGGAATTGCTTGAAGTTACAGAAAACTTATTAAACAAATTTGATTTACACTCATTACAAGTTCCCTAAAAGAAATTGAAGAAACCCAAAATATACGAGATCTGAAGAAGACATTAACCTTGTGCTTTCAAATAACAGAATCCTTGCTTAATTTCTTAGCCTCATGATTTTCCTCGTTCTGGTTACCCACGTTTTTTCCGGCTAAAAGTGGTGCAGTATCTTTGTCTTTCACCTACAAAGAGTAAAAATGAATAGATAAATAGTGTTTTTACTGATGTTATAATAATTGTGATATAAATTAGTTTAATTTTTTATTAGTTTACAGTAGAAACATTGTAAGGGTTTTTTATAAATTTTGAGTAACTTGTCACCAAGATTTAGAAAGAGAAAAGAAAATGGAAGAAAGAAAGGTAAAGAAAAGATAGTGATTATGAACCTGGGAGGCCAATGGGAGGTCACTGGCTAACTGTTTCTTTTTGTTGTCCTCAGTGCAGAAATAAGAGTACAAGCCCATGCCAAAAACGGCAACGAGTATTCCAAGAATGTTTCTTCCGGTGAAAGGATCATGCAGTAATGTGTACCCAAATCCTAGAACAAGGCAAGTCTTGAGGTGCCCTAGGACTTGATAAGTTACAGGAGATGTTTTGCCTATGACCAGAAATGTGCTGAAGTTCACAGAAACAGCTATCAAGCAAGACAAGATGATGAATGCCTGAAGTTTTCATCAACAACAAACATATGTCAGAACCACATTGTTTGTACACTCTTTAAGGTTTTTATTAATGTTTTCATTCTTGTTTAAATTGTGATTAAGAACAGATAACATTAAAAAGGTGTATTAGAAACAAAAAATGATTCCATATTATGAGACAATACATAATAATGGTTCTGACCAACTTTCATTTTAGTTTATGAAAAAGAGTTAATAAAACTCAGTTACATGTCACATGAAGATTAGTTAGTTGAAACTATAATAATCGTGATCTTGAACTACTGTATAATAGTGAGGATTTAACATTACCAAAACCACAGGAGAATATTTGTAGGCAAAAACATTTTGCTTGGTGAGCATCTGATCCACAACAGGGCCTGAAACAAAGAGAATTGCTGCTTGGAATGGAGCAGATTGGTAGAGCAGCTGTGTGGAAGAGACATTAAGCTTCTTTTGTATTGTGTTGGTTAGCTAAATTGAGCACTGAGTTAAGAATCCAAATGTATCTAATCTTCCTAAGCTTTAATTAAGATAATTAATGACCAAGTTTAAATCATCATAATCAATTGATAACAACAATTACATGCTACATCTGGAAGTGTAAGCATTGAGCTGTAAAGGATACAATTTGGCCAACACAAGTCGTTATGATTGCTAGAAGTGACAGAACAGTTCCCATAAAATTGAGCTGAAGGTCTGTGATAGAGGCAATGCCAACTCCCACAAGTAACAGGAATAAAGAGAATTTTATTTTAGAGCTGCACGTATTAGTATAAGAATTTACATTAACTCATGAACACTGTTTAATTTAAAATTTTCAATTTTAAATCAATAACTTGTTACCTGAACTGCTTCTTTAGGAAAATAGTTTCTAATAACACAGTGAATGGTATGATCGCAAGTTTTGTCATCTGCAAAATAATCACTCCAAAAGGTAAAATTAATGCATGCAGAATGATTCAGAAGACAACAAATGTATATGCACATAACATGTAGCAAAATATTGAGGTGAAACCTGGTAGAATCCAATGGAATTAAAGCCAAGACTCAAGTTGAGAAATCCAATGGAGACACCATTCAGAATACCAAAAAGCATGACAGTTTTGAAGTCAATGGATTTGGTCACGAACAGATTCAAGCGTTGAGCCGCATGAAGGGTGCAAAATGTGACCATCAGATGCCAACTAGTAAGTGTTGTGGCTGGTCCAAATGAAATAATCTTAGAAGTTAGAGCCATAAGATATGCAAATGTTAATAATTTCAGTACTGATAGCCAAAATTATATGATATTTGAAGAGGGGAAAAATGATTATCACCAAAAGGGAAGCCAAGATTGCTCATCAAGGCTTTGTTGCAGATGACAATGGAGACAGAAGAAGCCACCGAGAGAAATAATGCACCAATCACACCCAATTGGAAGTTTGACATCTCTCCCATCTTTTCCGTCTATAGATTCATCAAAGTGCAGAATTTGAAGTTTATATCATTAGTATAATTTTTTGAAAAGAACAAAGTAAAACTCAGAGAGCCATTTCCAGCATTGTATTCCAGTTTAATGTCATTAAATTAAACATACACCTCTATTTAAATATATATCTAGCTATACAATTTAACTTTTTGCCTTTAATGTTTCAATGTCACCTTCATAATTTTCATTTTCATACAAGTATAACGTCATCTATCAATTTATTAGCAGATACTAAAAAGCACAACAATCTAGTAATCAGTAATGTGTTCCTTAGCTTTTACTCAATGGTTGGTACCAAAATCAAATTAGTTAACACGTACCTTATTTAATATTGATCAAGAGGAATAAATGATATATTAATTTGAGATCGAGTTTGGAGATATTGCCTGGTAGGAGCCCTGAAAGGATCACACAAACGATCAACAAACTTTTGTATAACCACAATGGAAAAAACTTTGATGCAGATGTTGGTTATGATATTTTCTTATCAGAATTTATATAAATTATTGAAGTGAAGCTCTAAGTATGATTGAAAAGCAATACAAACTGTACCTAAGCAAAGAATGAAACGAAAATGATGATAAATGACATCGACATCACATACCTTGAAATGGTGAAATGAATTTGCAGGATGTAAGGGCTCCTCCAACTCCAAAAGATGAGCCAAGTTGTGAGGCTAAACGGCAGCGTTTATAGGCAGAGAGAGAAACAATGGTAGGAGAAGGGAGAGTGAGTGATAGTGAATTGGATTGGAGGGTAAGGTTGTATGAGAATGAAGCTTTTGTGGCCTTTATATTTTTTATGGGTTGTTGTTGTTGGTGGTGCCTAATTAACGCCGTTAACTTCAGGGGATGGCGGGAGTTTAACGGCCATTTGAAGCAAGGATGTGAGTATTATCAAACACAGACAAATCTTGGTTGACATAAGACATGTTTTGTCACAATCATCTGGATTACCAAAATGCCCCTGTGGGTTGCGAAAAGGTGTTGTTTTAACTGGTACCCTTTGAGTCATTGGGGTTGAGGACAAAGAAAAATCACATTTTTCGTCAGAAGAAAGGGCAGAGAAGCAAACACTAAGAGCAAGATTGGACAGATAAGATGTTAAAATCAAGAGGGTGCTTTGGTCCAAAAAGGATGATGCATATGGGTATAGCTAGTGTGATTACCAAACTCACTTGTCCCACATGGCTTTCAAAAAATTGTATGCTAAATGAGTCTTGACACACAAGGCAGGAGGGTGAGGGAGACCAACATTTCCTTTTAGGCCATGTCAGCTCACAATATCTGCCATTTTAAGCAACACTCTCCAACCATGTTCAACAGACTTCAATCTCACTCCTAATTAACATACCACAATTTCAATGTTTTTCTTTCAAAGAAAACTTATGTGTCCTTCTATTCTACCCTCTCCTACACCATTCAAAAACCATTACATGTAAGCTGAAAGCTATAGCTACTGAACTAGTACTGTTCCTTGCTCAGATTTGTGCCTTTTGTCAATTAGAGTAGAAAAACAGTAAAAATTGTTATACTTTTTCAAGATGATGTAAAAGGTTAGTATGATCATGGATAAAACTTCTCAACAATACTTGTAGAGCATTTTTTTTTTGCTCTGTTTGACATTTTCACGTTTAACTAAAAACTAAAAGCTACAGTTTTTGTATCATCAAATGTGATTCTTTATTTTCTGTTTTTTCAAATGGGTAAATTTCTTCTATTTTTACATCTTACAACTCTATATATTTAATTTTACCACTGCCTCATTTTAATCTTATTTTTATCATTCGAAGGAAGTTCTTCCCTTGAGAAAAGGTGTACCCTTTTGTTGACTGTAATTTCTCCCTTGGCAATCATGAGGAGTGCTACCAACTTTTTTTTTTTTGAAAAAGATAGGCTTTATTATTAACCCACATTCTGTATCATAAATATTGTGACTTAAATATTTTCTTCAGTTATTAAATGAAGAACGATCTGATGATTAAAAAAGTGCATATTTAAAAAAAAGTTATAATATATCATATGATGTTAAGGTGTGATTAGACATTTTTAATATGTATTATTTAAGGTTTCTCTACATAAATAAAAAAATATTAATTTTTATAATTTACAATAAATTTATTTAGTTTTGCTTGTATTTTTATATTTAGTTTATACTTTCTCTACATCTATTTTTACCAAAATAATAATAATAATATATTATTTTTTCTTTCCAATAAATACAAATGAAAAAGTTAAGGATATAAATAATAACAAATATAATTAATGTAACATTGAATCTTATAAACTATATAGATAAAAATAAAGTTTAAAAAATTGACAATTATAGGTACCTCATTTTTCAGTTCTATCTTTCAATATCAAAGTTTGAAATTCACCCTTTTGACAAAACACTACACCAGGTGGTGAAGCTGCCCAGGCGCACATTGTTTGGTCAGTGTTGTATTCCTTTTTTTAAGATAAAAGGGGGTGATTTTTTAAAATATTTATCAAAATAAATAAATTTTAAAAAAATTATGAATTTAAGTAAGTTATAAAAAAGTTATACTTTATAGCATATTTTAGTATTATTTAAAAAAATTATATAAAAATATAATATCCACTTTTATTTAAAAAAAATTAATATTAAAAATGTATTATAAAATATTTTATGTGGATGATAAAAAAGGTATTAAATATTAAATAAATATTTATGCATAATGAGTATGGGTATTTTAATTATTCATGGGATGAATACAAATATCATGATATCTGCTAATAAAATTATTTAATATTTTTTAAAATAAAATTATTAAATAAAGTTATTGATAAAGATATTAATTATTAAAGAATTATCAAAATTTATATTTTTTACTTAAATTTATAATATAAAGTTAATTTTAAAAAAGTAATATTATTGAAATTTATTCTTTTTATTAAAATTTATTAAAACTAATATTTTATAAAGATAATTTTTTATTTATATTAATATTTTATAAATTTATTTTATTTAAATATTTTTTAATAAAAAATATTAAAATATATATTTTAAAAAATATTTTAAAATAATAATATTTAAAATTAAAATAACAGATGTTTATAAATTAAAATAACAATTATCCGTACCCACCACCACCCTTCTTTCTTGTATAACACTACTTATCCTAATTCTGTATTTTAAAAACTTATCGCTACGAAGCAGTGTTCCCGAGACAAAACCTAGTAGTTCATGTGGTTCGCTTTTTTTTTTAAATAAATGTTATTTTTAACTCTTTTTTACTAAAATAATATTATTAAATAAGAGAAAATAGTTTATTTATAATAAACAAAATAAATAACATTTTACTAAAAGATGAAAATATCAATCAATTAGGTGTTTAATATAGTATGAAAGGAGGCAAAAAAACAAATGATGAAGGCTAATAATGTGCTTAAAAAATGATTGTTAAATATCATGATCCACTCCAATACAAAATTTAAAAGCGTAATTAAAATTGTTTAATTCACTTTTAGTTAGTTTTTGAACATTTTTTTAAAAGATTTGAATGACTATGTATAGTTAAATATTTTTTACCATAACTGAATCAGAAAATTCAAATTATTTTACACTAAAAAGTCTGCATAGTTCATGACCCTTTTTTTCTTTAAAATAAACTGGCAACTAACCAAGTGAATTTTGCTACTTTGGAAAATTTCTTACCTTTTTCCATAAATCGAAACTAAATTTTGAAAGCTTTTAATTAAGTCTTTCATCTCGATAAAAGTCACGATTTTTATTATTAAATTTTAAATTAATTCCCCGTAAACAACTTTCATCATCAAAGAATTCCTTTTATTTATTTCGTTCAATCTATTTAGATGTTAAACTTCTCATTCAATTTTATTTGGGCTTAAAAACCTAAGAACTCTATAACCGAAAAGGGAAACCTTATCATCTTGATAGTTGAATGATTAAATAAGGAACCAAAATATAAAAGGATAAATGTTTAACATCTTTCAATAATTTACATAAACATACTTTTATTAATCTAACAGTATTTTTTTTAACAAATCTTATTAGGGTTGAAAGAAAGTGATAAAAATAAGTATGCTTTAAATATATACGTTAATCTTTATGCATATTAAGGATTAGATCATTATGTACAGACAACAAAAATTTGATTCTAACGGCTGATAGAAAGTCATTCAATAACAAAGTGATTGACTTACATCGGTATAAATTAATTCCTCAAATAGATGGCTAAGTAAATACGCACGCACCTGAGGGGTGAAAACAATACAAAGCAAAAGAAATACTACCATTGAGAGTGTACATAAAACATGTACAAGAGGAAGATGGATCCGTATATCAACTCTTCCCATTCCGTTTAAGTCCTTCAAGATACGCCTTATCAGAATTGGTTAGGCGAACTTGAAACTGGGCCCATTCACTTTTACATCTAGCTCGGACCTGAAAGGGTATTCAAGAAACAAGGGTATTGTAATAGGGGCAGAATATCAGAGCGTATTATTGCATTTGCTACAAATACTTGAGTGCATATGCATGTAGCTCTAAAAGAACATGAATGAGAAACCGACAATGTTTACCAAAATATGAGTATACACTCGCTAGCATTATTAAACAGAGAGTATACGTACCGAATCCCAAGGTTTTTTTCCTTTGTCAGCTTCTCCCTGAAAATTATGCGTACATATCCCAAAAGTTATATTTGGAAATCAATAAATTTTTTTTTTGCAAAAGTAAAAGGCCATATGCGCTATCATGTTGAGTAGAAGCACTCGGCAATAATAACATAATTATGGAAAAAGAAAATCATCACTCTAGGAGACGTCCTATGTCTTTTACCTTAATGTTTCCAAAATTTGAACTAAGGACTTCCATATCACAAGGCAATAACCATACTATATCGTCAAGGCTCATTATTCTAATTTATTTCTGACAAAAGTGACAGAAAATTTAAAACAATCAAGCCTTGAATCTGTAATACTCCTTACCAAGAAAAAGAACACTTGCAAATGTAATTTTTTGATGGATGCATCGAGTGTTCCATGGATACTAATTTGGTGATGGATATGTAGCAGCTCAATGGATACTAATTCAGTGCTTTAAGGGAGAATTTGATATGCAGAATCTTTTTTCATTTCAAGAAATAATTATTCCTAGGAATTGTGTTTCTTGAGAATCATCATTTCTGGGAATGTTATAAATTTACTTCATATCCTCAAAAGATTATTGGGAATGTTAGACAATGTTTCATGAGAATGCTTTAAACTTTCCCACTTCCATTGAAATCTTGGGTTCGCATCCCCTCTCATGAGAATGCTTTGGCAGACTCTGAGAACCCTTTACCAAAAATCCATACCAAGCATGGGGATTTAATATTCCCAACATAAGATTTATGGAAAACTTATAAGAACCTCCCTACCAACCCCTTCCTCAAAAAGGAATCGTGCAAAGATTATTAAGGCAAACTCATAGCAACACTCTCCATTTTTTAGAAGTGTACAGTGGCGACAATAAAGTTTGAACCTAAGATTTTGTACGTACTACCCAAACCCCTGTCTCTAGGCTGACCCAAGGTGGGGTTGAAAATGCACTATAATCAAAACATAGCAAGGTGCAAAACACAAAAGCTTGTGATGACACCTTCACTTATTTTTTTATTTACATAAATCCCTTCAAAATTTTAACACACCTCCCCACTCCTCCAAAATAAATTAAAATAAAATAAAACCCGATCATCTTAGTTTAACTTCCTGCCAATACTCGTTATTGAAACCTTGTCTAAAACAACTTCCATAATACAAACACCAAACTATAGTAGGTTGAAGAGGTGGAAAAAATAGGAAAGAGGAAAATAAAAATATAATTGGAAGTTAGAACAACAAAGCATAGATATCTTTCATACTTATTTTTTTATGTAATAAAAGTATATTTTTATTTTCTGACCACAGTACAGCATTAGTAACCTCCGTATATTCCCAACAAGTAGATGCATTTATAAAAGCACACTCAAATGAAAATGATATAATCAAAGAAAATAAGTGGCCCTAAATATATTGTAAGCTAGTGAGGACTAACCTGGCTACCGAGAGAAGGAATTACTTGATGAACAATCCATTGTGAATCAATTACACCAATTTTTTCATGTGCTGGCTGCAAAAAGAATTCAAATTAAAGCCAAGTCAACTAAATCAAATTGCTTGTTCTAAAAATATTTATTTAAGTAATGAGATTGTAGCCCCATATTTTCTATTTAGCATAAATACATAGGTTTCACGCTCAAAAAATAAACTAGGAAGATTCATCATGCATATGAAAAGGCAAAAAAATGGAGGTACTGAGGAAGCCTCTTCGACTAGTTCAAGAACAGAAAAAACCATCTGATAAATTAATCTATATAGTAACTTAAGAAAAAGCATAAGCCAAAAATTCATTAATATGAACAGAAACACAAACACAACATGCTTACAAAACCAGGATCACTGTGTTGGATAAGTTCAAAAGGCAAAAATAGAATTTATGCTTTAATTAGATCATCTAATTGTATTCACGTATATTTCTTTTGAGTTTGGCAACTGAAGACAAATATGTTAAAGGTATATTGAAATTATCTTCTAACACTACTCACTCTCTCAATCCCACACGAGAATAGATGAGGACACACAATAGTAAAATTGTATATTCATCATAATACCTCTCAGATTACATTAGGTCCTATTTATAATTCTTATTTTTTAACCAACTCTTAAATTCTAATAACTAATTTATTATTTATCTTTGATTAATAACCACCTATAACAACTTTCCCGCCCATGAAAAATGACCTTGTCCGCAAGGTCTATTAAGTCTGTCGCCAATCAAAGCTAGGATACTTGTTCTCCATGTCATGTAACTCATGCCATGTAGCGTCTTCAGGGTTAGTATGCTCCCATTGGATCAAAACTTTAGTGACAACCTTATTGTGTCTTTTCTTTATTCTTCGCGCAAGAATAGCCAAAGGCTGCATAGAAATTTCTCCATCATCTGTGAATAATGCAGCTGTTGGTATACTAGATAATCACCATGGTACTTCTTAAGTAATGAAATGTGGAAAACATCATGTATTTTGGTACCAGTAGGTAATTCCAGTCGATATGCCACTTTGTCAATCCTTTCCAACACCTTGAATGGACCATAATATTTCGCAGCTAACTTGTGAAATGCTGAATTTGCTAAAGAATGTTGTTTGTATGGTTGAATCTTTAAGTAAACAAGGTCTCCTTCAGCAAATTCCTTGTCTACTCTTTTCAAATCTGCATACCATTTCATTCGTTCTTGTGCTTTGGTGAGGTTGGAACGAAGTAACCTTGATATCTGTTCTTTCGTTTTTAAAGTGTAGTCTACTGCTTCCACTACAGAGTCCTCCAGTTGAATTGGGCATGGAATGGAGGGCTTGTAACCACTTAAAGCTTCGAAAGGGGTCACTTGGATCGCTGCATGAAACTTTGTATTGTACCATAATTCAGCTAATGAAAAGTATGTTAACCATTTCTTTGGAGTCTCACCTGTGATGTATCATCGCAAATATCCTTCTAGTGCCTTATTCAGAGCCTCCGATTGGTCATCTGTCTGTGGGTGGAATGCAGTAGATCGAAGCAACTTGACACCATGAGCTTTTAATAAATCTGTCCAGAAGTTGCTTAAGAAAATAAGGTCCCTATTAGAAATTATTTCTCTTGGCCAACCATATAATTTGACAACTGTATCCATGAACAGTTCTGCAACCTTTGCAGCCCCAAATGGATGCTTTAATGGAATAAAATGTGCATATTTTGTGTATCTGTCAACCACTACTAGTATGACGGACATATTATTAGATTTTGGAAGACCCACAATAAAATCCATAGATACAGAGTATCATGCTTTGTCAGGTATTGGTAAAGGTTGCAACAATCTTGATGGAAGTTGGGGAAAACTCTTAAATTTTTGACATACTTGACATTCCCTAACCCAAGTCTTGACGTCCTTTTGCAAACCCTTCCAATAAAACTGTTCTTTTATTCTTCTATATGTTTAGTCACTACCTGAGAGTCCTCTAATAGGAGAATCATGAAAATAGCCAATAATTCGGCTTCGTATGTTATGATCCATTTCCACTACTAGTTTACCTTTTCGTTTCAGCAAGCCTTTATCATAACAAAATTGCTTATACTGTTGCTATGTAAATCGAATTTTGTCTATAATCTTTTTCAATTTTTGATCACCTTCCCAAGTAGATTTTACGTCGTTTACTTATTCACTTACTAACTGAGAAACAACTGTTAATTGCCCTGTAACTTTTTTCCTCGACAACACATCCGCCACAACATTGTCTTTACCTTTCTTGTACTCAATGCTAAAATCAAGGCCCATAAGTTTCTCTAAACCCCAATTCTGCATTAGTGTTGTAGGAGGTTGTTCTAATAAATGCTTTAAGGCTTTTTTATCTGTTTTGATAATGAAGTGGTTTCCTAGGAAGTAATGAAGCCACTTTTTTACAGCAAAAAGGATGGCATAAAACTCCTTTTCATATGCGGATAATAGTTGAAACTTCTTCCCCATAGCCTTGCTAATATATGCTATTGGATGGGCCTTCTGAAGTAGAATTGCCCCAATTCCATATGCTGAAGCATCTGCTCCTATTGTAAAAGGTTGGTGGAAATCTGGGAGAGCCAAAACAGGTGCAAAAACTAAAGATTGTTTGATGGCCAAGAATGCTTCCTCAACTTCTTGTGTCCAGTCAAAGTTAGTATCCTTCTTCAGTAATGAAGTTAATGGATATGCTATTCTTCCATAATTTTTAATAAACCTCCTATAGTAACCTAACAATCCTCGCAATTCTTTCATTGATTTTGGTGTTGGCCATTCTTGTACAACTACTATTTTATCATAATTAGGGGCAACTCCGTCAGCTGTGATAATGTGGCCCAAATACTTAACCCTATTCTTTCCAAAGCTGCATTTCTTGTGATTTAATGCTAGTGAATTTGTTTCCAATATTTTCAAGGCCTTCTCTAAACACAAGAGGTGCTCATCCCAATTTTTTGTGTAAACCAAAATATCATCAAAAAAGACAAGTATGAATTTTCACAAATGTTCACGAAAAATATCATTCATCAAGTTCTGAAATGTTGCAGGGGCGTTGCTTAGGCCAAATGGAAGAACCACCCATTCATAATGTCTGCTATGAGTTCTAAATGTTGTCTTGTAGATGTCAGATTCTGCCATTCGAATTTGGTTATAACCACTCTTTAAATCTAATTTCGTGAAATATGTGGCTCCCTTTAGCCCATCCAAAAGATCTTCAATGAGTGGAATAGGAAATTTGTTCTTTACAGTCATAGCATTCAATCGGCGAAAATCAGTACAACACCTCCATGTGGCATCCTTCTTTTTGACAAGAACGAGAGGTGAAGTATATGAGCTACTACTTTCTCGTATAAAGTCAGTAGATAACATGTGTTTAATTTGTCGTTCAATTTCTTCTTTATGAGTATGAGGATACCTATAAGGTTTTAGGCAAATAGGATTATCATTAATGAGGTTGATTTTGTGATCATACCTTCTTTTTGGAGGTAATTGAGTGGGCTCCACAAAGAGTTCGGTATATTTCTGCAAAAGTTCATCCAACTCCAGAGTCTGACTTGAATTCAATTCAGTTTCATCATTTGCAACTGATACATCAAAGCTAATTGGGCCATGAATTGGAAGCAACATTACTTGCAAACTAATCGCTTTAAGTTTCCCAACTCTGTCCACGAATAAGTTGTCTTGTTTTTCTCCTATCAACGTTACAATGTTGTCTTTATGAACAAATCTCATTGTCAAGTTAGTGCAATTCCAAGATATCTCACCTAAGGTTTTAAACCATTGCATTCCTAAGATAGCACCAAAAGTTGAACCAGGGAGTACTAAAAAATCAGCAAGAAAAGAGTGGTCACCAAATTTCCATTCTAACTTCTCACATTTTCGGGTTATCATAATTGGTTTATCACTGACAACCATTACAGGAAAATCTTCTATAGGTTGTGTTTTCAGTCCAATCAGCTTAATCCATTTTGAACTTATGAAACTGTGGGTACTGCCTGTGTCCATAAGAAAAAGCACATCTTTTCTTTTTATAATCCCTTGTAATTGTAAAGTGTTACCTCCAGCTATACCTCTCAATGAATGCAAAGAAATTTGTACCAGATCATCGTTAAACAATTCTAAACTTTTTTCCAGTAGAGACTCATTTGCATCATTGTCACTATCTTCAATTTCCTCTGCATCTAAATTTTCTTGTACACAAAAGATGGCATTTAGCTTTCCCCAAACCTTACATTTTAATCAATGATTCTTCTCCCATTTATCACCGCAAAATCTACATAATCCTTTTGAAATACGCTCACTGATTTCTTTCATAGAAGGTACTGAATTGGTACTATTCTGTGAAGCAGTAATTGACGTGTTGACAGACGAATTCTGTGGTTGAGTTTGTAAGCTAGTAATTGAGTGGTTTCTGAAGTTGGATGGTGGATGTGGTCCAGAACGTGTGAATCTAGTTGGATAATCAAAAGTATTTGATTTACCTATTAATATCTTCTCTAATTCTTTAACGACGTCATCTTGTAATCTTGCTAATCGAACAACTTCTTGCACTAATTTGGGGTTGTGAATTCGCACAGATTTCTCCAACTGAACTTCCAATCCCGCAAGAAAGAAGCTAATGGCCATGCATTGGATAGTGCAACTCGAGCAAGCAGGTTATCAAATTTTTCCAAGTATTCCTGTAGCGATCCTGATTGTTTCAAACGAGATAATTCCCAATTGGGTCATCATAAGCACCATCATCGAAACGGTTACCTACATCTTGAAGAATAGTTTTCCAAGATTTGTTCTGGAATTCTTGGTTTTGCATGTAATGTCTCTGCCACGCAAATGTTTTGCCATCCATCGATAGTAAAAGTAATTTGCCTCTTTGATTAATGGGTGTGCGTTCTAATTCAAAGAATTGTTCAGCTTTTGCTCTCCATTCCCTGAAGTTGGTGCCGTCGAATGAAGGAAACGCAATCTGAGTTCGTTCAAAAATCTTGCTCGAGTTAAGATCTGACTCAGCTTCTTCATATTTTGTATTGTATTTGAATTGTTCGTCATTGATGTTTAATTTGGCCAAGACCTGTGTCATCATCATCTTTATCGAGTCAATATCGGCTTTGTGACTTGTTTGCGATTCCTCGAATGCTTTCTTGTTATCACGGTGATTCCTCGAATTTTCTTCTTGTGAGGATGCCATTAATCTCTCTAGCCCATCAATTCTGTTTTCAAGATCTTTATTTGTTATTAAACCTCCCATCATTGCCGACAATACTGATACCAATTGTTAAAGGTATATTGAAATTATCCTCTAACATTACTCACTCTCTCAATCCCACACGAGAATAGAAGAGGACACACAATAGTAAAATTGTATATTCATCATAATACCTCTCGGATTACATTAGGTCCTATTTATAATTCTTAGTTTTTAACTAACTTTTAAATTCTAATAACTAATTTATTATTTCTCTTTGATTAATAACCACCTATAACAAAACATGGCTAACAAAAAGGATTCAAACACATCGGCATGAAGGGGTAAAAATAAATAGATAGAATTTACTGACTTCTACACATCTTCTAAGAGCAAAGTCCAGCCCCCATCCATGCACTAGATCATTCTACATGAAGACAATCGGAAAGTCCTTCAGTATAATAACTAAGATTTTGTATCTAGCAAGACAAGATTTATCTGTTCATCCAGCTGCATTATTTAGTATACCATAAGAAAAATAAACTATACCTGAATCATGTGCCACACACAACGCCAAGCTTCACGAGAAAAGACAGGTGCCATAATTTCTACAAATCTAAAATATCAAAAGATACAATAAAATTAACTACGTAGACAAAGGAAAGAAAATCTAAGTAAATGATATTACAATACAAAATTCAACTTTGAATCAGGGTGAAAGAAAGAGCATACGCAGCACAAGGAGGCAAATGTGGATCACTACACCAGCCTGGTTTCTCTTCTGTAACCCTATTGGGCAACACATACAAAAATGTGTCAAGGCCAAGACTTAAAGAAAACATTTGAAGGCATGAGAAAAAGAACCTTATTAGATCAATGACTGAAGTAATAAAGTTAGAAAAAAAAAAAAGAACGGCAAGAGAATACATGTGAACTTCTTTGTCACCCCTCCTTTTTGTCATCTCCCATGTCAATCCTTTATTGGGCTCAAGACCAGGTTGGGAGATCTCCAAACCATATTTTTTCACTAAACGAATATACCTAGTGAATAGAATACAGTTAATTACTCAAACTAAAAGTTGCATAAATATCAAATTTGAGCAGAGACAAATGAAAATAATACTTGTCTGCATTGAAGTGTTCCACTCCAAGATCTTCATCCCAAATAAAAATATATTCATAAGCTGATACTATGTCAGGGTGCAAAAATCTTTTAGCATACCACCTGTACAACATCAAACATGAGAAAATTGTATAAAAGTGATAGAGCAAAGCAATAAGATCAACTGAAGAATGATAAGGTCTTCTAACAATTCCAAAGTTAAATGTGATCACAAAAATATAAGCTTCCCATGTCCAATACCATGACTTTCATAAGTTAAGTGCAAAAATATGACAGAAAAAAGTTATACCATTTAGTTTGTTTCCTTGCACTAACATGGATTGCATTCTTTGACCACTCAAATTGATCCCATTCACTAGTCCGACCATCATAATGAAAGAGCAAAATTGCAAAATCATCAGAAAACTACAGAACAATTTGATAGTCAGCAATTTTGAAGAAAATAAGAAATGGCAAATATACAAATGAAAACATGTATATGAATTTAGTAAATCTCAATAACCTTTTTCACGGCAGCATTGATATTATGCCTTTGTTCATAACCAACAGTGAATGTAACTAAATACTTTTGCTTTTTCTTCAGATCCTGCAGCATTCATGGTTTCATTGGAAGATTTGCAAGAAAGATATCAAAGAAATAGGCATGTAACATGTCTGCACTATCCACACCGGCTTATCAACATGCATACCTCCTGACACACTAACATGCAATGGTCTCATGCATGCATAAAGCTGCATAAATACACAGTTGAGATAAGTGCACATCTCTAGCCAATATGGACATGTAATGCATGTGTCAGGGGACATAGTTTTGATTTCCCTCCTATGTCATGTGAAGCTTAGATGGAAGTGAAAGAAATATTGCTATACGTGGCTCTCTGTTTTACCATGACACACAACATCACAACAATGGATGAACTTTGGGATTTTGTTTAAATTTCGTATTGTAAATTGTAAACTATATGAAACTTAAGAAACTACAAGCTAAAGATAAACTCTTGCATCATAAATAACTGTTTATCAACATACCTCACTAGGTTCACCCCATAATCTGCGTAAATAAAAATCAGATTCTGATACAACAATTCCAGGGGGAAGTGATTCAGCTCCACGAGGATTTGATGCAACAAATATCTGTGAAAGAAGAAGTTTTGAATCAGCCTTTATATGATTGCTAAAGAGTATGCAGAAAATCTAAAACAAGTATAGTTATAAGATAATGTCTGAAATTTATAGCCACACCACAATGCAGCAAGAATCACACATGGCAAAAAATAATTCTAGAGAGTAGTTTAATCTTAATAAAAAACTTGACAGTGCCTTATGGATGAGACTTAGGTAAAAGCACATTCACTTCAATGTTTATCAAATTGCTTAAGCAATGAATTTTTAATATTTCAGACTACTTCCAAAGTTGATAAGCTCCTGATCGAAGAACATGAGCACCCAAATCCTTGTTCTAAAAACAACTACAAAATGATATAGTTCACATGATAGACCAGTTCATCTAATTATATAATTTGCGCTCCATTTTCACAAGTTATGTTGATAAGCTCATGAATGCCTACACCTAATAATTGTTTATAAGCAATATATAAGCTTAGATAAGTTCGAATAAAAGCTTACTTTCAAAAAAAAAATTTTTTTTCAAGGAACGAGCATATTTTTACTTCCTTGCTGGAAGTATTAAAGTTTGCAGACAAAATTTCTATCTGGTATGTATTATGTCATATCTAAATATGGAACAAGATCTTAAATAATCAAACCATAAATAAATTTTAAAATGTAAATCGATTAAAAAGACAAATATTATTAAATTATATATAAATAGACATTTCAATATGTGCTCCTTAAAATCTTGATAGAGTAGGATTTAAAAGGCTTAGTTCATGATGTTTTCAACTCCAACAGTTAGCCATCAAAAAAGCTTAGCAGCACAAAATATTTTATACAAGATAAAACCATGGCCAGGAAATGGTAATAGTACACTCATAGATTAACCAAACCTTTCTAGGAAACAGTTTCACCTAATATATAAGTGCTAACAAGTAACAACCATAGGATGCTCTCGTAGAAGATAATAATTGATCTAAGGCTTCAGCTTCTAAGTATGGAAATTACCTTTGGTAATTTAATTGACCCTAAGACTTCAAGATTTTTGGTTCCGGAAGACTCATCAATAACAGCAGGAGATCTTTCTACTTCAGCCGAAAATCTGTCTATTTCATCTTCGGCCACAGGTACATCAAAAGAACTCTCTACAGGTGATGAAAGTAAGCTAATCTGCAAAATATAACAGGACAATGGAAAAAATTAATAGGATGATAATTGCGTGACAATACATTGAGAGAAATAACTGTTGCAGTCATTACCTTATTCAGATGCACAGATGAAATCGAAATACCAACAAAAAATCCAAAGGCAATTCCCATAATAGCTGTGACGAGAATCCGGGTACTATCATTTGATCTTTTAAATGTGCTAAAAAAGAGATTGTAAACTAAATTCAGAATTTTAGTTGAACGGACACAGAAAATTTAAGATATTTAAGATACAAGGTAAAGGCAGGCATCATTAGTTAGCAATTACCCTAATAAATATGTTTATCCTTACCTGCGATACATTATTGCTGTCCAGTTAGTATCGACCACAATCAAGTGAAGGTATGCATCACCCGGCAAAGCCCCAAATTCCGACACAAATATAACATCCTTCAACAACCAAAAATGAGACCAAGTATAAGACACAAGTAGAGAGTAATCGGGTTGAGTGTGCATTTTTTATTTATGTGCTATAGATGTATCTATCTGTCTGTATGTCTTACCATCAAAGTGAAGGCACTCATGTAAACACAAATTATATACTCAACATGTGTGGAGTGTGTCTGATATGTATATATATATATATATATATATATATATATATATATATATATATATATATATATATATATATATATATATAGAGAGAGAGAGAGAGAGAGAGAGAGAGAGAGAGAGAGAGAGAGAGAGAGAGACAGAGAGAGAGAGAGAGAGACGATCAATATGCCAAAATAAATGTAGATTTTCAGTAAAAATATTGAAGACATTGAGACCAACAGACAGCATCAAGGATTTAAAGCTACGACGATAGTGCTAGTGGTTAGTTGCTTTGCATGATGCCACAAGTTTAAACTTCGTTGCTACTAACACTACCCCGTTCAAAAAGGCAAGTGCAAATAGATCAAGCATTTTCAAGAACAAAGAGAAACCTGTTGCGGTTTTAGCGTCAATACTTCAGTACACTCATTACCGATTAGTGAGCATTTCTATTTCCGAATTCTCGTTCTCTATCAAACTTTCAAACACAAGCAGTATCATACGCCACAACCTACCACAGCGCAAGTTACCCCCAAAACTAAAAGCAAAATCCACTGAACGAACAAAACTAAAGTAACGTAGCATCAAATAACCACCGAATATTACAAATGAGCAATCTCAAAATTGCTTCGTTGATCTACGCCACTGAATCTCACGAAACAAAAACGAGTGACAAATATTTATCAACACCGTGGACTACTGTGTTCGCAAAAATGACAGCGACAACTCAAAAACTGAATTGAAGTGCTTCCACAAACACTAACGCCGAATACAGATTTCACAACTCGTCCTAACGAATAGGGAAAAAAGAACTTACAGAATCGATTGTAGAAACACAACGGTTGAAGCTCCCTTCCTTATTCAATACTGATCGAATAAACAGAACGCGATCGGCTATGTGCTGCGAATAATCATACAGAAGCAAACAGAGGCATTCTCAATGTCAATGATGCTGAGGTTGTGTCGTATGGACTAAACTGAAATTTTCGCTCTACTAATTTCGTGTGACGAAACTACCCCTCCCTTCGTTTTTCTATTTCCCCTGTGTTTGTTTGCTCTTAACAGCGTATGAGATCGTGCCAAGTGGTCGACACGTGTGTGCGACCGAATGAGTCTGATTTTGACTGGTCAACTAACTCCGTTGGATTGGATTCAAGTCACGCCATTAGACGGTTCACAAACTTCAGAAGCGTCTGTAGGGTCACCTCTCCTTTTCTTTATTGTTTTTTTTTTAACTGATCAACAACACCTTTCTCTTCCTAATTACATTAATTAAAAATATTAATATTTTTCCTTGTCAATCTTTTTAAATATATTTGTAAATTGCGTAACATTTTATAATTCCTTAAATTAACTATATTTAAATAATTTATTAAAGTTACTACGTTTTTCCTTACCAATCTAACGTGTTATTCTTCCTTACAGTAATTATATATTAAATGATATATGTTTAATAATACGTAACTAGAAATTCTGCTAAAAAAATTCTCCTTCCGGAAATAAATAACATAAAAGCATTATTGAGTCATTGTATTTGTAGCTTAGTATTTGTAGTTTGGATATAATCCATTCATTACAATTTAATAATAATAGTTGTCATTTTCTTATCTTAGTGTTTAATACAAATAAATAATCCAATTAATACTTTCGTATACACATGGCCAACAAACATGCAGTGGAAACCAGCTCAATTCTTTCAAATTAAATATAAACTTATCCTTTTGTACTTCTAGCGTAACATAAAAAATAAAATAACATAGTTCTTTATTCTTGCAAGAGAATCAAGAGTTTTTAAACAAATTTATAGATAAATATTTATTAGAAAATAAAATAAAAATAAAATATATTTTCTTTTATAAATTAAAATTATTTTTTATATAAATCAATTCCAATTCACGAGAGATTTAAATTAATTTGTATTTTAATTTCTATAACGTATTTTTTTGTCCAGGTTGTTAAGCTAGCTCACTTTATTTATTTTTCAACTCCGGATTTGACCATTTACTAAAAATATAATAATAAATAAAATATTTATCCTCATGTAATGGATTTTACATAGTCACTTTTTAGATAAATAGTTTAATTAAATTCTCAAGATGATATGTTTACGTCATCACGTGAATCTTCACAACAAAAATAGTAAATTAATCGTGGACCCAAATTTTTTTTTTTTTTCTGTTTATCTTAACATTATTATGTTTTGATCATCCTTCAAAATATCATTCTCGAACTACTTGTTTATGACATACAAATAGCTATCAATCATAAGTGTGATGCTAAAAACGAATAATAAATTAATCGAAACAAGTTTTATCCAAATTGTTAGATTTTATATTTTTATGATCACATTTTCAAAAAGATCATATTTTAAAATATGATTTCATAGATAATTTTTATAGGTATTTGGTAATTTCATAAATAAATTAAAAATTATTTAATTGAAAAAATAAAGTGGTTTTGGAGATATATTCACTGTCAATTTCAATGTCAATTGGATCAACCGGAAAAACAAATGGACCAGAATTTTTTTAATCATGAAGTTGATAGTTGCAGTTAAAATATAAAATGTTAATAATGAATGAATAACATGGGACAAATCACGAACAAGACAATAAATAAAGTAAACGTTGTCCTTAGGTAAGGTTGGTAACTATTACTGGAAGATTTGTTTTGTTAAAATAAACTCACGGATTCACAGATCAAAACGTTAAATAATGTTAAAATTGATAGAACATTGATGAAAGATTAATGTCAGAGTCATTCTTATAAAAAATAAAAAAAAAGGTTTGAAAATATGCTTTGTAATTGTATCACGAAGACATTAATTTAGCATACTAGCTTTATCAAAAGGAACACTTTTTTTTTTTTTTACTAAGATTGTGTAAAGTAGTCTCAAAATCAAAAGACTTTTTTTTTTTATTATTATTCTTTGTGAAATAATCCAACAAGTCTCCAATGTTTGACATGAAATAATAGAGTAAAATCTTGATTTTTTTTTCTATTTGTAACTTTTTAAGTCAAATGTTAATATATGAATAGTGTAAATTTTATTAAAAACAAAAGTATGAAATGAAATATTTATTTAACTAATTTTCTAATTTGTGTATAGAATGTAAGGATAGGAATTAAATTTTTATTCGAACATTTAATAGTTGCCACTTTCATACTTTTTGGTATATATTTTCATTAAATAGTTATTATTGTTGCTTATTTAAAGGGAGGATTTAAAGTTTTTTTTGTTATGACAACATAAACTAATGTTAGTATGTAGTGTTTGTTTTTATATTATTAGGAATTATATTCTTTAAATAATAATATTTCTATAGATATGTTTGGTTGGTATTTAATATTTCGAGAACAAAACTATTTAATTTAAAAAAAAAAGAAGGAAGCATTGGAAATATGTGGTTAAATATCTCCTTGTTCCCTACAAATATAAATAATTTAAACATAGGAATATTTATACTCATTTTCATCTAAAGATTAAAAAAAAGTTAGCATGATAAAGATTTACTTAGTGAGATAATTTATAGTGATATAACATTTAATTATAGTAAACTCACTTAATGAGATTGAATTTTAGTTAAACAAAATAATGTTCATTTTTATTTAATGAACACAAGACCAAAATAATAATTCACCTAGTAGGAAGATATTTGTTAAAATTTTATCAAAATAGTTGGATCTAAAATTTATAAACATTATATTTAATTAAACTAAAAAAAATGAACTCAGATCAATTCCTTGATTTATTAAACTCAACAAAATGTAATTATGTTGAATTCGATTGATTGGATTCATGGATTGACTACACTTCTAGTATTGGAATACAAACAAACAAAAAATGCCATAGTTCCTTTTTTTTTAATGAATTAACTATTTTAAGAAATTTTGGTTTTACTCTAAAAATCATATGAAAGTGGATTAAAAACATATTTATTTCTCATTAATTATAATTATAAGGTAGATTTACCAAACTTAGAATGATCTTATTTTTAATAAATTTCAATAAATAAATATATATTAATAAAATACATATAAAATATATTTTTAACATTCATGTGTGTTTTACTTACTTGTTGTCACTAGTATGATCTTGGTCCAGCACAATTTCTCTAAACTCTGTTCTGTTCTCTGTTTTTGAATTTTAATGAATAGGTTGAATCTTTAACAATAGAAGAAGAAAATATGATTGAAATTGAGCACATAGTTAACCTTCATAGCTAGATTGCAACAAAATGTTTACACTACCAAGGAAATGTAAAAGAGCACAAAGAATTCAGCTCTAGGAAACTGTGGTCATCATCATCATCATCTTCGATAGTAGTCTCTATGACTTTGAAATTCTAACTAACAACTATCATCTACACAAACTTCCATGGTCATCACCAAAGTCTAAATCTCCATTAATGAGAACACTGATGTAGTTGTTCACTTTCCCAGCTCAACTTTGGGATAACTCTTTCATGTTGTGGAAAATATTCCTGCAAGGTGAAAACAAATCTCATTATAACAAAGCATTACATTGTAGAAACTAAACAAAATGTAGCAATTACCTCCATTTCTTTGACAAGTTCTTCTGGAGTTGGGGCTGATACAATTATATGGCGAGCAGTGGGACTGATGAAGCCTTCTTCCACTGCTTTGTCAATGAAAGACAAAAAGGTATTGTAGTATCCATCAACATTCAGCAATCCCACCTTCCAAAATCAAAACATTGTTAATTTTCATTATTATTATTATTATTATTAGAATTGTTTTAGGATGCCATGGAAATTGAATTTAGGTCTTTTTGAAGGATAAAAACACATCAACTATGAATCATAAGGAGTTTACCGGTTTATCATGGATTCCAAGTTGAGCCCATGTTATCACCTCAAGGAGTTCCTCAAGTGTCCCATACCCACCTTTTTGCACATAATGAATATATCATTAACATCATGGACTGCTTTTTCGTTTATGGTCAAAATAATGTCTAAAAAAGAAGATGAGTGCATTCGTGCTCTATAAATTGACAGTAGAAAATCTGATAACTTTTTCTAAGATATGTCATTTTAAAAAAGGGACAATTCTTGTTACACATGGTGTGTATATATTGTTTTGGGCATGCACGACATTTGTGTGTGCGATGTTTCATATTCTTCAACTTAAATCTAATATTGGAAATTTGATGTATTAAGTTAAAAACTCTTTAGTTTCTGTTCTCCAAATCTTGCATAAGTACTATTTTATTTTAAGTAAGGATACATATGGAGTAAAAAGAAAATAAAATAGTACATGCTATTTGATTTATTACATGTTTTTTATTCTTCAAATAGTGATATTTTTATTTTAAAATTTACCAGTATCAAGTAATATTTTCTTATAATAAAAATAAATAAATATAATCAGTTAAAAAATATTTTTTATTATAATATTTCTTTTATAATTCTTTGAAATTGTGTACATTTTATTAGTATATTTGTATTAAGTTAGTACTAGTTTTTATATTAAGAAATATAAGATTGTTATAACATTAAATATAAAGAAAATTTTATATATATTAATTTTGTTATGGTCAGTTTTTTAATAATTATTCCAGTAAAATAACGTTAAATGTTTTTTTAACCATTTTTGTTAAATATAATAGAACAATTAAACATATTATTATTATTATTATATTAATTAACTATATTAATATTTTAAGTTGTTAACGAATTAATCATCCTCTTAACAAAATTTTTACACCAATGAGAACATTCTGATATTCCAACCCTACATGATTTGGAATTGATTAGTCACATCCACAATTTTTTGTAGAGTGTAACACCGTCTAGACTAAACGATCGTACAGTACCTAGATATCATAATTGAATAATATCTAATATGAAGATCATTTTCTTTTTCTGTATAAAGACATAACACATGATTAATATGGGAAATGATAATTAAACAATTTTGAAATAAAAATATATTTAAATTAAGATATTTTTCATTAGATATATATATTGTCTGGGATGTGGCTAAGAAAGTAGAACGTCTTGTTACTCACGTGTGTAACTTAGGTCTTCTTAGAGGCAATGGTCTAATTTTGGATCTGTCATGTTAGGTTTACATATTTAAAGCATTGTTTGTTTGTTTGTACTGTGAATTAATGAAATCATAAAAACAAGTATCTTGATAATTATGATGTTAATTAATTGTTAATGTAATTAAGAAGAAATAATGGCATAACATAAAATGTTGAACAAACCGGGTAAGGCAATAAAGGCATCAGAGCGTTTAGCCATCTCTGCTTTTCTTTGATGCATGTCTGTTACTGCCTTCACTTCCCCCACTGTTTCTCCAGTGAGCTGCAACCAAATGAATCAATCCAAATTATGACTCGAGCAGGTTCATAGAAATGTGAAATGGAAACAGCTTTTGCGCGTGAGAGAGAGAAGGTTGCTACGCTACAATACAATTCAATACTACAACAATGCATGCCACGGAATATGAGGAAGATTGGGAGGGGAGCGGTGCAATGATGAGTGTTACAGTCTTGGCAGAGAAGTGGGCTCAATGGGAAATCCTATGACCACCACCCTTTTGCTCCTCGGGGGAAGCAATAAGAGTCAGAATACAGAAAAAAAAAAATGAACCAACAAAGTCATTTACTTTCTCTGTGATACCAATTAAGATGGGTACTAACAAAACCAGAAATGCCATGAGAATCTAAAGTGGTATATGGGACTAGGAGAGAAGGACAAAATGGTTCAGAGGGGAAAGACCCCAGATTGCCAGGTGTATTCATATTCAATATTCATGTCATGGAAAAGCTAAACCTTGACAACAAATAAATAAGTAAATGTGATTCAGTGAGTTTTGAACGAAACTCAAATAATATACTAGTTCTATTTCAATTCACTAAGAACCGCACATGAATCACGGAAAAGGACAAGTGTGGAACTCAGATATTGGGATAACAAAAGTATGGTGGAAATTCACTTGAAATAGGGTGGATGCCAAGGAATTGGAACAAACAAGAGCATATATTGTGGTAAGATAGGGAAAAGATGTAGATAATTCTGTGTGTCCCCTGCGTATGTGTTCGGTCATTTTCCTTTTATTTCCAAATAAATGCTTCCAAAACACCTCAACATTACCTCTCTTGGCATAAGTGTCTTTGGAATAACTCTGCAAACAAAAGCAAGACAAAAATTAGTTGACTTCAAAAATTAAATATATATAACATCTTCGGACCAAATCAAGATGATGCTCACCCAATTACATGGCGACCACCCTCATAGACAGCCTGAGAAATCAACCCCATCAAACCAATGCTGCCCCCTCCATATACAAGATCAATATTTCTTGACACCTTTTCAACACCAAACAATACCAGTATGTATGTGTAAATAACTCTAATTCTTTGAACCTAAGAAAGATACATGCTTATATAGACAAATAAAGAACAAAAAGAATGGACAATTCATGAAATGAAGAGAAGTTGAAATTATAACTAGAAGACACAGGTGACCATATGCAGGATTGTAAATCTTAATATACTAATTGTAAAGGTATAAGCTTAGAAAAATTGATAAATGAAAACAACAACAAAACAGATTACAGAGAGAGATTGACTAATTCAAAGTCATCAACTGTCCCCGAGATAAAATAAGGAAAAAGAATCTTAAAGCAGAACATAAGAAGAAACTAAATTATGGGAAGAAAAGTTAGATAACATTCTGAGTAGAATTGACCCAAAAGGAAACAGAAGAAATAAGAGAGTGAGAGGGGCATTTACCAATTCCTTTCCAAGCTCAATAGCAGCATCCTTGTAAGAAGTTTTATTCCCTGGACTACTGCCACAGAAGACACAAATCCTCTTGAACTTGGATACTTTCATCTCTGTTTCTTTCTCCATTTTTTTCTCCCTTCTTTCTCACACAGAGGAACAGGTTATATGTCCCACACTGGACAAAATGGATGAGCGGTTGATGGTGTAAACGCGCGCCTATGCTATATATAACGGCAACACAGGCAAAGGCTCGCACACGTCCTCACCCCATCACCGATTATGACGCTGACTCACACAACTTGTACGTAGAGACTGAGGAAGACATGATCCAATGATGTGTGTGTTTTCTACTTTACCATGGTCCCCTCTAGACCACCAATGAAAGGAAAAAGAAATAAAATAAAAATAAAAATAAAAATAAAAACAATCCGTGGTCCTATCCTATGTGAAGATGAGATCATTGTGGTAGCTTGTGGCTTTATTTTTATTAATTTTCATCACATAGGAATGGATGCCCTATTGGGTTGTGATTCAAATTTCAATGACTAATGACACCACCAACCCGTTAAGGACATCCTAGAATTTTCAAATGTCAGTTTCAAGTGAAGCACACATAGTTATCGGAGGCCCTTCAATAGAGAGGCATTGCCGGCCTGTCTAATACCTTGAGATGTGTAACTTAGACATAGAAAGTTGACCAAATTTTGGGTAATGTTCAACTTTGTCATAAATCTAGTAGATATGTTGATTCTTTTAATTCTTAACACACAGTTTGGAATGCACTGTTTGAGATGAGCTCGTGAAACCCTTTCCCGCTCCACCGTTCTTGCTTCACATTGTCAATTCTGTTTGTTGTGACTACCCAAATCATAGCATCTTCATCTGGGTTGACTTCTAATCTAGTACTTTATCACATTCTCCATCCAACTAATCCTGTCCACCCACCAACTCCTATTGCAATCTCTCTCTCTCTCAGACACTTTGTTTTATTCTGTTAAAACAATCAACTCATTGTTTAAGACACACAGTGGTGCCATTTCCTGTTTCCCAATAGCCATTACATAATTAGGTTCTAATGTAATGTGCAAGAGGTTAAAGTTCAACAAGGTTCTATTACATGTAAGTCTTCATTCTCATGGTCACCCATTATAAATTTGAAATGATTATACAAATACTTTTTCGAAAACCCTCATTTTATCTGCAAGTTTTTGCAGGGATACTCAGTGTACACACACCAGTTTCTGATTAAGATGTGTAAGATGGATTATAAAACCAAAAGTTTGGATGGTTTTGGTGAGTTCATCCGTGCAATAATAGATGTCGAGAGAGGTTAAAGAGAGGACAAATAGTAAATGTGTACATCACTGACACCAATATAGCATTGCTCTAGAGGATAGGCAAGAACAAGCATGTGCCATTCACTCCCAACCATTCTTTGAGATGAAAAATATGACAATCGGTCAGAGTCCTATTGGAAAGAAACATCTCAAAGGCCAATAAGAACTTGACGCCTACAAAACCCATGATCAAATTGGTTTCACCAAATTTGGAAACGTTTAATCTGTCACAGACTCTAGTTTGATGCTACCCTTTCTGTCTCCCTCTTATATTACAACCAGCCAAATTTTTTGACTATGTTAATCAACTAGCAATAAAGTACGTATCCCATCTCTTCTCAGATAAGATGTGTGGCATTATGTTGGCAAACAAATGCGATTAGCCTTCACTTTCTTTATCCTTTGTTGGGGAAAGCATTGCAATGTGTTTTTATAAAATTAATATGTTCAATGAAAGAAACCCTTGTCATCATTAATTTAAAGCTCTTTGTTTGGGAATTAAACTTGTCTTTTGAACAAAATAAGTGATCAAACAACAACCGCTCAATCTTTTTTGTATATAAACAATTATTCTAACCCCAATTACTCATCTTTAAGTCAAACATAATTTCTATAAGTTAAATATATTCTCCATTTAGTTTTCTATAAGTAAAATTTTATTATTTAGGTCTTTATTTATCTTAGCATTACTTCTTTATTTTCTATGCACACAGTTATTCTTAGTTTAGTCTCTATCTCGATGATAAAAAATGTATCCATACATATATATATGTAACGTATAGAAATCAATTTGATAAGTTTTTATCAGTGGAAACTAAATTTTGACTCCACGTACACAACTCTTTAAAAGTTTACAATGTTCAAATTAACCATCCAAAATTTTTAAGCTATGATTAGGTTAATATATTTAAATTAAAAATCAAGTTTTTTTCTTCATAATTTTAAAGTTTTAGATTTTCAAACCTTTTTTATTATGTATTATTGTTTTTTTAATAAACTTTTCAAATCATGTTAAGGAAACTTTTTAAAACGTGGAAACAAGCCTAACAAATGTCTTAAAAATGGTTTATACCAAGTAAATAAATTAGTTTTGAACTTCTGATTTGAAAATTAAGTTAGACCCCAAGTTTTTTCTTTTGAATAACCGTGTTACTAGTACAGATTATTAATTTTTAGCAATGATTAATGATGGATCAAGTTTGAAGATTCAAACCCTTTTTTTATCAAGTTTTAGAAAATCTTATCTAATGTAATCGATTTATAATCGTAATTAATATCTGTCGCCAAAATTTTCTTGGTGGAGGCAAGCTGTGTTAACACTTCTCTTTGCTCTTTTATGCTGGGTTTCAATTCCAAGGAGACATCATCTCGTGCATTTGCAAGCAAAAGAATCATTGAGTTCCTTCAGCAACTAAATGGTGGGAATCCTACTCAGATAATCATCCACGTACTAGCTAGTTAATAACCCAAATGCATCCCCTTTCTATTCTCTTTATTCATGTCAAGTTATTTCTCCTCATGCCTAGTAGATTTGTCGGTGTAATTTTATGAAATTCCATATCTTTAAAGTACACACCAATGTACAAGGTATCCATGCTGGGTCCAAGATTGTTCACTTATAAGGACACAGAACCTAGTTGGTTAGCTAACAAAGGTAAATGCTAATTTTCTTTGAAAACTAATGCTGGTTTTACCATAATGCATTCACCAGAGATCCAATTTTGTGCTAGCTTTTGGTCACCGTGTTGTGGACAAAACATTGGAAAATATGATTGCAGAGGTAAACTCTGTTAAGTCTGCATTCTGTCATATTCTTAAGAGATTAAAACATTTGTCCAAGAGTTGCCTTTTCGGATAAGGCACACATCTTTTTCATCGTATCGTTCAAGCAACGCAAGTATTATTAATACTGTTTTGCTAATACATGCATATACTCTGCTACCCTGTCTTGAGCATGTGTAAGAAAATGGGATCATTTCCTTTGTTAATCAAACAGAACTTGTCCATTTGTTAGGAAGTCTTAGTCTCTGATGCAGAAGTATGCCTAACCAAAACATCCCCATTTTTCACTTTGTTTTTTCCTACGACCACTAATCTTGCTGTGTTGGTAAGAGAACCTTCAGTTTGAGTTAACTTTTGAAGTCTAAATTCACTTTTAATACATAGCATATTCAATGATAAAGAAATATCTAGATATTTTAATTATCTTAAAATTCTTAATCTTATAATTAAATACAATTAAAAAAAAATGAAATCTTATAAAACCAGTAAATCAAGAAAATGCACTTCAGAAATCATCTTGTCTTAGTTATCATACACTTACGAAATTGACTTGAACTTAATCACCACAAAAATTTGTTTCATAGGCTTCAAAATTTTAAACAAAAAGCAATTATGAATCACCCGTTTAACTTTAATAGTCAAATTTTAATTTAGTTCATGAAGAATAAAGTTCCAATATGTGATTAGTTATGAAAAGGAGAAGACTTAACCGGTAAACTCAATCTGAGTAAAAGATTAGGTTATATAAACTGAGGGATTCAATTTATTTGTACATGTTATGTGATTTAATCCTAATCAAAGTTTGGACATTTTTATTATTCAATCAGGTAAGCTTTATGTGATAAATTATTATTTTTTATTGAGTTAAACATAACCTCTCAAATTTAAAGATTTTTCATGTGAGAAAATTTATAATAAAGTTAATAAATTTAAGCTTTCTAACTGTGATTCTAACAACACCTGAAAACAGAAAGCCCCACATAAAAGTAAATAAAACTAGGTCAAAGGATACATGTATATATATGAATGAGAGTTATTGAAAATTCAATTATGAAAGGTGTAAGGTTGAGGAACATGATTGATGAGGGAGTGTAGTGGTTCCGATGTGTCCTTGGAGGAATGTGTGTCACATATATTATTTTCTTGCTTGTAGACTCACTTCTCTCTCAATCCACGTCCAAACAAAGCTTCCATTAACAAACCTCGTCATTTATTGGTCAATACTCAACATATATGGTGCCACAAACCAACTTGTACACGTAATTAGATGTGCCTTTGCTTTGTTGCCTCTCCATGTTCTTTCCATTTTAAGTAAAACTTTTCTTTTTTGTTTTATCTGTATTCAGAGAATAAAACTCACACTGCTGTTCATTAAAAGAAAATTGTAATATGTATAATTAATTATATGAATCTTAAGGTTAATTTTTAATTCATAAATAAATGTGAGATGAGATCCTCCATGGGTTTGTCTAAAATATTATTCTTTAGCCAAACTCGTGAGTGAAATTCTACTTGGTCAACAACGAACACACGTGTTGCTTTCACAAAATTGTGATTTAAACTCACTTTAATATCTTTGTTAAACCATTTATGAATGTGCCTCATCAATTGCATTTATTGGTTATGCTTTTTTGTGGTGCTTTGTGGTTGGGTTGGGATGATGACAACCTTACGAAACAGGGTATCCTTTTTCGCGTCATGTTTTACAAAATTTAAGAAAGGTGAACAAATTTACAATACGTTGTATTTAAGGGTGATGATGATACGACAACAATTCTAGTCTCGACTGAAGGACTAATAATACAATGATGCTAATTTGTTTATGTTGGAAAATTATTGTAACATTTAATTAGCGTTAAAATCAACATTATTATTCATGTTGAATTGGATAAAATATTACTAAGTTAGGTCTCAATTTAACAAAAATTAGTAATAGATGATGGTGTAGTATTCATATTTTATTTTACCATCATCAATACAATTTCTCAAACCACTCAAATTATTTTTTAAATTGTCTCTACAACTTGAATCTCCTATTCGTGTTCATCATTTTGGAAGTCATACTCTGAAAACATAAAGGATGAGAATGCAAAAAAAAAAATTGACAATTTTGCTTTAGGTGTGCACTAAGCTAAACTCAAATTTCTATGTATGTTTCCTTAAAACTTGCAAGATCTATTTTAATCTTTCTAGATTGATATACTACAACAATTAAAATTACTTTTCAAAATGACTTTTGTGTGATCTAAGAGAAAAATAAAAGGTTGAAAACCTCAAAAACACAAACTTCTTCTACTTTATAGGGTATGTCACTCTCGATAAAAATTTTTATTCATGGATTATGAGTAACCTCATTGGTCAATAATTGAAATTTTAATATCAACTCAAATTTTGATAACCGTTTGATTAGTTTTTTTTTTTTTTTTTGCTAATGTCCTCTTTTATTCTTCTTTCCTTATTTTTATTCATCCAAACCATATAAAACTTCTATTCTATCTCTTTCTATTTTTATCCTTCTTCTTATTCATTTTCTCTCTATTTCACTTCCAACCTAATAAGCAATAACCACTAATGCATTAATATCCACTTAAATAACATAATATTAATTAATTAACTCCTATGGTCCCCTAATCCGGTGGAGAAATAATTTTCTATGGCAATTCAAAAGCAAATTCAACGCCTTTTGAGCGCACATTATTTGTGTTTTAAACTCCAAACAAGTCTAATCATAGTTCTGCATGGTGCATGCACTTCTTAACTCGTAATTAATCCATTGCGTGCACTATTAAGTAACAACCAATGAGGGTATTAGAAAAAGTAATTAACAACCAACAAAGCATTAGAAAAAAGAAGAAGTAAATAACAACCAATAAAAGGCACTAGAAAAAGTAATTAACAACCAATAAGGGTATTAAAAAAAAAGTGTTAACTACCATTAGTCTCATTCTTCTTTTTTATTCTCTTTGACTGGTGATCATGGGATGCAAAGTACGATTGGGACTTTGATACCCTTCACATGCTGATGTGTGACTTGACATTTTTAGGATGCGTTCATTTGTGTGGATATATAATTGATTTATATGTGAAAAAGAAATTTACAATCAAAGTGTTAAACATTTGTTTAACGTTTGATCGTCATCGTAGGTTAACATTTGTTTATTCTATATAGAATGTTAGAGAAATATGACTAAAAATTGTGTTTGTGATGAAATCAAGTGTATGTGACGTGATGTGACGCAAAAAGTAATAGAAAAGGGATTAGAAGGGGGATCTATGTGTAGTTGTTGCGGGGTCTGAACATGGTTGCATTCCACAGTTACAAAGACGCTGACATTGTACCCATAGCAGCTAATTATGATGATTGATCCTTTTTGTGAACAGGGTTACGAACGAGACAAAGTGTTTGTGTTTGGACTGAGTAGTCAGATGCTAACCAATTGAATTGAAAATGGTGTGGTTAGACTAAAGTGTGGGCAAATGTAGAACCCAATAAGACATCGTAAACGTTGCGCATTGAGTGTTGAAAGTTGAGACTGATGATAACTTTGGGTGAGTCAGCTTCACTCCACGCCAACATGGTTTCCCACTTTCACCCACTATCATTTTTTTTTTCCTTTTGTTTTCATCTGGACCGGAATTTGGTGTGATAATCAGTTAGAATTTTTTTTAAAATTAGATAAATAATGATTCAATCAGAAATCAGAAAAATCGGTTAAAAATAAAAAAAATTTGATGAGATGGGATGGGTTAAAGAGTGATTTTTTTTTTAAATTAATGATGTAATTTTGTCTTATATATCTTTTTTTAATTTAATATAAAGATATATTATTTTTTTTAATTTAATATAAAAATAAATAGAAAAAGTTATTTTTTTTTGGTGGTGATATTTTTTTTATTATTTATTTTTACAATTGTAATTGTTATTCATTATCTTTTATTGTCTATTTTTAATTATGTCATCGTTGTTTAATATTATTATAGTAATACAATAACATATAAAAATTATAATTTCTTAATTTTAAAATTAATTTGATAAATAGGTAGTAAGTTATTTTTGGGTTCCATGCCTTATAATAAAATAAATAAAATTTAAGTTAAATGGTATAAAAGATACGGTGTAATTTTTTCCTTTAATTATTTTTTGTAGTTTTTTTCTTTTAATTATTTTTAAATTAGATATAGCGACAATTTTTTCTCTAATTAATTTGTATTCTAAGTATTTAGTAATATGTTTATTTATGTTATTTTTATATATATATATATTCTATAAATAATTCTTATTATTATATAATACTTTTTAAATAATATTTATATTGATTAGAATTGTGATTATGTTAGGATAAATTTATTTTAAGTTTAATATATTTAAAATATATTATTTTATTAAACTCGGTTCAACTTTGATCTTGTTTTCGGTTAAACCTGATTGAATATTTGAATCTTAAACTTATATTTTCACAATTTAAATTTATACATTTACTGATTTGATGACCGCGTTATATATGCTTATTATGCAAAACATGACATTGCATAATTCTTGTAATATTTGCTTTGTAAGTACGGTTTCCGGTTTAATAAAATTTAGCTTATAAAAAGATTTAGAAAGAAAATATTTAGGTTTAGGTTTTAGAATTAAATTGATTCTTAACAATTTTTTAACATTAATTTTATTTTATTGGGTTGATGAAAATAATATATTTTAAAAAAATTTACGTTATTTTAGATGAATAATAAAATAGGTAATAGTAATTTCATGTCATTTTAGATGAATAATGGAACAGGTGATAGTAACACTACGTCATTTTCTACGTCATTTTAGATGAATAATAGATAAATGATAGTAATTATATAATAAAATAGTTTATTAGATTGTAAGAAAATAAATATTAAAAAAATAAATTATTCTTGTATTTATTCTTAGAGTAAGGAGATAATTTTTTTTCCATGAAATAAGTGTAAGAAAATTCCTCATAACTCAGATTACTAATTTTTTTTAATTTAATGATATAATATAAGTAATACATCTTAATTAGTTGATTATAGAAAAAAAATTTAAAATTAACTCTTATATTTATTCTTGGGATAACTTGCTTAAAAAAAGTGTACAAATAGGGATCACTTACTTAAAAAAAATGTAAAAGAGTTATTTCTAATCTAACCGTTTCATTTATTTGTGACTAATGATCATACAAAGGAATGGAATTTAATGAATTAAATAGTGTTTCATCAGTGTGTTTTACCAATACCCCACAAAATCTTTGATTTATAAAACTTTAGGTGATATCACTCTAGAGGTATTAAGGTATGTCCAATGTTATCATGCTTGTTTAAAGTTACATAAATGCAAGAGTTAAGGCTAATTACAAATTAGTGAAATATAAACGTTTTTAAAATGTTATCCTAAGCATTCATTTATTTGTGTGGCAAGAGATAAAAAAAAAAAAAAAAACCATGAACATAATTAAACGATTTAAAGTTTTAAATCCAAGTCGAAAAAATTTGTAATTGAAACTAACCCGCAGCTTTATCGTCTTATATATTCTTCATTATTTTTTATCGTATGAAGAATTAATAGAGTTTATAGGTTTAACCACTCTTGTTTTTTTCTTTTTCGTTTTTTGTCTTTCTATTTCCTTCCCTGTCCCATCGGTCAAGCTTAAGTCAAACTCACATGCATTTACATATAGTTGAAAGAATGTGGCCTTTAAATAAGTGGTTTTATGGGATGAAAGTAGAAAAATATAAAATGAGCACATAGTTTTAAATACTGGCAAGGTATCAATTATCTTTGTATAATTATGAGTTTCCAGCTGTGTTAGTTATATATATATATATATATATATATATATATATATATATTAATTATGCACTATAATATAAATTCATGGCATATATGTTTGTATTTATTTTAGTTTCTATAATATCTGAAATTTATATTTTGTCTGTGATTTTTCAACGCGTTTTTTCTCAATTATCTAATAACAGAAATTGAGAAATGAGTTTCACGTGGCACTATATACCTTTGAGGGAATGATACATGATGAAGATAAGTGTTTGGTGGATACATTGATATATTCATGACTTACCAGGAAACAGTGTATGTTCATGCAGAGTCAGGTGTTGTTGGTGGAATACACCATGAATCCATTCCCTGCTACGAAAGCTACGCAAATTTCACAACACAACAAAATAGCCGGATAAACTTTTATCAACCATCCCTTTTCTTATCGTTTATATCAATCAAAAAGACCACTATCATATAAAACAATCATACATGGACCAAAGTCGTAGGCTAATCCAAGACTATATTGTTGATTTGGAATCATAATATTAGGTAGAAAATAAGAAAATTGGAATAACATACAATATTCTATAAAATAAAATAAATAAATAATATATAAATAATAGATTCATAAATATGATGTTTCAACATTTTCGATTAAAAACAATATCATATTTTTTTTTTATAACCGATTCATATTTCATGATGTTCTTACAATCTTATCCCGTAAAAAGTAATCAATATATTTGATGTATATAATAATAAATAAAAATTATGATTTTAATACCTTGTTCTTTTTTTTATAGTTAAAATTATGATATATATATATATATATATATGTTAAATCATTAAATTAAAATATGCATTTATAATTTATTGATTTAGAGAGGAAGATGGATAAAAAAAATAAATAATAAATAGATGGGTTGGCTTAGTCGAGGGATGCGTAAAAAAAAGGAATTAGAAGGAAAAAAGAAAATATATTTATTTTATGTTGAAATGCAGTACAATTAATTATGTTACAAACCTACTGAAATGTTTTATTAATGCGTTTTCTATATAATAATAATAATAAATAATAATAATAATAAATAAAAATAATAATAATAAAAATAAATAAATAATAATAATAATAGCAATAACAATAATAGATATAAAAAATAGATTATTAGTTATAAACAAAATCATTTCCTTACTCGTTTCTTTGCAACTAAATAACTTTTTTTTATTTCTTATATTTTTTTCTTTTCCTTTCAATTTTCTTCATTTCCCTTTTTTTCCCTATACCAAATGGAGCCTATAGGTTTTCATACATGAAATAATGTAATATATGACAACTTAATTAAGAGAATATTATTTTATATTTTAGAATAGCTATGCACTGTAAATTTAGTTTATAAATTATAAAATGTCATAATACTTTTTTTTAAATTGGTTGTTAATGAATTTAGTTTTATTGTCACCCAACAAACTACGTAAAACATGGTAAAGTGGCTTGTTAAACATATATTTGATTTTGCATTAAAGTAGAAGGAAAAAATGTTAAGTAAAAAAACAAAAAAACTCAGTAGTCTCTGAAACTAATATATATATATATATATATATATATATATATATATATATATATATATATATATATATATATATATATATATATATCGATTTTAGTTTCTAAATATTAAATTTGAGAACCTAAAATAACTTTTTAGGAGTTAGATTTAAGATTTAATTTTTTTGTCCTAAAAATTTAATGTTTAAGGATTGAACTTGTTTTCAATTTTAAAGGATTATTTAAATAAATTGGAAGAGGAAATATTACAAAAAAATAAAAAATAAAAAATAAAAAATGTCACAATAGTTGAGTAATTGGGCTACCTCACGTGGGCCAATATTACTTCATTTATCACAAGAATCACTATCTATAACTCTATCTTCTATGAACAAAAAAAAAAATACACATAACTGACCAAGGGACGATGTTGATGTTAAGAATGAATGTACATTCATTAATCAAGAGAGAAATCTGGTTCTGCTGGCTTCGGCAAAGAGGAGACCACACCAGATTCTGTGGGAGAAGACACATTAACAACACCTTTCCTAGTACTCCTGGCCACCCTTTGGGCATACGTTGGTGTCTGAGGCTGAGCATTGTGAATGGCCCTGGCCCTTAATTGAGCAAGTTCCTTCCTCTTCTTATGCCTTCTCCACGCGGCTTGAACAAAACATGCAGCCCAGGTTCGCCACTGGTAAGAGTAAAACCTGAATTTGTGTCTCAATTGTTTGCTGTGCAGTCTTCTGAACTGCGACGCCACGAACTTCAGGTCTTCCGCTATCAGTGCAAAGGCCTCCACTTCCGATATGGCTTTCACTGTTCGAGTTGACGAAGGAAGGATCACACTGGGCCTCGGGTCCAAGGCCCATGTTAGCAGCTCCTCGCCGCAGAAATCACCCGGTCCAATACGGCACGAGTTGAAGAACCCGACCCGCCCCCCGTTGGTGGTGTAGGAATCAAGATGGCCTCGGATTATGAAGAGCATCTCATTCACAGGATCACCCTCGCGCACAAGAAACGTGCCCTCTGTGCACAATGCAGGCTTTAGCCTTTCGCAGATTGCATCCAACATTCTCTCATCCATTTGATCAAATAATGGCACCTGATGAAAAAATGTTTTACCTTTAAATTAAACTTCATACATTATATGACTTTTCATAATTTGTTGACATGGGATGCCTAACCAATATGTGAAACCATCGGTTATGATGACAAGATTTAATTTTGAGATGTGGGTGCTGTTAATTAAATGTGTTGGTGCAAGTTTATGGTGTGAAGTTGGGGCTTACTCCTCGAACTAGATCGAGACAAAGGTGGCGTTTGATGTCTCTCCGAAGATCCAGTGGAAGTCCTTTGAGAAGAGATTCTTCATCTACTCCTCGTGTTGCCAGCCACTTGTATTGGTCGTATTTACGCACAGATTCTCTTAGTTCTGGTGGTAGTTGTCTGTGATGCATCCATTGTTCTGTATCAGTTCTTTTCACCCTCCACTCTTCTAAGCGAACAGTGGTTGATTGGAGATAGGTCTGCAAAATTCCATTTCTGCTGAGGGACATTTTAATATGGAGAAATATAAGGTAAGGATAGTGTCATTCACGCTTTAATTACCTGCATATTACCAATTAGCAACGCAAAAAGAACCAATCCCAGAGTTGCAATAACAATAGCGACCGTTATCTCCCCAACATATGTGCTGGTAAGAAGGCCTTGTCCCAAAGAACTGCATCCTCCAACCAGAAAAATATTAGCGTCCAAAAGGATAAAAGAGAAATTTTATTCTAGTTACCAGGGAAGAGGAATGAAAAGAAAGAAAAAAAATAGTTCCCCTCATTTTATCAGAGCATGTTGGAATACATTATGTTTTTGCTCAACAAGATAAAAAAAAAAACAGTGAAGGGGGTTGCAGTTTGGGTTATTTTGAATAACTGATTCTAACTGAATAAGGATTTAAAAGTTGAATTGTATTGAAGAAAGCATGGTGATGTTATGATTGTTATAGATTCTTAACTAAGGTGTAAAACCTGATAATAAGGTAGAACAACTGCATAACACTTACCTCAGATTCCTTAGACCCCACCATAGGCAAAAAAAGTATTTGTTAAAGAATGCGGAGGATGTTACTTTGGAAGTCACGGCATCGGCGTATATACCAAACTGATAGAAGTCATCTGTTCCATTTGGTGAGCATAAATTTGTGATATTACTTGCTATGAACCAGGACACCCTGTGGGCATCTTTAATACTGTGACAGTCAAAGAATCCATCTTGACAAAATGACTTCTCCAAATCGCATACACTTCTCCAACATGCTTCTTGACGTTCGATTGACAGAAGATACCAGCAAGCCCCTAAAATCTTTTTAGGATATTTCCCATTCAAAAATAGAAATAAAAATATAGATTATGTTGCACAAAGTTGAGATATGCTCGTATATTAACAACACTGTGGTTTGGTTTTGTTAGAAAAAAAAAATTGATTTGTATTATTAACTACTTTTCTCTTAATTTGAGACTTAACTTTCTGTAATAAACATGATAAAATAAGGAATAGGGTTCAGTTGCTTGATTAATCAAGAAAATGTAGTTTTAATTTCAGCTACTTACATGGCTAGCCAACATGTAAAGCATTAGGTTGTAAGCAGCCCCTGCCCATGCTGTTTCTGTCACAACCCCTGTAGCTTTTACAATTTGTGACGAGAGTGGGTAAATCAAAACTAGCCTCGGAAAGTATTGGAAAATGATGGAGAAGCGAAGGACATTTTTTGTGTTGGCCATGGTTGAACCCCTAAGAGTTGGGATAATAATCCAAATTAACACCTGGAAAGTAAAATAGCATATTTAGCATGTCAAAGCACCCTTCTGCAATAACACTTTATCTTATTTACTAAAATTTCTTAATTTTGTCTAAAATATGTGTTCCTACACTTTTTTTGTAATGAGAAAGAAAATTTTCAACAAGGTACCTGAGGAAGGGGAAGGGCAGCAACTAAGTCTAACCAGAAACTCTTGCAAAGGTACCTAACTGCAATCTTAGAATATCCTACAACAAGTTCTCCTCTCCCAAAAACCCTCGAAGAAGGAGCAACAAACGCCGTTCGAAACTTCAACAAAATCTGAATCACATAGAAGATATCACCCACTGATCTTACCAAAGTGAGGATAACCTCAGGAGTAATTCCAATATCAATGCATACTTCATCTCGAACCACGGGCAGATAAAAGAACAAAGGGTCCACAAACAAAGATACTAAACATACTACCAAGAAAATCTTGTTCCATCGGTGTATGATTTTCCCCCTAGGATCTAATACTCTTCGTTTGACTCTGTCATAGTCTTCTGAGAATACTCTTGACAACATTCTAGCTTTCAAGAACTTCCCCGTCACCTTTTTCTGAGCCATTTTGGAACTAGGCTCGGGTATTTGTGTCCCATCAATGTGGTATTTGATCTTGACACCATTGTCACGATTGCTTGTAGGAAATTTAGCTAGCTCCGGATCATCTTCAAACCTAAAATATGCAATGAAACTTATGATTAAAACCTTAATATATAAATTATGAAAAAATCGATTTATCAAGAAACTCAAACTCAAAGCATGATTTTCTTTGTTACAGGGTAGAGTTGAAGTTTAGTAATCTATCTATAGCTCAGAAGTAGTAATAGTGATACTAAATGAAAAATACTATGAAGGAAACGAACCTTGCAGATCTTGAATTACCAAAAGCCATTTCGATATCCCAGAAGTATCAAGCTCTCTTCAATTAAAATTATGAATCTTTGAGCAATTTAAACATTAAAACTTGATTTTCCTTACACTTGGATTTCCCAACACAACAGTGATTGCAGCAAGAGACTGCAAATCGTGAAAAGCATAAAAAGGAGATGCGAACAAGCAATAGATTTGGTTTTTTACGGTTATTCCAACAACAAGCGAGTGAAGTGAGACAGATTCCAGAGCATTTCCATCTGCTGCAAGCAAAGCCATGCCATGGCACTTTGAACCAACTTCTCACATCTGCATCTCTTCCACCTTGCTTCTTGATTTGCCCCGAGTCTCTAGAAACCAGTACGAGGATTGAAAAACAAATGGGTCATTAGAGCAATGCAGAAGGAGTTGCAGAGTGAGAGGAGTAGTATATTCATTTGCTTATAGTTGTCATCCTTCCCTTAAAAGTGGCGGAACATGCCAAATCGAGATTTATTTATAAACAAATGCATACATAGTCCGGAAGAAAAATATTAAATTATAAAAGAAATCAAGAGGAAATAGTTTTGTGAGTACTGAAAGATTAATTCATTTAAACAGTAGAATTGGCCAACTGGGTTTTACGTCATTTAACTAAGCATTTTTCGCATGTAATACCGAAAAATATAATTGAGAGATAATATTTATCAATTATCTCAGATTTTGTTGAGAGAGAAGTACACCTTATGCTCTTGCAAGGTAACATTTAGACAAGTACAACCCTAAAAACAAACGCAAGGTTTTTGTTTTTAGTTTTAGTGTGAGTTTGATGTTTGATATGGTGACACATAGGAAACATCCACGTTTAAGAAGAGAAGAACTAAGCTTTATCATAACACTGACACGCTTTTCTTCGTTAATGAGTGAATCTTATTTCATTTGTTTTTTTGTTTTTATGTGATTTTCATCGTCTACATGTTTATTCAATGATTATATATAGTCGAATCCAATCCAATCCAATCCAAGCGGGATAAAAATAAGAGAAGAGTTTAGTCCGGCGGGTAAGTAGGGCCGTAGGGATCATATGCTGAGGTTGCTTTGCTGGTTTCGTTCCAACCAAACAAAGTTGCTTCGTGGGAGGGAGAGAGAGAGAGAGAGAGGTGAATTGTTATCATATTTTAACATGCGAATGATCCGAGGTAGAGTTGACTGCGTTAGATACGCTGCGATGGAATCTGGACACGTGTGACATCTTTGTAACTCACGCACGCATTCCCAGACCCAGCTCATTCAATCACACTACTCTCCAACTTTTAACTCACACATACAACATAAGAAATTATAAGTACGGTTAAGACACGGAGAAAATTATTTTTTGACAGAGGATGAGATATCTAAATTAATTAATCATAGTGTAAGTCGATGAAAAATGTATATTTTACTCTTTCTAAAAAAAAAAAATTATGTTTATCATCAATATATGGAAATGAGTTGAATTTGAGATAACTTTTAAGAATTTTTAAAGTTAAAAATATTGTGTAATTATACAATTTATAGAATATTTATCATAAACATTTATATAAGTTTCATTTATAGCGTTGAATCAAGCTATTATTTTCTATTGCATAATAAATTTTTTTTCTGAAACATGTTCTCTCGTTAATTTTTCACATTCAATCGTTTTCACTCATAATTTCTCTCTTTTAAATCAATGTCATCTTAATAAAAATTAGAGACTTATTATTTTTATCATTTATTAAATAACAATCTAATAATTTAAAATAATAATTTATCTTAAATATTTTATTATAAGAAAATAAATAATAATAATAATTATTATTATTAAAATAAATGGATTATACAAATAAACTTTGCTGTGGATTATATATCTTATTTTATATTTTTAAAATTTTTCGTATCAGAATTGGATTGTGATTTTAGTGTTTTGTTTTTCTCCTCTTAAATTTTTTTTTTTTGAGTTTGAAAATTGCCTTCATGTACTTGTATAAGAAATATTACCTGATTTGTGTTAATTAGATCCAATTTAAATAATTTTGCTTACGCGTTAACGTAAAGGAGGGAACAAGAGACACTGAAACATATTTATATATCCAAAACATGGAAGAAGATGGGCCAATCTGATTTCTATTGTAATATATTATTAAAATAAACAAATTTCATATCATATATGATATAAAATTGTTTTTATCTATTAAATAAAGTCTTATTATTAATAAGTAATTGTTCATTTTTCTAAAATATTACACATAAACTAATTTTGAATGACTTAAATTATTTACAATACAATCTACCAACACGTTAGGTCGAGCGAAAATGAATTCACTCTCCTAAAATAAAATTTTAGATTCAAACATTAATTTTTACAAAAATTAATTATAAGCAAAACTTATACTTCGTTGAAATAACATAACTACTAAAAAAAATCTAGAATACAATTTGCAATTGTTTTCTTAAAAAATTCATCAAATCTATTTTGAAAACCTCAAATCCAACAAAACTAATGAATGAAGTGAGATGAACCTGATCCTTAATGGTGTGGTGGAAAGGGTTTAGAGAAGCAGCTCTTGTGTGAACATTAAATGGTTACAGACTGGATCCATGCTGGAAGACTCATCCCAAGGATTTCCCGGCATTTTTTATGCATCACTCTTCCACCTCTTTCCATTTCTATCTTCATATATTATAAACAATACACTCTGCATCCACTGCCATAATTACATGTTTGGAGGAGCCTTTCCCTCACCTTGTACTATTTTAAATATTAAGTGATTTTCTGAAGTAAACTTATGTTCAGTTTACCAAATTAATATTTAAATTTCTTTCAAAAGTATACTAAATTGAAAAGAAGAAAAAAAAAAAAAAACTGTGCTTAGAGTTCGTGATCAGCATTTAAGCCCATTCTTTAATACATTGTAATAAACAGATTTTCTCTGCACACAAATTTTTATCTCAAATATATTGAGATTTTGGGTTTGTGGATCATTTTCCTTTACATGCTACTCAATTTTATAATTTCTGCTCAACGCGAAACTTCACCGAGTACACTTGAATTTGATCGTGTGTCAGTTTCTAACTACAACCAAGTAGCTACATTGATTCTTGAGTTGTTAAAATAGTTTTCACGCCACCCCTGGCAGTAGCTCATACAAAATGAAATCCTAAGTACAATTTTTATGACAGACCAAAGCAGCAAAAAGTAGATTCTAGAGTGGAGGAGGGCCTGACTCGAAGAGGGGAGGAAAACAGCAACTAAATAGACCGCAGCAGCACAGAAACCATAAGCTGGAAATCATATAAAACCAAAAAAACAAACCAAGACACTGTCAAATTCACTTTTCATGTTATATTCCTATAGTTTAATTTAATAATAAATATGCAGTTGCAGAACTTAAGCAAAGAGAATATCAAGTTCCTTACCATGTATCCAAGAATCCTCCTCCAGGGGGAGCTTGACTTATCAATGGTGTTGTTGGAGGAGGAGGTGGATCCATCACATAACCTACGTATACAAAGGTTATCTCTAAGGTTCAATGAACGAGTCATGTTGGTTTGTTATGTACTAGTCCAAAATCCAAACCATACATTCCTCAAGTCACACTCTCATCTACCATTCAAAGCCTCATTCTTAATCACATATGCCACCCCAACTAAAACATTAACTTTGTTAAGCCAGTTCTAATTTATAAAGGTTACTCACAAGCAACTATTTCAATTTATTTGACTCGGGACACAGAATGTAGTAATGCAGAGTCTCATGGGGGCATTTGCCTATCTGTTAACACGTGCTATCAACCAATTGATTGGTTAACACTCACCAACCCATAAAATAACACGAGAACTGACTTATTGAAATATGAATACCTTGTTGAAGTGAACAAACCAAAATCTGATTCAATTTATGATCTGTCAGTCAACCGGGCAACTATATCTGACGGGGGAATTGTTATTTGTACAAATATTACTTCAAACTTGGAACGACTAACTATACTTCTTTACCTTTTGAGTATATGAAAAATTTCCAACCACTGTAGCTAATTCTTTTGGTTCTTGGTGGGATCTCGGAGTATCTGTACAAACTCCAATCTTTTGGGCCATTTATGAACTAGTTTTTGGTCCAGAGTTTTATCACACTTGAAACTCACTCTCCCGTGAGGGATGCGTTCTGCAGGAATAAAGCCAAGCTTGTTGTTGTCAACTGAGCCACGCCTGTTAGTGAGTTCAGTTAAATTGGTTCAAAGGTCATTGTTAATATTTTATTGCTAATTGCAAGTTTACTTATGACTGTACAAAAATATCACATTCGACTTCTTTAAAGTAGAACCAGAATCACCTATCCCTTTTCTGTACAACAATACATCAAATTTATTTCTGAGATATTTAAATTTATGCACAAGACCTGTCAAAGAAAAATGAAAAATAAATTAATTAGATGAGCATACACTCAAGATTAGAGTGCATCCTCCTAGATATCCCACTGAACCATACACAATATAGGGTAGTATAAGCTACAGAGCTGTACCACGAAGTCCACAATATAATTTCGTCAGACTTCTGCTCTATGCTTCTCATCAAGCGAAAATGGCGGTTGTCATGAAAAATGATTCAAAACGAGGCTCAGTTAAGTCTATCATATCCTCCTCTGATGCATGCCAGCTCTCACCCTTTGAACTCTCCATATGCTCAGTTGAAACTGTATGGACGTCTTTATTTTCATTCCCAACATTAAGACTGTGATCAACACCTAATGGCAATAAGTTACAAGATGGAAATATACATGATGGAGCCTGGCTTGGATTCTCCAAGTCCTCCGGTTCCTTTACCTGTTCAGAAAAATAAACTCAGGATATGGTTTATTCTTATTACAATGTGATGTGAGGATGATCTATGATGGCAGTTGATGTAAGTGTAACTATTGGACAGGCAAAATATAAATGATACAAAAGTTTTGAAAATAAAGAAACATGTCCAAACTAGAACACCTAGGTAAGACTGAGGACGGTGAGCACCTGAAAAAGGCTCACAGGAAAGTTTCTTCTCCTTCTAGATCTGCCTGGGGTGATACTGGAAAGAATTTGAACAACTTCACTCATCGTTGGCCGAGTGTCAGGATCCAACAGCAAGCATTCCTTAGCTAAGTACGCCATTATCTGCAGCTCTTCTTCTGGGAAGTTTCCTTTCAATTGTGGATCAGCCAACTCGGTTATTACACGCCTGCTATCCTTTAAGCGAGGAGTTGCCTAAAACAGAAGAAGATTGGAAAGTTATGTCAATATTTTTTGAAGGGTCATAATCTCTTTCTTAGTATAATTTCAAACTGAAGTTCAACCTGAAGAAGGTAATTATTAATGAACTCAATCATCCATGTTGGGGATTGTAAATGGAAAATGAAAAACATTACATGCTGTAAAAATACGTGATGATTAACAAAACTACATGTTAGTATATCTGAGACATTATACAAAGGTCCTCCTTCTCATTAAAAATCCTCCAAATAAGAACAAAATCAAGTTTAGGTTGATGTAATAAGGCATCGTTAATTTACAATACCCATATAACAAGACTTTGTTCTTTTCCAGCGTATTTGTGGATGGGTTGCCGACCACTGATAAGCTCAAGAAGAACCACTCCAAAACTGAAGACATCAGACTCAAGAGAGGCTCTCCCAACAATTACATACTCAGGTGCAAAATAGCCAAATGTTCCCTGCATTCTTGCTGGAGAATCTGAACAACTGGGGTGGTCATCAGCTCTCAAGTTTTTAGCCATACCAAGATCAGTTATCTGCAAATTGATTATTTAAATGAACTGTAAAAGCTAACATCATATAAGTGGCAGCTTCCACCTACAGTTTAGTCAACTCTATTTCTTCAGGAAAAATAGTTCAGTCGACTTACAAAATAAATTTGACAGTGCAAAACACATTAAAACCCTCAAAATTGGAATTTGCTTACAGTATCTCATTACCCTTCTTAAGTTGTATTGTCTTTTCTTATGTAATTACGCATTTTCTAGAGGCTAGAAGTAACCATATAGAATAACGAAGACTCATACTTTTGCTTGCCAATTTTTGTCCAGAAGAATGTTTGTTGATTTGACGTCTCTGTGCAGAATTCTTGGAGCAGCTGCTTCATGAAGATACTCCAAGCCCCTTGCAGCTCCTAATGCAATTCTAACTCGAGTTGACCAGTCCATTTTTTTCCCAAAAACTCCATCTAAGCGGTCCCTCAAATTTCCATTAGTCATGTATTCAAAGACTAGCAACCTTTGAACATTTTTTCCTTTTAATTCTGAGCAGTATCCCACCAATGGCACCAGATGACAATGATGAAGTCGAGATAATAGTTCAATCTGAACAAACCAAAATATTGTTTTAGGCTCATCCTTTTTTCTAGACACTGTGGAACATTGTAATATAGCATGATCAAGACCAACTTTAGAAAACAAGCAAAAATAGGCACAACCTCTGTAAAAAATTCAGAGTCTGCCTCAGGCCCTCTTTGATCTTTTAGTCTCTTGACTGCCACATTACTACCATCTTTCAGCTGACCACGGTATACATAACTGCTTCCACCTAGTCCAGTTAGATTGGAAGTTGAAAAGTTTTCTGTGGCATATTCCAGTTCAGCAAATGAAAATTGAATGATATTTCCATGAAAGGTTTGTCTTTGGCCACCAAACAACAAAGAGGACTTCTGGAAGCATCCTAAAAAAAGGAGAAGAGGACAATTAAGAACAAAAAACTTTGTACAGTTTGAAACAAATAACATTTAAACTGAGAAATAGACTCCAAGAATAGTGAACACAAAACCGACTTACCTGTAATATGACTAATAGGAGAATATATAACAACTTTTGTTTCTAGCACCGAAGAAGTCTTATGACTAATTAAGTTGGTGGTGCTACTGTAACTTGATTCTCTATCTGATGAGATCATTGGTGATTGAATAGGACATCTCTCCCTTCGGCAGACTTGACATACAACTGAGGCAAGAAATGCAATAGTGGTGCATGCCACACATATTGATAGAATAACTACTACAATCTTGCTCGAAATTTGTGTCTTTGAACCTAGTGGCATCCTGAAAGTTCCTGCAGAATACTCAAAATTATGAATTAGATTGAGTACCTTGATCTGAGACAAAGCCGCTGAGTTTGTATAAGTTACAGGTTATGCCGTCATCAATAAGAATAAATAAACATTAAAGAGAAAATCATTCTTCAAGGTAAGAATTGATGCGTTATGGAAGCACTATTTTAAATTTTCATAATTGAGAGTTGAAAGCATTTGCCAAATCATGTGGTTTTGGAAGTTTCCATAACATGATTACTGTTAGTTACATCAGTTACATTTTCAACAATAGGCCAAAATTTCTGTAATTACAATGCAACCGCTAAATAAAACAAATCTATTTTTTTCATACGGAAGTACGCAATTTTGTTCTTTGCATAATAATAACCGGTTTATCATTAGTCCATCTTACTCAGTTTTAGAAATCACAAATTAGTGAGCAAGAGAGATGAAAGCCAAAGAGGGAGAAGAAAAATACCCCAGGTGCAATTGCAGGCATTAAAACAATTAAGGTTATGGCCATCTGCTGAAATTTCAGGAAACCCATTCGAATCACATACGCATGTCCATATGGATGCACTCTGTTCCGCATCTACATGGAAGGTAAAGCAGTTACCAAAAAAATTTCAGGAAGTGACCCCACAGTCTCCCTCTTTCTCCACAGTGAATCCATACTGCACTCTTGTCATAAGCATATAAAAAAAATAACTACAATTCTCTATTTCACCCAAGGGGCAAACACGTAGACCATTCCTTAAGCATATCATCAATAGTGACCATAACTCTACACTTCCATATCAAAAAAAGTAAAAAGTTGGTGGATTAGAGTTATTTCCATGATAGAGTGCCAATGTTTTAAGTTTCAATTTTGCAATATTACATTGGGAGAGTAGTACCTACTTACATCTATTACCCAGTTAGTTTTTGGCAATCTCCTTGAATTCCTCCTTACATAAATAAGTTGACATTTATTAGCAAAGGAAACCTTAAAGAATTTAAATGAATTCTACAAAAATACATTTCACTACATAATGGATCAAGCTAAATACTCAACTGAAGAAGATAGAAGATCATAGAAGGGGAGAGGGGTTCAAAAGGCTTGTGATCGTCGTGCCAATAAAAGATTACTATTATACCTGGATGACAATCACATGACTTGGAACAATTAGCAGGAGAGTATATCTGGTTCCCTTGTAATGAAGAGCATCTACATTGCCACTTTTTCAGTCCAATATCAGAAGGTTCATCTGTAGGTGAAAAACAAGAAGCAAAAGAGAGAAACAATATGTGAAATGGTTCATTTGGATTCAATCTATGTCTGAGAAGAAAAATGTAAACCTTAAAACCTATTTAAGCACTTAAATACCAGTAAGTACATAAGGCATACCGGTGGTGACAGCTGGAAGGTCAAGTACCAAATGTATTATAAATGGTGATACTAACCACAAAATGAATGCTGAATACAGAGCATACTAATAACTAGAGCCACAGCAACATTGAATTGAGGCTTCATTTATTCCAACCTATATAAGAAAAGGAAAGAAACCTTTTACACAAATTTTGAGCTAGAATTTTCCTCGTGTTAATTGTGCAGTATGAACCAAGAAAAAAATTCATGAGCAGATGAAGTACCATGAGGCCACTTCTTGTCATGGATGGATAGATAGAGAGATTTATCCTATTAATGGCTTCAATGTTTTCAAAGTATGAATATACAAGAGATACATTTGTTGCAATCTGAAGACTAAACACCACCAATCCATAACATTTGAAGATGATAAGCAGTCCCACCATACAAAAAGTATATCCTAAAATAACTTCAAAAGCATATACCAGCCCTTCAATATGACTCTGAAACAACTAATAAAACTTACATTATCTTGACTATATGTGCTGGAATTTACTTTTCCATTGTATGCGTGTGCGTGAAGTGGCATCAATTAGTGACCCTGCTAAAGGGGACAAACTTCATCTTCAAATCCTCTTTCTGGTTCCAATCATCATCTGTGATCTTTAGATAAAAAGGCAAGCAATCCAAAACCAGGCAATAGGATCCCCAGCTTTGAGTCTCATTTATCCATATGCTGCAGCAAAAAAATGAATGATAATCATTTCGTACTGAATAAAGAGATGGGAACTCTTTCTATTTGACCTTAATTTTTGTGGGCCGTGTATGTAAATAAGGTAAAAATGAGCACGGAGGAAGAAATGAACCTTTAGCCGACAAATACCTGAGTTAAGGTTATCCCATCCACCCCAAGTATTGAAAAATAAAAGATGAAAGTGACCCAAGTAGGGACTAGATTAATTAAGTAGCATTGGACAGTTACAGTAGGTTGAGGATCAGCACAGCGAATCCATCATTGAACATCATTCCGCAACTGATACATGTGTAAACATAACACGTTCAATTGAAGAAAGAGTCACACATGAAAATCAACCGATGTTTCTTACATCATACAATAAATATAGACAGTGAACTGCAAGAACTTCCTTTGCGGATGGCTTGACAATTAGCTTCCAAATGGTATCTAACTCTTGAAAATAGAATGAACTTGACAACTACCAAAACAAATCATCCTAGTTAACTCTACCTGCAAACTCTTTTCGAGTATCAGGAGTTTCCTCTGAAAGTAGTGACAAAAGCTAAAAGTTTGAAGTTCGTTTTGGAAAAAGCATGTTGAAGTAGGAAAGTCAAAGCAAGGCCGTTACAACTACCGAAGTGTGTGAATGCTATTATGATTATCGTCATTCTCTCAAAAGCTTCAATAAAATTTTAGTCCATAATCAAATTTTATCTGATAACAGAAAGTGTAATAATGAGCTGAAGTAAAGAAAAACAGGTAAAAAATTTTAAAAGATGGTAGGGGATTCATCTTTTGCCTAGCTGCATGTTTAATGTTTCAATCATGTATACATCATCTAACTTCTCTTTCACTTTCACTTCCACGAATGGAAAATAAAATATTAACTCCTTAGCATATCAATGTTGTCTACACAGATCAGAAATGATATTATGGAGAAATACGAAAGAGCATGGCTGAACAGACAATGGCATCGAATAGAGATCTGCTCCAATGGGTTTATCCTTTAAAAGCTTGATCCACTCAAAAGAGGAAACGAAATGAGCCTTGGAAAAGGATCCTCGTAGTGTACCACCTCTTTGAAAGCAACCCTTTTGCTTACCTACAGGGGACCCTTTAACGCATTCCCATGATGTTCAGTCATAACTATAATAAAACCATTTATGCTCCTTATTGAACACATTCCCAAGGTCAAGGTGTTCAAGTCATCACGAAAACATAGAAGGTAAAACGAAGACATTATTGTTATGTTATGTTTACGTCATCATTTCTTTTCTTTGGCGTAAAATTATACATGAAAAAGTGTACGCAATTCAGTATCTAAGGCATTTGTCAATTCTCTTCGTTGGTTTATTCCACGAGAAAAGTGAGTAGGAAAATGAAATATATGAATGAAAAGGGCTTCAAGCAAAAGAGTGTTAGTGAGACTTTTCATTTAAACTATGTAATTAAACTTAAACATTTCAATTAAATTTCACTCCAATTGAAAGATATCACCACATTGATTATATAAGCAATTATCTTTAATTTTAAGTAATCCAAAATTATATGTTATACATAAAAATATATATTTTATTGATAGGTAGCTCGTATAATATAGCTAGGCAATTTCCATTAAGAGCAAGTATTTGTTTGGGTGTGAGAAAGCAAATTAAGGGTGTGGAAGAAAAATAAATAAGTAAAAAGAGGGGCATTTTGGTAACAACATAAAGTTTCAAAGTCAGCTTTCTAATCAAAATTGGGCCCAACGATCTGCTTGTTTGTCGCTTGGGCCCACTTATGAGTAAGTGAATAAGGGCGTCGGCATACAAAAAAATAATTTAAAAAAAAGTCAATGGGATTCACTTCCGTGGACATATTAAGAAAATAATAACCAAACAAATGGGTGGGAATAGCAGAGTCCAAAGACTAGTAAGCAAGTGGCGTGTTTTATCTTTTGGTGGGCTGTTATTGGGCCTCTTTTCCCCGAAATCTTAACTCATTAGCCCAAAAATGAGAAATGTCACTTCAATAGTACCCAAAACAATTAACACTGTAAACCACACGGAACTAAGATTTAAATGTGTTAGATTAAAGTTCACTTTAAAGATAAATAAAAATTATTACTTTTATCGAATTAGAATTCAAAACTTCTGCACTTATAAGGAATAAAATAAACTATAACATGTAATAAACTGATTAAGGTCATTTAGAGAACAAACTGAAGAGAAAAACCTAAAGAAAGAGCAATACTAATAAAAAAAATCAGAAGTACATAGTATATATACCCACCATTTCTCCAAAAGATGTACAATTCAACTAAAAACAAAAAATGTGCATAACTTCTAAGAACTCAATCCGATCCACTTTCCAATATTTATACCCTTACCTTACCAAAAGCTGTAAAGGAAAACAAGATAAATGAAGAAACTTAAGATCTCAACAGAAAAGTGCATGTATTAGGCTTTGTGAGGAGAAATTTGAGAGTTTGCATTACTATTTTCTTCGATGATGCCTGTCAGAAGAGGATCTAGCAGGTTTGAGAAGATTTACAGGTTGAGGCCTCAAGAGCAAGGTTTGGGAACGTGAAACCATGTCTACCATGGAAGGGGTTCGGTATGCATTCACAAAACTGGTGCTGTCTGTAGAGTCTCCTCGTGCAGTTGCTCTTTGCCATGAATGGGCGCACAATCCTGAGAGAACATAAGCCCTTCCAGACTGCTCATAGACACGTTGGTTTGCCATCCTTTCCTGCATCTCCTTTAGCTCAGCAGAAAGAGAAATGCATAGTTGATCACCGGCTTTGGCAGAGATAGTTTCAGACAATGCCTGGTGACATCTCTCTAGAACAGAAACAGCAGCAGACAAATCACCACGTTCAGCATTGACTCTAGCCTCTGCCATTGCCTCGGCAGCTCGAAGCCTGTTTTTCTGCTTGTCTACTTCTATTGACACAACTACATCTCCAGCTACATCAGGTCTCTTAATCTTTACTTCATTATTTACTCCCATACCCTTCATTGTTTTTGTGATGGGGTCCCTATAAACACCTCTAACTACCAACAAAGGCATCTCATCGATAGACTTATCCACGGGAACATTGATTGTCACCAAAAAGTCTCTTTCTTCCTCAGCATACATATCTCCTACCTTGATAGTTGCCATTTTTCCACTGTCAATCATGCTACTTTGGTAACTTCCTGCTTTTACTGAACCAAGTTGCAGACAAGGGTGAACACACTGAACTTCTACCCGTAATTCCTGAACCACCACACTCAATAGTCCCCCAATACACTGTGCAAATGCATCCTGAACCACATCCTCATCTTCAATGAAGGAAAAAGTACCCCCTGACATCTCAGAGATTGAGTGCATTGCTGTAGCATCATGGTCAACACCAAAGCCAAAAGCATGCACTGGTATGTGCAGGCCCATGTAATTGCTCCGATGAATGGAGCTTGGAACAAGTGACCTGTAATCAGTTTCAAGATTGAACCTGCTACTGTTTATGGATGAATCCTGTCCATCAGAGAGTAATATGATACTGCCAACTGGGTTCTTCCACCTGCGGTCAACAAACACTTTGACACCTTTCCTCAATCCTTCAGCAATGCTTGTGACACCATTCGGAACCAATGAATTAACTGCCAGCAGTGCCTCCTGTTTTCCAGCAACAGTCATCCTCCGAAGAGGAAAGATACGCCGGGCTGTGGAAGAGAAGGTAATCACAGAAAGCCTGTCTGATGAACTCAGATTCTCTATGACAAACCCCATAGCTCGTTTTAGTAGCGCAATCTTTGTGCCTGACATGCTACCACTCACATCAAGAACCGTGACAAGATCAATTGGAGCACGAGCATTTAGTGCTGATAAAGGTGATGATGATGATGATGATGATGATTCAGTATTGTTTGTGTGTCTCCCCGTACGAGGAGGAGCTTTGAGATGAATTAATACAGCAAAGTTATCATGAGAGGCTGACTTTGCAACAGCTGAAACTTCAGGATATGTTCTGATCTCTATTTGGTTTACTACATTGTGATCAGCCTCATTCATATCATGGGCAACTGATGTTTGTTGATCCAAGACTTCATCATCATCATCGTAGATAGCCGGTTCAGTAACATTATTAGAAGATCCACGTTGTGGTCCTGTACCAGCTTGTTGGGAAGGAAACCTCCCAATGAGAGCTGTCCAGGAATTATTTGGCGGTGAATTTACTCGGTTGATCTCATGAGAGACCTTAGAAGAACGACTCTGAAAAGGAACCTCTTTCCATTTTGCTCTGCAAACGGGGCAAATCCGATTCCCGTGTTTCACATTGGATGTGATGCATTGAAAATGGAAAGTGTGAGAACATTCTGCAGTAAAAATGGCATGTCCCTGCCCTGGTTTCATTGAATTCAGGCAAATTGGACATGTTCCCTGCCGATAATGAAGAACAAAATGTAAGGAAAGGAACCATGACAAAATACAATGAACTTTTTCAATTTTTTCCTCACTCACAAGTCAAATTATGAGAACTCATCATTTATAAATTTTCTAAATTTATAAAATTATTAACTTTTAATAATAATAGCAATCATCAAACCAAATATCAATCAAGAACTTTTAGTTACCCCACCATCAAAACCAATTCTTTAGTTGTCAGGCTTAAAAAAAGGCACGTTATGGTTTAAAAAGAGTATTTATTATTTTTATTAAACTATTCATTTTTTTTTAACTTTAAATATTAAATTCTACAATTATTATTATTAATGATTTTAAAATCCACGAATCTTAGCTGAATAAATTATAAAATATATACAAATAAATGCAAAATTTAGAAAAGTCACTATTAAATTATTTTGCCACGGCCCCTTCTGTCTGGATGCAAGTCCACTTCTAAGACCACTGCATGAAAAAATGAAATTTGATGCTACCCATCTTCACATCAAGATACGATAATTTACTATTAAGTTGCCTAATTACCAAAAATCGAAGATTCCCATGAAAATCTACAATAATGTACAAAGCTCATTATTTTAATCTGAAAAAGTCAACGTGCTAGGTCAAACACAGGACAGCATAGGAAAAATAAACATCAATCAGCGTACGACTTTCAGAAAGGCAAACGCAAATTGCAACACTAACATTGAACGTTTCGAAAAATCAATTAATAATGGTACGTAAAATATAAAATGCATCAAAAGAAGGAGAAATCAAAGATGATTCGTTCATTCATTACTCTGGTACATATTTTTCTTAATTGCAAGCTGAGATTTTCGCAATCAACGTTTAGGGGTGTTTGACTCTTGATATGCTTGGCATTAGAAAATAGAAGGAGTTGAATAATACGAAAAGAGTTTAAAGGCAACAAATGAAATGCAACCCCTTTACCATATTGGTTTATATGCTCTCATCGTCTTGTTTAAGATCATGGTATTAAGGGAAACACAAATAATAATAATAATAATAGAAGAAAAAAAAACAGAAAAACCAATTATTTATACAGAGTTTTATTGTGTGTGGAGCCAAATAATTTTCGAGCATGCATTTGTCCTTAAAGGACTACATATGGCAATGGAGATGAAAGCAACACCAAGGCGATGAATAATATGACGCTGCGATCAATTTAACCCCAATACAAAAACCAAAAATAATTATAAGAAAATAACAGTGATTAGTGGCAGATATCGATGTTAATATACTTGGTACTAGTAATAAGCTTTTGGGGTAATCACAGAATGCTAAATTGAAAAGGAAAAGTAAGTGAAAAGAAATGCAAAGAATGAACCACAACGAAAGCAGTAAAAAAATCTCTAATCAGAATCTACATAAAGCAAAATAGGAAATTTAAAAGATGGGTCGGAAAAAAGACTCCAACATTCCATGGTGAAGGTGGAAAAAGGTAAATGGGCAATGCGAACCTTCGAGGATTTGGATTTGGATCTGGAGAGGCGGTGACCAGAGGCGGAGGTGGTGGAGGTAGCGCAGCGGTGGTCGGAGGATGGGGAAACGCGGTCGGAGAAGACGGAGGCGGAGGGGAGAGAGGAAGAGGAGGAGTGGTCGATGGTCTTAGGGACTTGAACGCACATGTTGATCCCAATGGCAAGCTTCACTTTTCTCCATTTGCTTCCCATTTTGGTTGAAAAGGGTATGTGAAGGGAAGAGGGTCAGATCTTGAAGCAGCAATGGTAGAGCAAAGCTTGTATTTGAATGGCTCTGAGCATTGGAAGGCAAAGAGAAAAATAAGTGAGGGGTTAGTTGCGAAGAGAGAGAGAGAGAGAGAGAGAGATTATGATTTGGTGTGGTAACGGATGAAGAAATGGAGATAGAGGGGTTGAGTGGTGAGAGGATAGAGGGAAAGTTTGTTTGTTGAAAAAATAGCAGAATTGCAGCAACTTACATGCGAAGAAGTTGTTATGTTAGCAAATTACATGCGAAGTTTTATGTATTGTTCTGTTTTAAAATTCCGTACAACTGTGTTTTATATTTGTAAGAAATTAAACTTATCCAAATTCAATACAACTCTTAATGGTTTTAATTTATTATTTAAAATAATGTTGCATAAAATTAAAATAATAATAATACAATCGTTAAAATAGTTTTTCAAAACAATATAATATGTTCAAACTTAAAACAAAGTAAAAAAAAAAATACTCTACATGCAAAACTACTACATATTCTTGTATTATATTTTTGTATAACTATATATAAAAGAAATATGAAAATTTGATCATGGTATACACTTTTTTGTATTCTATTTTATCTAAACCCGATTATAATTAATGAATATAAATGTTCCACATATTTTATTAATAGTTTAATTGGTATCATCACATGGGAAACACATACCGTGGAATGAGAATGATCCACGAAAAAAGTATGGGCCTGCTATGTTCCATTTTAATTGAACCATTGAATGTTACAAAGATAAGTGTTTTTAATTATTTTTAATAATAATAATAATTATAAAGAAAGCACGTGTTTTGTAACATTCAAATTAATTTGATGTACGATAAGTTATTGTGAAACTTAAATTTACAATATTAAAAATGTATGATCATAGTGATAGACTTACACATTATCCAAGAAAAATTCTAAGTATTTAGATTTGAAGGCTGCGTTGTATCCATTGCGTTGTTTTTTATTCAATAATAGAAACTTGACATTATGATTTAGTAGTAATTAAACATAAGAATTCGCTAATATATATAATTTACAATTAAACTTAGTTTATTGTGACTTAAATTTAAAATTTATTTTTTACTTTTTAAAAATAATATATTAATCCGATAGTTCAATTTAAAAAATCACGATCCATTTAAATTTTGTGACAAAATTATTCATTTTTTTTAAATATTGATTGAATAGATCAGACCCGATCAATATTTAATTGATTTGACTTCATTATTATAAGTAAAAATTAGATAGAAATTTGTTTTCTACAACTAAGTTATTAGATGTTGTAATTTATAATAGAAAAGTTAAATTATTTAAATAAATAAACTAAACATATAATAAAATAAAATAAAATAAAAAATTAGAAGTTTAATTTAAGCTAAAATATAATCTATCATTTATGAAAGTCTAGATATAACGTCACATTTTCTTTTTCTAATGTTCATAATTTAAAAATGTTGGATGATTTTTCATTTTTCAATATTAAGAAAACCACTATATGCACTGTTCTTTCTTTAATCTTTCTCTTTTAATTATACAAGTTATTATACAATTTTTCTATAAAAAGTATATTTTGTTTTTTAATATGTCATGTTCTTCTATTTTTTATTATAAAATTTATTATATAAGTTATATTTCTCTATTATGTGTTAATATAGAAAATTTTACTATTTTTCAAAAAAACGAAGAAATATTACTTGTAGTGGTATGTTTCTAAGTTATCTTTATTATTCATTTATTGTTTTAAAATATAAATAGTTTAAGGTTTAGTTACATAAATTAAGCATTAATTCTAATTATTTTTTAATAAATTTACTAGTTTTTTTCTTAATATTCTTTTAAGGATATAATTAACAAAAGAGTAATTAATTTAATTTTAAACTTTATAAACATTATTTAAAAATATTTTTTTCTAAAAAAAACGTTATATTTTTTAAAATGGAGAGAGAATAAAATGTTAGTTGTGGATATATTTTTATTGAAATATTTTTACTATTTTAAAAAATACATTTAAGAAAAGTAACTATGCATATAAATATTGGTTTAATTTATTAAGAGAAAATTTCATTAAAAACGAAGAACATCAATTTGTGTTTTCTAAGACAAAAATTCCTATAATTTCAAAAAGAAGTATTATCAACGAAAACATTTTTTTTTTCCTTTGATACATTTGTTATTGTCTTCTAAAAACTTATACGTTTGGTCTTCAAACCTTTACTTTCAAACATTCACTTGATTTTTTTTTTATTATTAAAAAGAGGTATGAGTTTAATGAGACAAGTGGATCCTCTTTGTGGGTAAGTGGAAGTTTGAGTTTGAACAATACCATGGCTTGTCTGTTTTTAATGTGATTATGACTGTGTCATAGTATGGTAGGTTTGTTCATTATTAATAATCTATTTTATTTCCTTTTCATTTAGATCTTTCTTCTTCAAATTGGGTTGTTTAGTTCCTCAAAGAAATTACCACCTAATTTTTCAACTTATATATTATCAAATGCACAGAAGAATATCTATGCAAGAAACAAAAAACTGTCATATTTAGTTATTACTGTGAAAAAAGTAAAGTGAATGTTAACTGGTAGAGTAGTGGTGTTATTTATAGGTGTGAGGCAGTTAGTTGTGAAAAATAAATGGATTGGTGGGAAGAAAGAGTAGCCAAAAATTGAATGGTAGTATGGGAGTGTGTTTGATTGGTTGTGGAAGTTAATGGATTGCACACAAAAGTAGGTAAACATGCATTGCATCATAAGTTCATGAGAGTGTGTCCTCAACCTCAATGCAGAATCATGGTCAAATCAAACGGCACTCATGTTATTTGTCCTGTGCAATCACAATGACCACAGAATGGACACTTGTGCACCACCCAAATTGAATCGTAAGGTATGGTTTTATAAGTTTTTATAATAAAATATAATGATGTTTTTTGAAAACAATGAAATACTTCTAATAGGTTAATGTTTAACAGACTTATCCACGATTTTAAAAATAACACAAACAATGGTTTAGAAAGTGTCCTCTTTCTCAAACCGGAAGCGTGTGCCAAGAAAACAGAATAAAAGTACTGCATAACATGTTGACAACTTCTGAAATTCAATGACCAATTTAAGAAGGAAACCAAAACAAATAACACTTGTTTATGCAACATTTAAAATTCAGCCATCAAATAGCTGGAATGCAGATGACTGTGGATCACATTTGACTGTTCAATTCAACTTAGATTATTCACAGGTTACGATTAGAACAACTACACATATTTTTGGGGTTACATTTTATTTTATAATTAACTGATATTATCCAATAAATCAAATAATTGAAATAAGCAACCGTGTAAATCTCGAATATCTTCTTTACATATGCCTCCACAAATCTGGGGATAAATGGCCAAAATGATAGTTTTATGTTCTCTCTCAAATCATGAATAACAAACGTGATCTTATACTACATCTTTTTTTTTCTTGAAAAATTGATAAATAATATTTATTTTGACAACTTATCATACTGTAAAAATAATAAGAAAAAATATTTATATTCCAATTTTACTCTACCTAATAATTTGAAAGGCAGGTATTGTTTAGCCGGCATTCTATCTGCCAGTCTAAAGAAAGAGAAAATTGCTCCAATAATGGTTAAAATGTTTGGTAAATTCTTGTAATTCAGTTTATTTTGAAATCTAATTTACAATTTGTATATAATTAATTTTAGGTTATGAAAATTTTTTTAAAGTGTTTATAGAAAAAAATCTAAATATGGTGTACGATTTTCTACTTTAATAACCATGAGATGAGGTAAAGGACGAAGAAAAGAAAACAAATTAATTTTTAAAAGCCAATCATTTGAATTCTCACAGTTGTAATTTTAAGGATTAAAATAATTACTATCTATTTAGCAGCATTAATTGCAGTCATTTTAGAAAATGTCACCCTTTCACACCCCCAGGAGATTTCTGGCTAATTGTCTGCCAGTTGCGTATTAAAATTCTGCTAATCGTTTCTAGAACCAGACAGTTCGCCTTAGTGGCCAGCCCTTCATCACTCATGGCATGCCAGAGAAAATTAGGCAGACAATTAATTACATATATACATTTTAATATAACTGCAATTAGAACAAAGCGATGACAAAAAAAACCTATTGCCATCAGAATCAGTACTAAGATGTTTTCCCTACGTATATCATGTAAGATCTCTCCCAACTAGGAGGTAAGGGGGAGAAACAAGAAAAAGTTATGTCATGGTCGATATGGCTGGAGATGCGGTGCAGGGGCGCGTATCTGACCACCAGGTTGAAGATTTCCTACTGGCAAAGAGATGGTGTTGATAATTGGTGATCTTGCAGACACATTGGAGGGAAATCCTGAAGTACTGTAACCACCCCGTATAGGTGGTACCATAAGCTGAGAGCTAGCCGTTGTGGAGGGACTCTGCCGATTGGTCGCAGAGCGACCACAGGAAGAACCAGCGACCAGGGATGGCCGACTAGCATTTTGTTGTCTTGAAGGCTGAAGCAATTGCTGCTGTGAAAAACTTGAATCTGACAATAAAATAAAGATTAGGAAGGACTAAAAACTGAATATGCAGTGCTGCCTGCATCGATACTTAGTTATACGAATTTTTGCTAATGTGCAAAATACATAAGCAACGCATATACATTCGGACAAGCGCAGAAGTACATCTTTCCATAAACCTCTCACCTTTACTTGATATTAAAATAATACAGACCAAAAAAAAAAATACTGATACAATCAATATATAGCATTCATTAGTTTCAGACTGACTTAAAAAAAAAAATACACATATCTACAATTTAGCCCATGAAAAAAGAAAAAAACTGGTGATGCCAGAATAACTAATGTTCTGTTCTTTGTTTGATTGAGGGTTAGATTTGATAACTTTCCAAATACCACCAAATTAAGGAAATTTCTGCCCCCTTCTATACTACGGTGGCATGTCCATCCAAATTCTTAAGTGCACATTTTCCCCCTGTTCTGTGGTGTGTATGTGTGTACAATGGTGGGAGTAATAAAATTTGCGCAGTTTATGACTTAAGTTGAAATTGGATCAGTCGAGTATAGTACATGGCAAGGATAACCACTGTTGTTACTATTAGAAACATGGTGGGAGTGGAACTGAACGGAGATTAGATTTTCTTAACATATCAAGTCAGGGCAATAAAAGTAATATTTAACTTTAATCTCTAAAAAAATCAACAAACCTTGCTGCGTTCCTGATGTAGATGATGGTTTAACAGTTGAGCATTTAGTCCTAAAAGCATCTGCCAAAAACTTATTCATACGAACTACATTAAGACTCGTATCCAGAGTAGTCTTTCTTTGTTCGAATTCAGCTTCTATTCCTTGAATTTTAATTTCGTACTTCCTGCGGAGTTCCTCTAATTCCTTTTCAAATTCAGTTTGCAACTGCAAATTCTGCTTCAGCAAGAATAATATTATAGTAATCACAAAAAGATGACCTAAAATCATTACGTCAATCAAATATAAGGAAATCAGAAACTAACCTTTTCTCCATAGCTTTTCATGGTTTGATCTGTTACTTTTTGTATTCTATCCAATTCAATTTTTAATGGATCATAGCTCAAATGCATAATTCTGGAAGCTGAATGAGTTTCAGCTTGCATATGTTGATAATTGATCTCCAAAGGACTTGACGAATTTATTGCGTTCGCAGGTATTCTTACTTCACTAGGTATAACTGTATTAGGGTCTGGATTTGAGGCAGGGTGCACAACTTCAGGTGAATGTGAATAACGTACTAAGTTTGAGTTAGATTGCATGTCTTGATTAGGAACCACAGTTAGCTGATGTTCAAATTCAGTGGCCAAAGGAAAATTAGTTGAATTCAGGTGGGAAGAAGGGAGCTCTGCAGATGGTAATTGTTGCACCTGATTTACAGGCTTCACAATCAGTGAAACCTGATTGGAGGCTGGCACAACATCAACTGTACTAGATACCAGTTCAGGTTGTTGGGAAGAATGCTGCAACTCCTGACATGTATCATGGTCAGGGGTGGATCCTACAGATAATTGCTCCACTTGTTCTGGAGGATCCATGACATTAACTGTTCTGGATACTGGAGACTCTCGGGACAATTCTGCCATGGGTTTAGGTGCTCCTTCCTGCTTTTCTGATGAGGTCCTTTTATCCACCAACACGGCATTTGTTAAATGCTCTATATCATCATGACAATCAGCCGCTGCTGGAGTATTCAAAGGGATTCCATCAGTAGGTTGTTGCTCCAGAAGTAGATTTGAAATTGACATCGCATTTGGACCTTCATCACTTGAACTAGCAGCTTGACAAGTCCTTGGTGATAAAACTCTATCTAAACCTGGGACCTCTGGTTGACCTACATCAGACATTTGAGAGATAGACGTCGGGGGATTCAAAGGAGATGCATTCTGTGGACAATCAGTAAAATTGACCTTCTCACCTGTTTCCAGAGGTACATCTCTTTCCAGTATACAGACCGTGTCAAGTTCATTACTGGGTTCTTGTTCTTCATCTGGAATATGTCCATTAAGTATGCTTGATGGGTCTCCAGAGATTAGGTCCCAAGGTCTCGAAAGTGTGTTGTTATCAGGACCATTACTCGGTCTTAATTCTCTATATGAAGATTCATTCACGATATCTCCATCAGATTCTTGTTCCATGGAAGAAGGAGGATTTGCAGCAGTATCGTTTTCTGGAGAATCTGAAATATTGATAATCCCAGGCAGTCCTAAAAGTTCCTCTCTATCCAACAAACTTACAGTGGCCCTGTTAGCAATTCTTGTATCAGATAAAGGTAAATCCTCAGTCCCAGTCTCTGTCATGGCCTTAGCCTTATTATCATGACCATTTACTTCTGCAAAATTATGCTTTAGACCATTGTAAGGCTGTGCTTGATCACAAGTCTGGAAGGATTCAACCCCATTCCCATGTTCCTTTGAAGCAATTATTTTTAAAAGTTCATTTTGTGCCCAAGATTTGACATCTTCTACCCAAGCAGTCTCCTTATCTCGAAACTTCTGCTTCTCAGCTGATTGCTGGTCCTCAAGATCCTTGAGTTGTGTTTCATGCTGACATTTCAGTTCTTCAATTCCTTTTTCGTATTGAATATTTAAAATCCTGAGCTTTTCCATTCTTGTAACATCATTGGGAGAGCAGGATCGAATCATCGCTGACTTTATTTTGTGCCCCATCACAAATTTAGCCTCTTCTTCCTCAATTTCTGCTTTTAATCTTTCCTTCTCTTCCTCTTGCAAAAGGCATAGCTTCTTGAGCTTCTTTTCGCATTTCTTCTGAATTTCTTTGATACTTTTAGACATGTCTTTTTTGAACAATCCAACCTCTCGTTCTACTCCTGTACAGGAATATGCCCCATTTGATGGTTCAGATGCTTTTGGAGAATCAGTATCACAATAATTTCCGGTACGATGTAAAAATATTTTCTTCAAACAACGCAACATAGAATAAATGTAGTCCACCTCTTCTTTCTTACACTCAAAGTTCAAATCTTGTATAAGAGAAGCAATGGGGTCAAGTTTGTGCTTTAGCAAAGAAGCTGCAATCCAACACTGAATTTTGCACGATAAAAGAAAAAAAGTATCAGTTAACATATACTGAATGCAATTAGGTGAATACATATCATGACTATTGTACTCATGATATACCAAAAAATATGCATAATTGTAGACCAAGTAGTAAAATTTTATCTTGCATTTGCTCTGTTAATATGGTAACCAGATTGCAAGTAAGCAAACAAAAAGAATAAAGCAAAATTCCTTAATAGCTTCCTAGAATATCGAGGGGAAATTTATCTTCAACTTTGCACAAAAAATAGAGCATGATCCTCGAGTTGATAGAATATTTGAGAAAGACTTGAGTCCTGTTTGGTGGCCACAACATAATAGGATAGCAGCAGGTGGTAGAGGCATAAGTTGCAGGCTGCCGCAGTGGCTATGGTTGCTGAACCAATAAGTTGCAGGGTTGTCCACCAAAAAAAAAAGGCATGGTTAGGTAAGGTTGCACAGACCATAGATTTCATCTTCTTCCTCGGATCAAGTCTACAGCAAAATTTTTGCCATGACCATTCCACAATGCCCAAAGCAGCCACGATGCCACCACAAAAAACCCAAATCGCTACTGCCATATTGTGGCTGGTGATGACAATTCTGCCATCGCTTTCCACCATTGGGTCACCATGGCCATTTTTTATAGCATAACTATCACCATGTCATCTCCATCACTACTACCACTACATCATCGATACTACCACCGATAGAATCATCACAAGTCATCATCATTGTTACCACCACCTATCCTTGTGATAAAAATCTCCAAGCACTTCTACGATTCTTGCTACCACTCTTATCATATCATTGTCATTGATACCATTATCTCATTATTATCATTGTCTTTATCATTACTACCGTGACCACTGCCATAGTTCATCATTGTTGCTACCATCTTATTGCCGATGTCATCACCACCACCATTGTCACCACCACAATCACTTCCATCATCAGAACATATTGTTATCCAGGATTGATCAGGGTGTGTACCAAATTGGATAAGATTAATGATGATCTTGTTTCTATCTTTTCATATTTTGATATCATATCTTGACTACCAAAAGAGTCCTTGGTATATAATAGGCCAAAGGTCTCCTAGATGAACATATACATGATAATTCTAATCATCCATCCCTTCAAATTGAATGGAAACCCAGCTAGTTGAAGATGAGATTTACCACCTCATTTCCTTTATAAAAGAAAAAGAAAATGTGTACACAAAAGACCTTACAACCTCTCTCAAATACTTCTCATTTAAAATTCTCATCAACTCACAAGATATTCCTTGTAAACCTAAAAAAAAACCTTCATCCTCAATAATGATTTAGAGGCATTTCCTAATAAAAGTGGAAGCATTGAAGAATAAGATAAGGGAAATACTTAGTTTACTAGAAGGAAAAACGTAGTTGGGTGTATGTGGGTACATGTAATGAAGTATTTGGCTTTGAAAGGGACAAAACAAGGTGAGTAGCCAAAGATTTTACTCAAACCTGCAAAAATAAATACAATACAGATTATGGTATTTCTTGCAACCAATTATGAGGAATTACAACAATTGGACGAGAAGAATGCTTTCTAACATGCGCAGCTTGAAGACAAAATTTATATAGAGATCCTACTGGGATATGACAACAGTGTTGGCGCCAATTCTAATTGCAAGCTGAAAATGGCATTATATGGATTAAAACAATACCCAAGCATGGTTTGGAAGTCTAACCCTAGGGTACAAACAAAGTCAAGGAAACAATACTTTATTCATTAAATACTTGACTTTAAGGGGAGTAACTGTGTTGTTAGTATGTGTGGATAATCAGAGTAACTAGTCAAGCCAAATTCTAGCATAGGATTTTGAAATGAAAACCCTTGGGAGGCTAAAGTATTTTCTAGGAATTCAAGTGTCTCACTCCAAGAAAAGTATTTTCATATCTCAACAAAAATGCTGCAAATTTCCCTTGAAAACTTTACCCCCATAGATTCTAACCTTCAGATGATAGTGCAATGGTAGATAATGAGATATTTCTGCATTTGGTCAAAAGATTAATCTATTTGTCTCACAAAAATCAAGATATTGTATTTGCTTCAAGTTTGGTTAGTCAGTTTATGCAGTACCTTGAAGGAATCCCAAGAAAAGGAATTTTGTATAAAAGGAAAGGAATGGAGTTCTTGAGGCTTACACCGATGCTGGTTATGTAAGGGCAGTGACTAAAGGAGGGGTTTGATACTGGATATTGCTCCTTTCTTGAAGAAAATTAGTAACTAGGAGAAATATAAAACTAAATGTTGTGAATCAATCTAGTGTTGAACCTAAGTTCAGAGTTATGACACAAGACATGAAGATTGAGAGGATGGACCTATGAAATTCTACTGTGACAATCAGCCATAAGAATTGCTCATAATCCAGTTTGCCAATAGGGAGTGATGCATGTCGAAGGGGATAGGCATTTTATCAAAAAAGCTCAAATGAAACATGATTTATATGTGCTTCCACAAAGTCAACTCTGCAAATATTTTTGCCAGAAGATTATGAAGTTCATATTTTAAAATTGTACGCAAGCTAGGAATGAAAAACATAGAACAGTGTAAGTAGATTGATTGCATCCTAGGATGTAGTAGTATCCTAATTGCTCTCCACGATATTGATTTAGGATTAACTATTGTCGTAATAATCTCAAATATAAATAGACCATTCTGATAAGTGGAAGATATCCAAAAGCATATTCAGAAAATTTTTATTTTCTCATTCTTCCACAAATATAAAACTATTCATGTGTCTTCACCTAATAGCTTAAGCTTTTGAGATGGTTCATAACCAGGCCTTCTACTATAATTCTAGCCTAAAAGTCAGATTATTTCAAGTAATAAATACACAATACACACACAAGTTTGAAAATTTCACAAAATGTTACAGCAGGTAAGGAAAAGGAAGTCAAAATTGGTAACTCGCAAAACATATGCCACAGACTGCAAAAATAATAAAGAAATATACATGAAAAAAAAGCTTAAAAGTTTTCTTTAAGAAAACAAAAGCTAAATCAGACATCAAATGATAAAGCAACTAAAGGAGAGAACTAGAATGGAATAGAAGAAAATCCTAGAAAATATTCTGACCAGAGATAATTGAAAAGCCTGTAACATTGAAAACGGTTCCCTATTGATATCGTGGTTTTTCACAACATATTCAAGGAAATTATCCATCATGCTCTTCACGTTATCCTGCATTACAAAAAGAAGCCACCAGAAGATCAATTCGAATTAGGTCTGATTGACATATAAATACAAATTTTGACAAATCAATTATTATACCCATAATAAAAGTTTTAAAAATCATTCCTTGGGGGAATGCAGGGTGAAATTAGATGAATTGATGAAAAATTTATTTTCAACGTCAAAATCACAAGGATACAAAATCTGGCGAGACTGGAACTATTTCAAATTCAAAAGGGCTATACACAAATTCCACCTTCCCTAGGTTCTGCTTCCACATTGATGATAACGAGTCATTGTTTCATTAAATAATATTTAAAGTCATTATCCATATCATATTTCAATGCACTCATTACTCAGGTTTCATAATAAAACAATATTAGACCAACAATGACACAAAAGCACTCCCAACAAAACTAAACAAAAACCAACATACCTGGAGAATTAGCACAGAGCAATAAAATAGATAACATTTCATTATCTTTTGTTCTCCTTTATTTCCTTCCACTACTTTATGATTATAAAGATAGTTATAGATATTAAAAACATGAACCTGACAGGTGTAGAATAAGAAAAAAAAGTCTCCACCTACGGTTAGATCCAAATTTTATTGACATCATTGCCTTAGTTACCATTTTCAATTCATTATCTTCCTTCCACTTTTATAATGATTTAAGCAATCTCCCTAGTCTCAACCTAAGGATGACAATTAAATTCATACCCGTAGGGACCGACCCGTCTCCGCCCCGAGTTTGACAAGAAAAACCCGAGTTAACCGGGGACGGGGATGGGTTCGGGTTTTCCCCACTTTAAAAAGTCGGAGGCGGGGCGGGAATGAGTAATGCAATTTCCACCCCAATCCCGTCTCAGTCCCGACTTTATATTTAAATTTAAATTTTAAAATATTAATATCTTAAAAATATTTTCTTTTCTTTTTTTATTACATATAAGGTCATTTTTTTATATTTCACCATTTTTACTTTTCTTCTATCTACTTTTTTATTTTTTTGTCTTTTTTAATCTTTTATATGAATTAATTTATTACATTATTCTCTCTTCTTACCTTTTAGTTTTTCACATTTTCTTAATCTCTCCAATAATTTTTTTTTCCAATCTTTTCAACCAATGTGATGAACACAATTTTTTTTCTTTTTCTAAATATTTTACATAAATCTTGGTAGCAACTAATATTATTTTATTTATAATTTATATTTATTAGGTTTTATTATGTCATATTTTGTATCTTATTATTCTTATTTGTCATGTATCAAATTTTATCTTAATAAAATAATTGTATTTTAAAGGATTAAAAAGAATTGATAATTTAAACTTTTATTACTTCGAACTAATTAAATAAGAACTAACTTATTAAATATTTCCTTATAAATTATATATTTCATATTTCTAAATGACAACTTAAAAATGAATTAACTTATATATGTAAATGATTGAATATTCAAATATTTGAATATAATGTTATAATAATAATAATGTTATAAATATTATATATATAAATAAAAAATGATTAAATGTTTTTTTATATACATATTTTATATAAATATAATAAATTAAAATATATATTTAATTAATAATAATTATAAATTGTAAAACTATAAATATTTATTTTTATATAAAAAATACATAGTAAAATTAATTTATTATAAAAATAATTATTTTTTAAAAAATAATATAGATCGAGGACGGAACGAGGGCGAGAAAACCAAAACCCAACGAAGGCGGGGATGAGGACTTAATTTCTAACTCCAGACGGAGATCGGGGGTGGGGACGGGGATGGTTAAAAAAGTCGGAGGCGGGGATCGGGGAGGCAAAACCTGCCCCCGCGCTGCCCCGTTGCCATGCCTAGCCCCACCTGTTAATTAAAAACCTATTTTCCCAATTAATACATCATTGTTGTGTTTCTAAATGGCAAATATTACTCCAAAACTGATAATCAGAAAGTCCAGTAAAGATTATTCAATTTATCTAGTAAATATTTTACTCCATTCCTACTTCATTATAAGCCTAAAATCAGAAATTTCACACCATACCATCATCAACATTAAGGCAGACACTATCTATTAGACACTATCTATTGGAATTATTAATTAATTGTACCTATCCTTGTACCTATATCTTCTAGCTCACAATTCTACCCCTTGACCTTTCATCCACTCAGTGTATTTGTTCTTATAATTATAAATAAGATATCATGTTAGAGGTGTGATTAAGCCCTCTAAAAACTACTTTCTCTCTTTTATTTTATCTTAGTTGGTATCAAAGCGGGTTAATCTCGCTGTGTTGGTATATTGTCCTCTAGCCACCGTCAACCCTTGTCGGCCATCATCTGTTACCGGACCTCCCTAGCCCTTTTCCTATCATTGGATCCTTCTTTCCCGCTTACTTGAAAATTTGCTTCTAGGTTTCCTAAGTTAAACCAAAAGATGCAAGTTGATATTATAAAAAATGTCCTTTGTACCTGTGTTATCCTTCTCAAGAACTCCTTCACTTACCGCTAAAAAGTTGAATGGAAAAAATTATTTATTTTGAATTTGCCTCAGTTGAACTATGGTTCCTTGGCCAAGGTCTCCATGATCACCTTGTACAAGATGGGAATAAGGTACCAGCTGATAAAGCCGAAAAATGTAAACAAACTAATTTTCAGCTGTGCCTTATTGTGGCAATCTATGGAACCAAAGTTGTTAGGAACTCTTAGAGCGTTTAAAACATTTCATTCCTTTTGGAAAAAGGCTAAGAATATTTTCGCAAATGATATTTAACACCTCTAAGATTTTGCCAATAGACTTGCCTCTCTTAAGCAATCAGATCATGATATGATGACTTTCATGAGTGAAACTCAATCTATTGTTGAAGAACTAAAGATGTTCTTGGAGGATGGGTCTTTAGAAGAAACTAAGAAGAAACTTGATAAATTTTATATGGTTATGATTCTTCATGGCATACATCCAGATTTTGAACATGTCAAAGATCAATTATTAACAAGTCATGAAGTCCCATCTATAGAAAGTTTGACTACAAGTCAAAACGAGAACCTCCAGGAGGCTATGGAATCTTCTGTCATAATTTCTACACGTGGCAGAGGAGGACGTAATGCTAGAGGAGGAAAGAGTGGCCAAGGACGCCCTCAATGTGCGCACTGTAAGAGGATGGGTCAAGTTCAAGAGTATTGTTTCACATTACATGCTTTCCTAACAAGACAATTAATATCACTAAGGCTAAAGTTGTTGAGCCCAAGTTTTATGATGAAGAGTATCATGTATATCTTAGGTTGAAATCCAATAACTTAGCACAATCATCGAGTTCCAATCCATCAACCGTTAGCATTTCACAATTTGTGGAAAATCAAAATCCATGGATAATCAATTCAGGTGCTTCTAACCACATTTTTGGTAATGCATCCTTGTTCTCATCCCTTTTCTTTTCCAAGAATCCTCATTATGTTACCTTAACCAATGGTTCTAAAGCTTTTTCCAAAGGAGTGGGTCAAGTTTCTCTTTCACCTTTTTTAAATTTAAAATTTGTTTTATTTGTCCCTTTTTATCCTTTTATCTTATTTCATTAGTCAATTAACCAAGTCTTTAAATTGTTCAATAACCTTTGATACCAATTTTTTTGTTATATAGGAACGTGGTACGGGACGACCGATTGGAGAAGGACATGAATCTAGAGGTTTATACTATTTTGGAGCTAAGCCACCTGTGTCTCGTTTTGCATCTCAAAACCCCAAATTGTTACATGATTGTTTGGGTCATCCCAGCCTATCAAAATTCAAAAAAATTGGTTCCTGAGCTTAGTAATCTCCAAATGTTGGAATGTGAGTCATGTCAATTAGGCAAACATGTTAGATCATCTTTTCCAAAGAAATCTAAGTCAAGATGTAATTCTATCTTTTCTATTATTCATTTTGATATTTGAGAGCCCAACCGTGTCTCTCATCTTTTTGTTTCAAATATTTTGTTACTTTTATTGATAAATATTCCAGATGTACATGGATTTATCTCATGAAAGATCGTTCAAAATTGTTATCTATCTTTGTGTCCTTCTTGAATAAAATCAAAAATCAATTTGGTCATGTAATTAAAATTTTAAGAAATGACAATGCCAAAGAGTATTTCTCCTCTCATTTTTTAGTTATTCTAAATTCGCATGTCATTCTACACCAATTCACATGTCCTCACACTCCTCAACAAAATGGTATTGCTGAAAGGAAAAATAGACACTTGATTGAGACTGCCCGTACCCTATTACTTGGTGCCAATCTATCAATCCATCATTGGGGTGATGTTGTTCTAAGTGCTTGTTTCCTTATTAATAGAATATCATGCTCTTCTCTCAATAATATGATTTGTTGAAAGTCTCACATCGCCTACCTCATATAATGTGGTATGGTTTAAATACATGTTAGGCTACTCCACATATTGCCAATTGGTTTTATATTGGAACCTTAACATGGTATCAGAGCCAAAGCCTAACATCTTTCCGGTTATTGTCATGGGCCAAAAGTTGCCCTTTAGTTGGGTCAAAAGTACCCTTTGCCTGGTCCGGCAGGCTTCGTTGGAGGGGGTGTGTTGAAAGTCCCACATCGCCTACCTCATATAATTTGGTATGGTTTAAATACATGTTAGGCTACTCCACATATTGCCAATTGGTTTTATGTTGGAACCTTAACATGATTCCTTATTTTACTCTCTTTTCCAAAGAACCTCTCTTTCATATCGCTCCTCGTGTGTTTGGTTGTGTATGTTTTGTTCATTCTTTATCCCCAGGAATAGATAAACTTTCTATCCAAGCTATCAAACGTGTCTTCCTAGGTTATTCTCGCCTTAAAAAAGGATATTGGTGTTAAACAAAGAAATACTACATGCCTGACATTGTCACCTTCTTTGAACAAACTCCTTCCCTTCGTTTGTTCAAGATGTTACTTCTATCCAAGAGATTCTACCTATTCCATTAGTTGAGTCAATTGTCCCTCATGCCTCAGATAATACCGGTCCTGTCATCCATTCCCCTGAATCGGCACCACCTCCGCTTCTTACTTACCACTGTCGGAATCAAACTACTCGTGCGACGTTCCAAGGTGAGACCTCTTCTTTCGATCCTTCTCCCTCATCTCCTCATATCGCAGTTCCTCAACCTGTTGATTCCCTACCCATTGTCATCAGAAAAGGTACTCACTGTATTCGTAACGTTTATCCCATTTATAATTTTCTTAGCTATCACAGCTTGTCTCCTTCGTATTATTCATTTATATCATCAGTGTCTTCCATTACTATTCCCAAAAATGTAAATGAAGCATTTGATCACCCTGGATGACACCAAGTCATGATTGTTAAAATGCATGCTCTTGATCAGAATCACACATGGGCCTTGGTACCCCTTCCATCTGGAAAAAAAAATATTGAGATGTCGTTGGGTTTATGCTATTAAAGTTAGATCAAATGGTGAAGTCAATCGTCTCAAGGCACACATAGTTGCTAAAGGATACACTCAAATTTATGATTTTGTTTATAGTGATACTTTTTCTCCAGCGGCCAAAATGACTATTCATTTATTTTTTGCTATGACAGTTATTTGTCATTGGCCTCTTCATCAATTAGATATCAAAAATGCATTTCTTCATGGTGATCTAGAGAAGATCTATATGGAGCAACCTCCAAGATTTGTTGCTCAAGGAGAGTGTCAAGTTTGGTTTGTAAGTTACGTCGCTTTCTATGGTCTTAAACAATCTCCACGAGCTTGATTTGAAAAATTTAGCCACATTGTTCAAACTTTTGGGTTGAAATGAAGTGAAGCATATCATTTTGTTTTTTACTATCATACGTCTTCTGATAAAATGTATTTACTTAATAGTATATGTTGATGATATAGTTATTACCAGGAGTGATGTTATTAGAATATCTCAATTAAAGGAACAATTGTGCAAGCATTTTCAAACCAAAAATCTTGGGAGTCTCAAATATTTTTTGGGTATTCAAGTAGCTCAGTCAAGAGGTGTTGTAATATCTCAAAGGAATATGCACTAGATATTCTAAGATGGTATGATTGACAGTAGACCAGCAAACAGTCCTATGGATCCAAATCAAAAACTAATAACTAAACAAAGTCAATTATTCTCTTATCCAAAAAGATATAGAAGATTGGTTGGAAAACCTATCTATCTTACCATTTCTAGACCTGATTTGTCTTTTGCAGATTAGTCAGCTCATGCAACTCTTTGTTTTGACCATTGGAATGCCATCATCCGTATCTTGATGTATTTGAAAAAGGCTCTAGGACAAGATTTGTTACATGAAGATAGGAACAATACTCATATATTTGGATATTGTGATGTTGATTGAGTTGGTTCCCCTTTTGACAGGCACTCTAATACAGGGTATTGTGTTTTCATTGGAGGAAATATTATTTCCTGGAAAAGTAAGAAACAGAATGTTGTGGCCTTATCAACAACCGAAGTTGAATATAAGACAATGACATATCTTACTTGCGAACTTGTATGGGTGAAACAATTCCTTCAAGAGCTTAAATTTTGTGAGATCCAAACCATGAAAATGTAATGTGATAATCAAGATACACTTCATATTGCCTCTAATCCAGTATTCCATGAGAGAACAAAACACATTGAGATTGACTGTCAATTCGTTTGAGAAAAGTTGGTGACTAAGGAAATTTGTACTGAGTTTATTGGATCTAATGATCAACTTGCAGATATGTTAACAAAATTATTAAGGGGTCCTCAAATTGAGTTCATTTGTTCAAAGCTTGGTACATCCAATCTCTATGCTCCAGCTTAAGAGGGAATGTTGGAATTATTAATTAGTTGTACCTATCTTTGTACCTATATCTTTTAGCTCATAATTCTACCTCTTGACCTTCCATCTACTCAGTATATTTGTTTTTATTATTATAAATAAGATATCATGTTAGAGGTGTGATTAAGCCCTCTAAAAACTATTTTCTCTCTTTTATTTTATCTTAAGTCTATGAAATCAACAAAATTTTGATGGCCTTTCACAAGCACCCAAGCACTTGGGAAACCCACCCTCCAAAGCTAACTATTAATGGGGGAGAACCAAGCACTCAAATACTCTACCGCGCATTGCATACTATGTGGGATGTAGGCACATCATAATACCTCATAGGACATTTAACTCAATTCCCTCACTTATATGCAATCCCATTTAATCAACACAAACTATCTGGTAATTAAGATGCAATCATACAAAGAATAAAGGAGCAGAGCAGCACCAGAAGTAAAACTTAACAAAGAAAAAACATGTTGCATACCGGAAGAAGAAGGAAATCACAAAGCTTTATGATCTCTGGCTTCAGCAAAAGATGTAAGCTACTCGGCTTGTCGTGCAGTCTGGTTTTATACTCAGAATCAACATTATTCCCTTGAGATTTATCTGACATTTGATCAAGCAAACAGATCAAGGACCATAAATAATTGACATGGAATGGATTTAGCAGCACAAATAGTCGAACTATGCAAGAATTGAGAGACATTACCCACTAACACTCCAGGTGTTCCTGCAAAAATATGCAATGGTTTTAGAGGTTATAATATATAAAAATAAAAAGCATGCAATAATAGTTACTATGTGTCAACTTCATTGAACAATGAAAGGTCACAACAAAATAAAAGTAATAAATGTCACCACCAACCTGCCTTGATTCCAGTAAATAAATTTTCATCTTCAGGTTTTAAAGAAGGCTGATCAACAATATTGTGGCTAACTTTTCTCCGCTTCTTTACTGCTCCTTCACTTACAAGATTAGACCCATTGTCTGAAACATCAAAATGATGAACTTTCTTCCGGCTCCGCTGAGATGAATTATTTAAGTACTTCCACTGACACTGTTTTCCATCCAAAAGTTTTGTCCAAAAAATTTGGGATGCCTCTTGATCCTGTAACCTACAGTTTAGCTCACCAAGCAAAGGAAAACTTCCTTGGTATGTTGCCCCATTATGCTGTACTTTCAATAAGATTGAACTGTTGCATGGATTAATATGTTCTCCATCCTGAGATATTATGCCAGAGAACTCATGCATTGTTTCTTTTAGCAATGGTCGCCCAAACAAGAATTTCACATTTGATGCAGAAGTTTCACCATCATGAAAAGCTTTCAGTTCATCGAATAGACAAGCAGCACCCCACATCAACAGCATATGACTGGTACTCCAGTTTATGTTTTGTAAATTGAAGTCAAGTGACTTACATTGCTTCGCAAGTATCAAGGCTTTTTCTTCAACAGTAAAAGATGAATATAAACGGAATATTTTTATAAATTCAAACTGGGAATCAAGCGTTATTTTCTGAAGGAATCTTATATCATTCATTGGGTTCCAATCACTATCAAATATAATAATAGAATCAACAGACGACAATTTGATGCTTGGAAGGCAAGCAGCTGTCTCTAACAAAAACACAAATCGTCTGTTGTTCTTGTCGTTAAATTTCTTCATGGCAGCTTGCCTCTTGGAAGGCTGAAGATTTTTATCAACCCGTTCATATGAATCTGGACCAAATCTTTGTCGAACTAGGTCTTCCAAATAATTTCCTACAATTCTTGCAGAACCTCCAATAGACTGCAAATTCAAAAATACATTAACACAACTCAATGAACTATCTTACCTTAAATGAATGAATAAAGTATAAGAGATAGAGGGACATCATGGTCTCATGTACTAAGAGGCACACATGCATCTCAGAAAATTAAAGAAAAAGGCTAAAACAGATCTTAACATAAAAAATGATGTCCCAAGTCTTAGTGAGATGTATATATCAATAAAATCTTGTTAACAAGCTTCACTGATAGCCCTCACTCACACAATCCCAAACATTTTTCATAACTAAAGAAAACAGATAAAAATTTGGCAAATTAAAAATTAAGAACATACCAAATATATAAAAAAATTGGCAATAAAAGCTTTAATTAGAGAATGATAAGGTGTTGAGATATTTGATTTAATAATGGTATATTGACAAAATATGCAATCACAGAAATTCATCCCTCTTTCCATTATTTCTTCATAATGATTGATTATAACTATTGTTTCTAATCCCTAAATTTATGAATTGATTCTCTCATCCTTAGGAAGTTGAAGTATTTCCTTGGGAGAGAGGTTGCTTACTCTGTGCAATTCATTTGTATTGTTAAAGGAAAAATGTATTCGATCTCGTTAAAGAGATTGGTAAGTGGGTTGTTTTCACCTATATAAATTGTAAAAGAGTTAGGCTAAAATAAATTTTAGTCCATATAATATACCGTTTTCTTTTTCATTCTTTTTTGTTTGATTATAGTCCCCCTCATTATATTTTTCCGTGAGATCTAACAAAAAAATTTACAGGGACCAAATATTATATATTACTATTATTTCCAAACTACATTTCTTCACATATGTTTACCCACTATGAACATTAAGTGAACACTGATTCTGACAATCAGTCCACTACTAATAGGCTATACGAGAGTTACTACTATTCCACCACTACCACCTAAGTATCAGTTGATGTTCATCCTGCACCTAGTCTTGCTATCCACCACTATCTGCATTAGCTGCACATGTTCTTTATTCTTTTTTCTGGATCCCAATCATTTTCATCCGTCTATGCACCAACCATGCCAAATGGATGGTTGAGTCTCTCCACTTTGTCTAGCAGTTTTGGCCAACCTCAACCTAGGGGTGAACTGACCAACAATCATTGTTAAGTTTCCAATATAAAACTAATTGATAATATGTGAAGTAGCCTAATAGGTATTTAAACCATACCACATGATATGAGACAAGCGTTGAAAACTTCCAACACGTCCCCTCCAACGAAGCCTGCCGGACTAGACAAAGTGTATTTTAATGGCAACTTTTTTACCCAAAACAACAACAACAAGAAGTACTTTTGACCCACAACAAAAAGACAACTTTTGGCCCAAGACAATAACCAGAAAGAAGTTAGATTTGGCTCTGATACTATGTTAACATTCCAACATAAAACCAATTGGCAATATGTGAAGTAGTCTAACAGGTATTTAAACCATACCACATGACATAAGACATGCGATGTGGGACTTCCAACAGTCATAGATGGTGCCAATGCTAGCATGGGGGCTTCAGAAGCAAATGAGACCAACCATGGCAAGTACTCCTAGTTGATGGGAGTTTTAACTCTTTGCATGACATTTCTTTCCGCAGACCTTAGGATGACTTCAGGATTGGCAGTTTAGATATTGTTGTCTTAAGCCCTTTCTTTGTTGTTTGTACAAGTAATGGGGTAGTCAGCATCTCCATGACTGTGTATAAGTTTGGTGACAATGGTTCTACTATTTTTCACTTGAGATTACTATAATCATACAGGTAATAGTAATGATACACACGCACACATATATACACATTATGTATGCCTTAGTATGATAAAGTGTTGACTTATCTTTTATCCATACGTAAAATATTTAATTAACTGAAATGTTTGATTTCAATTAAGTTTTGAGAAAAATAAAAATTTTACTCTTAAGCTCTAATTTAACTAAGCATACCCTAAATAAAATCAATTAATAGGATAATAAAGTCTGAAAATAGTTATGTTATGACTCAATGTGAAATAGAATTATTCAGTATTTAAAAGGCCACTAAAGAGGCCTTCTATTCAAGGAGGAGATTCAATCCATGGAAATAGATATGATTCTAACTACAGGGTTTATTACTGACAAGAGACCCACCAGACGATATTGCATGTTTTTAGGGGGAAACATGGTGACATAAAAGAGTAAAAAGCAAAATGCTGTTGCAAGATTAAGTGTAGAAGAATTTAGCCTCATCGCTCAAGGGCTATATGAATTGTTGTAGATGAGACCTTGAAGTTGTGATAAGTCTGTCCCCAGCATTGCTCACAATACAGTTCAACTTGAAAGGACAAAGTGCATAGAAATAAAGTGGCATTATCAAAGAAATATCAAACACCATATTAATAGATATAATCTAAGTCCCTTCAGGACTCCAGTTGGCTAATGTATCCCACCAAAGGATTTCTGCAGAGAAAATTTGGAATCTCACCTTGAAGGGGAATGTTGTAATACTAATTAATAGAATTTAATATTAGTCATTTCAGATTCTTAGGCTCTTGAGAATTGCAAAAGTCTTTTGTCTCTTGAGAACATAGCACAATAGCACTGAAGTAGAACAGAGCAACCTATGCAGCTACAGGATTTTAACTGTGACATCACGGCCAAAACCCATCTCCCTGCCCAGACATCCCAAATTTCTGAACTATTGAGCCCATTTTTTGTGGTATTTTCATGATTCGCTTTGTTTTTAACATCACAGATGTGTATAGAATACATGTTTCTGATGCAAAACACAAATTGTGTCCTCAACTTATAACTTGTTTCATCCCTCGCATCTAGCCCAGCTCACTAGCATTGTTTCCAGCCAACCCAAGTATTATCCAAAAGACCACTTCTCTCCAGAATTAGGATCTCTGTTCACTCAGCTTGCTCCCAAGCCTTCATACTTTTTTTCAACTTCTTTTTACTCTCTTCATACATCTAATATGTCTCATTCTTATCTATTAATTCCATCTACTATTTCTCACTTTATTCCAATGTTCTTGTGCAGGTTAATTCGAACATGCCTATAGTTGTGAATATATTTGAGCATTTAAATACTCCTCACTGGGATTGATAAGTATGAAGCTAAAGAAACCAATAGATGTAAATGTAATGACTTAATGGGTAGACAGTGTACCTGAAAAATAATGAGCACCCGGAAATCATTTTTTCTCAACTCCTCAAGCATTGAATCAAGAAGTTGCAACTTGCCACTTGCTTTTAAATCAAAATCAAGATACTCAACTGGTCCGAGACCCTTGTTAAGAGAAGGTTGCAGTTCTGGGCCAACAAGGTAGGGATGACTACAACACTGTCAAGAGGTACAAGAAAAAGAAAAAGAAACTGTTAGGAGAACTTACAAACACTTGACAGCTTTGGAGTTAATTAAAAATAAATAAATAAAGGAACACAAAATCAACTATAAAAAGGTAGATGATTGTTTATCAAATTCATTTTAACCATCAATCAGCGACACCAAATCAGAATCAACTCATATACAGAACAAAATGTTAAAATAGATTTGATATAAAATGGAATCAATTTTCTTTTAATAATGAATCAAGCATGTACCAAATTGATTATATCTGATATGCCATACTCATTATAATTATCTCGCTCACTAGTAAGAAATTATTAACAGTTTACCACCAAACATCTAATAATAATAAATACAAATTGTTTAAGATAGTTTAACCAAATATTGCAGCATAAAACAACTAGACTCTAAAAAAAATAACAACTTTATATGGTCTTTGATGTTATGCCATGCATGCAACTTATTCAGAAAGTACCACCTAACCTTTCGGGTTAAAATAAGAACATCATGAACAGCCTCAACGCTATCAACCTTTGATGAGGAGCGCAGAATTGAAGCATTTGAAAGTAAAATAGAACAATACTGTTCAAGCTGCAGATTAGATATTTGTACAGGAACCCAATACTCAACAAACTTATAGGAGTCAGACTTGCATCTGTATGTATTATGACTTGACAACCTTTCCTTTGATTGAGGAACACTATTAATGGAATTACTTAATAAACCAGCTTCTTTTTCATTATCAATTTGGGCATTCTTCTGATGCATGCTTGCAACAATGTAATCTCTATCTTCAATCTGATAACCAAATACCAAGGGATCAAAGAGTTGCACACAAATAAGTATAAACAAACATTAAATATATACATCATGAGTGTGTGTGAATATACATTGCAAATAGATATTTTAAAAGAAAAAAAAAAATTGATTTGTAGTCTATAATTAGCATTGTTTCAGTGTTAGAGATATTTTCTCTTCTGTTTGTTGTCAGTTGTAACTTAATGCTCTGTTTTTCTGTTCAGTTTTAACTGACATGATTAGTAACACAGAATTCTTTCAGCTACACCTATTTGTCTGCCTGTTAGTAATTATTTGATCCGGATATACGATTAAGAACGGAAAATTACTAACTCTTCAAAATGTACATATTAAGGTTCCAATTTAAAATCAATTAATAATATGTGGAGTAGCCTAATAGATATTTAAACTATGTCACATTGTATGAGACAGTCAATATGGGACTTCCTACATGCCCCCTCTAACAAAGTTTGTCGGGTCAGACAAAGAATACTTAAGAGTACTTCTGACAAACAACAAAAAGACAACTTTTGACTCAAGATAACAACAAAAAAGAAATTAGACTTTGACTCTAATATCATGTTAAGGTTCCAACATTAAACCAATTAACAATATACAGAATAGCTTAACAAGTATTTAAACCATATCATATGATATGAGACAGGCGATGTAGAACTTCCACCAGTACATATTCAATTCATAATCAATATAATTTCCTAGTGTAGTGACTCATGGCCACAGAAAATACTCCCCCACCTTCCACTCTTCCACCTGCATTGACAACTAAGGAAATGTCATTGCAAACTCACTGCCGCAACTACCAGTGGTTCTGTCATCTCTGTTCATTGCAAGCTATTGTCACGTTTACTCATCAAAATTCAGAGATATTTCTCTTTTCTATCCTATAAGTTGTAAATAACTATATGTTATATATATTTCTCATTTCTGGTAGTTGTCAATTGTAACTGACAGTTCTGCTTTCAGAATGTACATAATCAATTCAGTATCAATATAATTTCCTAGTGTAGTGACTCATGGTCCACCACCTTCCCCTCTTCCACTTGCATTGGCAACTCTGGAAATGACGTTGCAAACTCACAGCGCCACAACTACCTGTGGTTCTGTCATCTCTGTTCGTTGCACGCTTTTGTCATGTTTTCTCATCAAAATTCAGAGAAACTTGATGGCATATCTTTTCCTATGGGTTCAACAAGTTGTGGGCGGTGCTAGAGATATTTCTCTTTTCTATTCTATATGTTGTAACTAACTATATGTTATAGATATTTCTCATTTCTGGTTGTTGCCAATTGTAACTGACAGTTCGATTTTCAGTTGTAACTGTCACAATTAGTCAGTTACAATAATTGTCTACTTGTTAGTAATTCTCTGATCTATATATAACATTATGTAACAGAGAATTACTAATTCTTCAGAATGTACATATTCAATTCAGTATCAATATAAATTTTTTTTTCAATACACCAGATACGTCTTTGTGGCTATTGGAATATAATCTACTTTACATAAACTTTTGTGTGAACTTGTACAGCAGTAGTAAAGTAGGGTGTTCTATGTTAGCTATGGACTCAGCTGTCATCTCTAACTAATGTTAGATATCAGAGGTTGCAACCTATATACAATATAAACCTCATGGAATTCTGTTACAACGGGGTTAATCAATAATCAATAATACAATATACAGAAAGTCTCTCTCTAAAACCTGATATTATATGTGGGTTGCAGTCAACTTGCAAATTTGTCTAACCCAACCCAATTACATTTCTAAGGTTGGGTTAGGTAACGGATTCATGAATTTTAAATCCAATTAACCCAACCAAACTACAATAAATATATATAATACAAATACTATTTGTTTCACAATATATATTACAAAAAATAATTTTATTTTTTATCGTGAATATTATTTATGTATTGTAAGTATTGTCATTACCTTATAAATATTTATAAACATTGAAAATATTTATTTTGAGTATTATTTTCTTAATAGAAGACATTATTAAAATTACTCAACCTAGTGCGGCAACGCAACCCAATTATAATTTGATTAGGTTCCTACTCAATATGGTATCAAAGGGATCAATTTGATCCTCAACACTAATTTGTTTGATTTGCACAATACTACTTACAGTCACAGATTCCAACACAAGCATAATACCAACGATGTGGAACAAAGGACCCAACCAACCTCAGTTGTAGAAGGGTTACAAGACTCACTGACTGTAGGCTGACAATCCAACCTGCAAAGAAAAGAACAAGTTATTTAGGACTGGAAACACCAAATGAGTCAAAATGTAGGTAAATCATCATGAACTGATCAACAAATACAAGTTTCAGATGCTACAATTCCTGCAAAATACTCCATCTACATTTTGTACATATTTCTGAAATTAAATACAGTATTACCAAGTGGGAAATAGAACCCACACGGACACTTTAGAGCAGCACATGGCTTGTGACAAAGAAGAAATCAGTATGTAGTAACTGGTAAAAGTAACCAACACCTTCCAAAACCAAAATGTTTGACAACAAGATAATTAAAAAGACAACAGGTGCTTATTAGAGATATACCCATTGCTTTTCCGGTTACAATTCAGGTGCCTCTGTTATAACTATCTTCTTATTCAGCACTTAGTCAGTCAGCTATATAATTTCTAATATCAATGTACTTTAAACATAATAAAATTCTAACATTCACAAATCTCTCTCACTCTTCACTTTCTTTTGCTCAGTTATCTATTTTATCCCTGTTGCAAATTTATATCTTGAATTTGTAGTGTATGTGGATCCAACCCATGGCCTCTTTAGGATGATTCAACCTTCATCCAGGGCAATCCCATCCACCACCTTTTTCCACTAAATCTCAATCAAACTTTTTTTTTAAACTTTCTATCATGAAAACAAAGAAATATGATGTGCTCTGTATTTACAAGATATAAATCTATGGTAGAATTACATTTTGATACCCCTCTCAAGGCCATTCAAACTTATTTGGGTGGGGAGTTCAAGCCCTTTACTAACTATCTTAATGACATAGGGATCCCACATACATCACTAGAACCAGATTGTTGAGTACAAGCACCATCCAATTGTTGAACTTAATCTCTCATACCTTAATCAAGCCTCTCTTCCCTTTCTTTCTGAAATCATGCCTTTCTCAATGCAATTTATCTCATAATTAGGCTTCCTACTGCCGCATTAACCTTTGTTGTCCCATTCACTTCGTTATTTCATACTTTACCAGATTATAGCTTCGTTAAAGCCTTAGGAGTACATTTTTCCCACTCCTTCTTCCATATGTAAAATTCCAACAAATTAGAATTTTTTATCTCAAGAATGTTCATTATGAGATCACTCCAACTCACAAAGGGCAAAGTGTCTTCCTTCTCTGGATGGATTGTACAAATCCAATGATGTTCTATTCAATGACTCAAGATAACTTATTTAGGGTTTAATACAGTGTCAAAAGGTATTGTTACATTGTATTTATAGAAAAGGAGATACAATAGAGAGGATATGGGCCTCAGCCCTTAACCCTAAACTAAGAAACCTACAAAAAGAATACAAAAAATAGATGAACAACATATCTCAACACTCCCCCTCAAACTAGAGCATATAGATTGTATGCACCAAGCTTGGAACAAATGAATTGAATCCTAGGTCCTCTCAAGGATTTAGTTAAAATATCCGCCAATTGCTCATTGGAGCTTACAAATTCATTTACAAGTTCCTTAGTTTTGCAATGTGAGTCATCATGTCGTGATTGGTCTACTTAAGTGACATCATTCTTTGGATTGCATCAAAGAGACATTGAATATCATTAGCAAAAATGTCTTGAGCCTTTTTCCAAAAAGAAGAACAGATTTTGAATGACTTGAGAAGTTCAAGAACTTTCGGTTCCACAGACTGCCATAAGATTGCAAAAAGTTGGAAGTCTATTTTCTCCAATTGAGACCTTTCTGCAGCAAAGATGGAGTCTACATCCTTCTCTAAATGATTATTGTTGAGATTTGTTGTTCATGTATCTTTTTGTATTTTTTTTTTATGTTCCTTAGACTAAGGTTAAGGGTTTGGGCTAAGACCCATATCCTCTCTATCATATCTTTTTTTCTATAAATACAATGTATCAGTGCCTTGGTCACTCTATCAAACCCGAAATAAGTTTTCTCAAGTTGGTATTAGAGCGGGTAAGATCCCGCACTGATTTCCGGTCACCTTTGTCATCTCCAGCCACTGTGGGTCGTCGTCACCGTCAGCCACTATCTCTGTTTGGATCAACAAAAAAGGGGTTTTATGCACCTCGAGAAGCGCGACTCACCTCTACAAGTCGCTCCTTCGTCAGCAGCCCCACGCACCGCCTTCAAGTGGCCGGAATCAAGGCCGACCACCTCCGTTCGACTCACCGACATCCTTCGAGTCCAGTGGTGTCCTTAGTTTTCTGGTTTGAAAACTGTGTATGAAAGGTCCCGTGGGTAACCCTATTCGTTAGCTTTATTTGTCTTTTCTTGTTCAGATGGCCTCATCCACTGCCTTTACCTTCTCTACTACTCCCACCATAACTAGTGTCAGGCTCAACTGGAAAAATTACTTATCCTGATCTACATCAGTTGAGTTGTGGTTTCTCAGTCAAGGGCAACACGACCATTTGGAGAAGGATGTAGACTCTATTTCCGCTGCAGAAAGGTCTCAGTTAGAGAAAATAAATTTCCAACTTTGTGAAATTTTATGGCAGTCTTAGGAACCGGAAGTTCTTGAGATTCTCAGGTCATTCAAAACCTATTCTTCCTTTTGGAAAAAGACTCAAGACATTTTGCTAATGATATTCAACGTCCCTTTGATGCAACTCAAAGAGTGATGTCACTTAAGCAGACCAATCACAACATGATGGCTCACATCGCAAAAGCTAGGGCTGCTATGGAAGAATTAAAAAGGTTTCTTGTAGCAAATACCTTAGAGGAGTTAAACATCAAACTCGATAAGCTATATATGGTTCTAATTTTGAGGAGTCTACATTCTGATTTTGATCACGTGCGTGATCAAATCCTAGCTGGCAATCAAGTTCCATCAATGGATAATCTTGTCACTAGGTTGATTCGAGTTCCTAATCTCATGGTAGATGAGAATCAGGTGGAGACGGGTGAAACTTCTGCTATGGTTGCGCCTCATGGTCGAGGAGGAGGACGCAACAGTCGAGGAGGACGTGGTAATACGAAAGTTCGTCCTTAATGCTCCTATTGTAAGAGGATAGGACACACGCAGGTAAATTTCAATTCATTGCATGGTTTTCCTGACAAGACTCAAGGATGTTGACAAGTTCTCTCTCACTTAACCATCCCAAGTTTGAGGGGCAATATTCCAGATATACTTGTTGCATTTCATGTTGATTTCATATACATTTTGCAATTTCAACTAATGTACAACTGAATGACTAACCACTTACTCAGCACTTAGTCAAACAGTTAGGCCGTATAAATCCTAATAACGCTATATGTTGAACATAATGGAATTCGAACAAATTATCAAATCTCTCTCACTATTAAACTCCATTTGCTTTACTTTTATCCTTGTTGCAGGTCAATTAATTCTTAACACAAAATATCAAGCAACATGCATCATATGAGTAATATAATAAAAGAATTTAATGTTAAAGAATTTGAAAATACTCAAGAAAAAAATATAATAAAATAGAAGTGTCATACTAAATGTGACATACTAAATCAAGAATAATGAGATACATGACATTGTTTTAATCATTTTCAAACAAGTAGCAAATACCTTGTCCGCTTGGAATGTGAACCTTCAGTTCCCATTATATTGCCACAAAGCCCTGAAGGGCTACTACAATCAGGAACCAAGTTGCACTTGCTACCCGCCAATGTTGCAGAAACATCTACATCCATGTCCACCATAATTCCCTTTCTCTTAGAAGGTACCAATTTGTCACCACTACTATCATAGCCAGCATTATTCTTGTTTAAGTCTTCATCCAATATGGAATTGTGCGACACTAACACCTGTAGTGTTTCCTCCCTGCAGTAATCAGGCATAAGCCTTTCAGATACCAAACCAGTCTCAAAAATTGTGGCACTAGATTGACTGTCAGTCCCCATAATTTTGCCACTGATCCTTGATGGGCTACTAGAATCAGAAATCAAGTTACAATTGTCACCCTTCACCAATGTGGCCGAAATATTTGAATCCAAATCCACAGTTATTTCCTTGCTTTTAGAAGGTATCGATTTTTCACCTCTATTGTCCCCAACAAAGTTCCTTATTAAATCATCTTCATCTAATATTCTTCGTGGTGCCAAACCTGCCTCATAAGTTGCAGCATTTGATGGTGCCAATGAACCTAGAGTTATGGTATTTTGTACCAAATCGTTCACAGGCCCATTCAACCCAGAGTCAACTCTCATCTCTTTTAACTTGTTGTCTTTAGATGGTAGTTCATCATTTTTGGAGATTTCTTCACCACAATCAGAATGACTGCCTTCAAAGCACTCATCAATCTTGCCACCATCATTGTTGCCACCTTGATTTGACTTGTCAATCTTATTAGGCTCTGCAAGACAATCTTTTCAGTCAAGCAATTGAAATGATACATAATTAAACAAAACCTAATAATAATTAGCAAGTCTCACTCAGCAAAACTTTGACTAATCTTCATTTTGATATGTAAACAAAGAATCCAACAAGAGACTTGAAAAAAGGTCTTGCATTACTAGCACTATTAACTACATTTTTTATTGCATGATAGTGTGCATAACATTAACCATCAAATTAGCGCCATTTCTTCTTACATTTAGATATGTAACAAAACCCTACGTTCAAGGAAAAGAAGAATGTTCATATAATAATGACACAAGGCATCTCAAAATTGTTGAAATAATGACACAAGGCACCTCGAAATTGGTGAAATAATAATGACACAAGGTATCTCACTAAATTACCTTTCTTTGATAATTCAAAGAGAGACCGGTACATAAGTGCAGTCATTCTCTTTATTTTAAACTGTGGTGTTCCTGGATCTTGTTCCTCATTTTCACTTACTTCCTTAGCTTCAAATGTCAACTGCTTCACACTCTTCTCTTTCTTTGGCTTAGGGTTTGAAGTCAATGAAACTGAGCTTTTATAATCTGAATGACTAGTAGAAGTGTAACTCCTAGTCCTTCCAGATCTTCTCAAAGGAGTTGGCATGTTCTCTTTTTCAAAACACTCAGATTTCTTGTTATCAACAGGAGTTGGAGGTGCTCTCTTTTCAAGTCGCCCAGACTTAGGATTGCTTGAAGGACTAGGAATTATCCTCTTTGATGATGTCTCTCTAGCAGACCTTCTCAGACCAGTTGCATCTGATACATTAGGATCTGCTTTGATTTTTCCCTTCTCACCATTTTGCGTGACCCTGCTTTTATTAAGTTCATCCTTAGCGCTGTGACTAGAACAAGCACCATTTACCATTTGTTTAGTTGTGTGTGAGACCTCCAATAATACTTCAGATCAGTATAGAGACACAGAATCCTTCACATAGTCCTCAAATGTTTGATTGACATGTGGCAAACTTCATCAAGATGAAGTATCCAGCATAGTATCAACTGAGAAGGACAGTAGAAAGAATATAATTAACTAAAATTCAGTCATTTATCATTATTTGTAGAAAAAGCATAAAGCACTAACATTAATAAAAGGGATGAGATATATGGGCAGAATAGAATTATTAATTATTATCCACCAGTGTAAAATTAAAAGAAAAAAAAATATCTGTGTACAAGGGAAAAGCACTCATCTTAAAAATACAATCCAACCATGAGGGCAACTGTCCAGGGAACATTAGTCTAAGATAAATCATCCCAACAAACATAGATACACTAATCCTTGCAAAATACAAATTAAAAAAATACATAAATCCCGAAAGAAACAAGCGGAACTACATCCATACAAACACACACATATAGAGAGAGAGAGAAAATGAAATTCATTAGTGAACAATGAAAAAACCGGAAAGCGCATTGTACAATCAAACAATGGAATGCAGAGAAATTAGGAGGGTTTTACATTTCAATGTACAATCAGAACTCCGAACCAATGCGAATACGCTTCCTACTCGCCTCAAGTTCGGGTTGATAATGCAAACGAACCCTAATTCAATGACAAAGAAATTATAGAGTAGGATATCCTGGGCAAGCCTAATGTTCAAAGGGGTAAAAAACTAGAAGGAAAAATAAACAAGTATAAGAAAGAAAACAAAGATATATAGAGAATAAACCTTAACCAACCTGCATGAAACTTTTGGAGAAGACCAACGCTGAGAAATTTTAGATTAGGGCAGTGTAGCAGAAATATATGACACTGTTCTCAGCTTTTCTCTTTATTTTGTGATAAACTCTAAAGGAATAGTTTAGGAAGGCCTACGACATTAAATAAATATTAAATTTATATAATGTGAATTATACCACCAACCGCTTAATTAATAATGGACAGTTTTACCCTATATAACTCTGAATTCAAATCTTGAGTATGTAATTTATTAAATAATCGAAATAACAAATATTTTTTTTAAAATAAAATATATTATAATCTTCTTTAAAAAAAAGTAAGAGATGCACATTTCTGAATTACTTATACGTGTAATAAATATATATATATATATATATATATATATATATATAGCTTAAATACAGTTATTTTAATTTACATGATAAAACATAATATATTTTTTTTTCAAGAGAATAATATTTATTCTTTTTATCAAGTCGATTTACGTCTTCTTTTAAGTTAAGGGCACTTAAATCTTTGAACTCTAATTTCTCAATAGAAAATAATAATAATAATAAATATTAAATTTTTTTTATAAAAGTATCAGAATTTGTTTATCTTAATGTCATGATTTCTAATATAGTAAAATGTTAAGTGTCTGATATTATAAGGATTTATGGATTAAATGGATGATTTTGTTATGTATTTAGGGTATTTATAAAATTAGTTTGTCTCATTAATTTAAATTAAAATATTTTTTAATACAACATACTGGGAGAAAAACAAAAAATATCATAAGCAAAATTTAAAATATTTTATCATCATATTTCATATTTTCATATTTGAATGGAAATACATATAATATTATTATTGTATAAAAATAATAATTTAATTTTAATATATTTATTATGTTATTAAAATATAATCAAATGACATAGACTAATTTTGATTTTCAGAAGAAAGATTGTTATTTTTTTAATAAAGAAAATATGTAATTACGAATTTATAGTTTATTAAATGAATAAAATATTTTTATTTAATAAAAAATAAAATAATTTATCAAAATATAACATTAAAATTATTACATGAACACATTAAAAAAAAGAAACTTATTTTATATAAAAATGTTAAAAAAAAACATTAGTTTTACTACATTTTTAAATATATTATTAAATATCACATTATTATTTTGAAACCCATAGTGTAGGATTTTGTTTTATACTAAACTTTTATTGTATTGTTTTATGATTATTTTAACCAATATTTTTGTATTGTAAATATTAGATATTGTTTAGATATTATTTAATATTGTTAAGATATTGTTAGATATTGTTAACCACAATATCAAACAATATTTTATGTTTATTCTGTTATTTTCAGTTATTTTTTTAGTTGTATCTTTCTACTATAAATAGACTACCCTATGTGTGATTTATACACAAGGGAGATTAATCTCAAACTCTATTTCTTCTATATTCAACATGGTATCTAGAACTTAAGGTTATTTTGAAAAAAAATTTCGCCTTTGACCACTATTGAAGCCGTCACCACCGCCGCTATCGTTGTCAGTTATTTGGTAGTGTGAAAGTACATGTCTAGGAAAGTTCTGACAAGGAAAGACTTGGTATTTAAGCGTGTCCATTAGTGACCCACCTCTCTTTCCTGGGAACTTACCTGGTGTACTGGTTCACGCCTCCGCCCTTTATGACTTCTTCCGCTCCTTTTAGTACTTCCAATTCTGTCAGTACTGCGTCTGATCCTTCCATCTACACTAACTATGTTAATGTGCACTTATCCATTGACAAGTTAACTGGCCCTAATTATGCCACATGGTCATCAGACGTCAGATTATGGCTTAAAAGTCAGAAGTATCTTGATCATCTCGCCCCGAAAGCACCTACTCTCACTCCTGGTGAGGAAGACCATTGGGACATCATTGATGCTCAATTATGTGTGGTTCTCAAGGGTACTCTTGATCCTTCGTTAAACCAAATGTTTCGTTCCTACGAAACATGTGCCAAAATCTGGGAACATGCCAAGTTATTATACACCAATGATACTCAACGTCTCTATAATGTCTGTTCTAAATTTGTAGATGTTATTGCCTCTAAACATCAAGATTCTATGACTGATTATATGGGCAAAATTCATGCTCTTTTTCATGAGTTCAATGAGTTATTGCCTCCTTCCCCTGACCCTGCCACCGAGATAGGACAACGATCAAAGTTCTTCATGTTAGGGGCATTACAAGGACTTGCTGATCAATATTCACATATTCGTGATCATATTTTGGGTTCTCCGGTTGTCCCCACCTTAACATCAACCTGCTCCACTATTTTGCGTATACCAGCAAAACTCAACCCTGACACACCTGTTTCTGCATTGGTATCTCACCATGATGACCGAACTCGCCCTCGCAAACAAGGAAAAAGGCGTCCTAAGTGTGAACATTGTGGCAAGCTAGGTCACAAGATTGACTAGTGTTATACATTACATGAGTGTGAACATTGTGGCAAACTAGGTCACAAGATTGAAAAGTGTTATGCATTACATGGTCGTCCTCCTCGATCTGCTGTAGTTGCTCAGACTGATCTTTCTCCACCTTTATCTGCTAAGGATCCTCCTTCTATTTCATCAGACACACCTGCTATGTTCAACAAATTTCTCAAATGGTATAAGGATCAACAGTCTTCTAGTTTCACTGTGTTTGTCGCACACACAGGTACATCTTTTGCTGGTCTGACCCAATCTTCTTCTGGTCCTTGGGTTTTTGATTCAGGAGTCACTGATCATATTACTAGTAACAAATCTTTGTTCTCCTCTTTATCCTCTCCTGATCTTTTACCTTTTGTTACACTGGCTGATGGCTCTAGAGTATCATCTCATGGTGTTGGAACTGTTAAACTTTTCCCTTCTTTAACCATTGATAATGTTCTTTATGTCCCTAGGTCTCCTTTTAACCTGTTATCCATCAGTCATCTAACTCGTTCTCTTGATTGTGTTGTTTCTTTTACCAACAATTCTGTGTGTTTACAGGACCGGAGTTCGAAACAGGTGATTGGTACAGGATGTGAGTCTCATTGTCTTTATCATCTTCGTCTCTTTACACATGTTGGTGCAGTTATAGAGTCTCCCTCTCTTCTCCATGCTCAGTTAGGTCATCCAAGTCTTGTCAAGTTACAGCAACTTGTCCCTGCCTTATCTAAATTGTCTAGTTTGGCATGTGAGTCGTGTCAATTAGGCAAGCATAGTCGTACTTCCTTTCCTCGTAGTGTCACACATGGTGCTTCGTCCCCTTTTGTCGTGGTTCACTCTGACATTTGGGGACCTAGCCGCGTTAAGTCTGCTTTAGGTTTTCAATACTTTATTACTTTCATTGATGATTATTCCAGATGCACTTGGTTATTTTTGATGAAAAATCGTTCTGAATTATTTCCTATCTTTCAAACTTTTTTCAATGAAATTCAAACTCAGTTCGTTGTTTCTATTAGAGTTTTGCGCAGTGATAATGGTCGTGAATATCTTTCTCATTCTTTTAAACAATTCATGGCTTCTCATGGTATTTTACATCAAACTTCTTGTGCTTATACACCTCAACAAAATGGTGTAGCTGAACGTAAAAATAGACATCTTATTGAAACAACTCGCACTCTTTTAATTCATGGAGAGGTTCCTCAGCATTTTTGGGGTGATGCTCTTCTTACTGCATGTTATCTTGTTAATCGCATGTCATCTTCGATTTTAGATAATAAAATACCTCATTCCATTTTATTCCCTCATGAACCACTTCATCCCTTACCTCTAAAAGTTTTCAGGTCTACATGTTTTGTTCATAATTTCAGTTCTGGTCTTGACAAGCTTTCTCCTAGATCACATAAATGTGTTTTCTTAGGGTTTACAAGGTCACAAAAAGGATACAAATGTTTTTCTCCTTCTCTTAACCGTTATTTTGTGTCTGCAGATGTCACCTTTGATGAGTTCTCTTTTTATTTTAAAAGTCAATCTTCACCTTTTTCTCCATCCAATCTTGTCAACACTCCTAGTACATTTAATGTTCATGTTGTTTGTAATCCTCTAACTGTGTCTTCTTCACCATTAGTTTCTACTCCGCAGTCAGCTTCTTCTTCACTGCCTCTTCAGGTTTATAGTTGCCGAAACCAATCACAACCACCACCATGTGACTCTACTCAAGTGCCAACTACTTT